TGTATGTACTTCTAATATTATTCAGGCATTATAAGGGCAATATCCTGCATATCCTGCATATAAAACGTAGGGTCTATTTTAATTTTTCCGATATGGTTAAAATTTGTTCAGAAACACGAAAATTGACTTTCTCGTATATATTACTCTTGAAATCTTTAATAAATAAGAATTACTTAAAACATACTAAATTTATCTGAGTACAATTAATCAATTAACTCAGTGTGCACACAATACAATTTCTCTATCTCTCAAACTCCTAAATAATGAAAATGACGATATTACGTGAACAAATACTTTTAAAAACATTAAACCTACATTAAATTAAAATAAAAGAATAATTACCTTTGATCCAAGTAGATTTTAATACATAGGTAAACTAAATGTGAAACTGACCCTGCCCTGGCAATTATACATGTAGCACGAACTTGTGCCACCGGGAAAGTGAAAACCCGCCAAACCAGGTAAGCTAATCGAACTACCTGCGGTGCAATGAACCATAAAATTTAAATACTAAGGTCATACAGTCCCAGGTCGTCTGTAGATATAAATAGCATACTCTCTAAATAAATATAATTCTTATAAAACTTATTAATAACAAAAACACAAATCATTCTCGTATCATAATAATTTTATTTATAATAACTAGTTTAAACCTGAAATGAATTATATTAATTAATATTATACTTAAATATTTACAAACACATATTAACACTAAAATACTGTCTATAACATGTACACCTCCATGTCTATAACATTTTTCTTCAGTAATAATTATCTATTCAATAATTATTTATAACCATACAGATATGAATTTAACACGAGGACAAATATAAATCTTTTCATTAATTCTAAGTGCAAGAACATGTACTTTTGTTTGTTTTTTTTAATTATCCATGTATATTTTTATCATCTGAAATAAATGACTTTCACATCATTATATTTTTTGTTAATAGGCTTTGCAATTGTGGATGGAGCTGCCTGTTCATTTCTTTCCGACCGACGAGTCATTTTGTGGGACTTACCTATGATTTAAAATCAATGGATCCGCGACTTTGTGGAACTTAGTTTTAGACAGATGCATGCTATATGTTGAACCTGGATATGATTACTGTGACCCCCTTTTCACTAGGAAGATAAATTTTGTTAAACAGTTACTTTTGAGATTCGATGATTTTATCCCGGATTCATGTTTCTCTATAAAATACATTTTAACATAAATTCATTCAGAATCTTAATACTGAATTACAATTTACATATTTCGCAACTTGAATAAAAACTGACATTAGAATTTGAAATGTATTTGTTTATAGAGCAAAACTCAATATGAATTCAACGTGATTTCAACCAAATATCAACGTTTTTACAGCCAAAAAATTTCAACCAAAATTCAACCTAATTTCAACCAATGTTCAACCTATTTTTAATGTTGATATTTGACGTTGAAACAACGTTGAAGTTTCAACGTTGCCTCAACTTTCATATGCAACCAAAATTCAATATATATCTGTGTGTGTGTGTGAGGGTGTGTGTATATGTGTGTGTGTGTGTGTGTGTCCATACACATAGCAAGATACTCGAGAATGATAATTAAATGATCCATCAGTGTGTAATAATATATTCCGTTTACAGGCTTTCATTTCTGACAACTACTAATCAATTCCATGTTTTCTTTACGCTGATTTTTATATACTACCTAAGTCTAGAAGAAAAAAAAAAGCGTAGAATGAAAAATGTTAAGAAATGAACAGTGATCAATCTCATAAATCCAGTAAACAAAACGAATCGTGAACAGGGCAAAAACACGGACCCCTACAAACAGTGAGCAGGGCAAAAACGCGGACCCCTAGAAACAGTGAACAGGGCAAAAACACAGACCCCTGGAAACAGTGAACAGAGCAAAAACACGGACCCCTACAAACAGTGAACAGAGTAAAAACACGGACCCCTAGAAACAGATAACAGGGCAAAGACACGGACCCCTAGAAACAGTGAACAGGGAAAAAACACGGACCCCTGGAAACAGTGAACAGGGCAAAAACGAAGACCCCTACAAACAGTGAACAGGGCAAAAACACGGACCCCTACAAACAGTGAACAGGGCAAAAACACGGACCCCTACAAAAGTGAACAGGGAAAAAACACGGACCCCTGGAAACAGTGAACAGGGCAAAAACACGGACCCCTACAGACAATAAACAGGGCAAAAACACGGACCCCTACAAACAGTTAACAGAGCAAAAACCAGAACCCATACAAACAGTGAACAGGGTAAAAACACGGACCCCTAGAAACAGTGAACAGGGCAAAACACGGACCCCTAAAAACAGTGAACAGGGCAATCACACGGACCCCTAAAAACAGTGAACAGGGCAATCACACGGACCCCTACAAACAGTGAACAGGGCAAAAACACAGACCCCTACAAACAGTAAACAGGGCAAAAACACGCACCCCTACAAACAGTGAACAGAGCAAAAACACGGACCTCTAGAAACAGATAACAGGGCAAAGACACGGACCCCTGCAAACAGTGAACAGGGCAAAAACCCGAACCCCTACAAACAATGAACAGGGCAAAAAGCCGTACCCCTACAAACAGTGAACAGGGTAAAAACACGGACCCCTAGAAACAGTGAACAGGGCAAAACACGGACCCCTGCAAACAGTGAACAGGGCAAAAACACGGACCCCTACAAACAGTGAACAGGGCAAAAACACAGACCCCTACAAACAGTAAACCGGGCAAAAACACGGACCCCTGCAAACAATGAACAGGGCAAAAACACGGACCCCTACAAACAGTGAACAGAGCAAAAACACGGACCTCTAGAAACAGTGAACAGGGTAAAAACACGGACCCCTGCAAACAGTGAACAGGGCAAAAACACGGACCCCTACAAACAGTGAACAGGGAAAAAACACGGACCCCTACAAACAATGAACAGGGCAAAAACACGGACCCCTACAAACAGTGAACAGAGTAAAAACCCGAACCCCTACAAACAGTGAAAAGGGCAAAAACACGGACCCCTGGAAACAGTGAACAGAGCAAAAACACAGACCCCGAGAGACAGTGAACAGGGCAAAAACGCGGACCCCTACAAACAGTGAACAGAGCAAAAACACGGACCTCTAGAAACAGTAAACAGGGCAAAAACACGGAACTCTGCAAACAGTGAACAGGGCAAAAACGAAGACCCCTACAAAGAGTGAACAGGGCAAAAACACGGACCCCTACAAACAATGAACAGGGCAAAAACACGGACCCCTACAAACAGTGAACAGAGCTAAAACCCGAACCCCTACAAACAGTGAACAGGGTAAAAACACGGACCCCTAGAAACAGTGAACAGGGCAAAAACACGGACCCTTACAAACAGTGAACAGGGTAAAAACACGGACCCCTTCAAACAGTGAACAGGGCAAAAACGAAGACCCCTACAAACAGTGAACAAGGCAAAAACACGGACCCCTACAAACAGTGAACAGGGTAAAAACACGGACCCCTGCAAACAGTAAACAGGGCAAAAACGAAGACCCCTAGAAACAGTAAACAGGGCAAAATCATGGACCCCTACAAACAATGAACAGAGCAAAAACACGGACCCCTACAAACAGTGAACAGGGCAAAAACACGGACCCCTACAAACAGTGAACAGGGCAAAAACACTCATATTCTATAGATAAACTTTCCTTCCTATATTCATTTTATGGATGAGACCAAATTCTCCAAAAAAAATCTCTCAAAATTTTTCCCATATTTCTATAAGATTAGCAACAAGTACATTGAATACTTTAAATCATTGAGTTGATCGGGGTTTTAAAACAAATTTAAACATAGATAATGTACAATTGATCTCAATCATTTCGCTGTCGTATTTTTTTTCAGTTGACGGAGTTTGGTCGGACTGGACTACTTGGTCATCGTGTTCCCTGACCTGTGGCGCCGGAGTGCAAACACGCAACCGACATTGTGACAATCCAGCACCCTCTCACGACGGAAGATTCTGTTCTGGAGACCCTTACGAGATTCAAAAGTGCACCGAAATGGAATGTCCGGGTATGGTTTTATCGACAAGTATTCACAGTTTTAAGTCTGCCTAAATTGATAATTATCAATACCTCCACTAAAAATCAATTTGAAATTTACATAAAATAAAAGAAAAGTATAATAACGTTGAATTAATGTAAAATATGTATTTATTCGGAGGGAAATGGTTGGGGAGATGTACAGGAGATCCTAGTCCGAAATATCTGACGTTTTCCTGGCTTTTTTAACGATTTGATATTTACGTGCCAGGAAAACGTCAGAACTGGCGCCATTACAAAAACTGGGAATTCACCGCCTCCAACCGGAGGCGGCATTCTCGGGTTCATTTTCGATACTTGCGAACCGAATAAAATGTCAAACTCACAACATATCAATAGTACAATACTTTTAGTACTCACCAACATCGTTTTTATGGTTCATTTATATAATATATAATCCGATGAAAACATTTTATCTGACTGTCGGATTTGTTTTCTTTTTCGTGCATTTTAAAATCTTGCAAGTCCTTTATCAAATGTGGAGTGATGATTTCTTTTCATCGATATCAGTGAGAACTAGAAGCATTGTGTTATTGATAAATTGTGAGTTTGGCATATAATTCGGTTCGCAAGTATCGAAAATCAACTCTGGTTGGAGACGGCGAAATTTCCAGTTTTCGTAAAGGCGCTGGTTCTGACGTTTTCCTGGCACGTAAAATATCAAATCGTTAAAAAAAGCCAAGAAAACGTCATCTATTTCGGACTAAGGAGATCCTAATCACCTGTTTCCGCTAGATTTGGACTCAGCACTTACGGAATATTGAATGAAAATGTTTTAATTAGCATTCGCGATATTTTAGGCCGGCCTTAGCATGATTCAATGGTAGCAAAGCGTAAATTTGTTTTATCATATAAACTTTGGCTAATCTAAAATAGTAGTTGTTGCATTTAATTTACGTCATGGATTACAGTTGATGGGGGCTGGAGCGGCTGGACGGGGTGGTCGGTCTGTAATGTCACGTGTGGTACAGGAGTAATCACTCGAACACGTTCATGCACGCAACCTGTACCCATGCATGGCGGCTTGAATTGCACTGGAGAAGACACAGATACGTATCCATGCAACAAGACAGAGTGTCCAGGTTAGTGTTAATTCCTTAATTCCATACTATGTATAATTTCATACTTACATAATTCCTTGCTACATAATGACAAATACAACTCTAACAAAGATTAAGTAAAAAGCTGCTTAAGGACACATTCGCGTTAAGGTAATAATTTCGTACCTATAGTATTGCTTCCGGAGAACTTGTAAAAACCCTTTTGTTTTATTAATTTTATGTTAACTATTTAAGTATTTGATAGATTGGCATTCTTATTTCTTTATCCTCTTTAGATTCAATTTAAGATTTTTATGAAAAAAAAAAGATTTGGTATATACATGTACATGTAGCCTTCACGAAGCTTTATATCAAATCTCTGTTTGCTGTATGAAGGCTACAGCAGAGATTAAGTATACAGATACGAAGCCTGTTCAGAAATTATTGAGGCATTGTGTATATTCTTCTTTGTAATGAAAGTCTTTCAGTGAAAATTTGCATATACGTTTGACAAACACTAAGAATTAATGAAAGCAAAAGATATTTTACAAATATTTTATTTCCTCTTTTCAATGATATATTAATGTGTCAATGGTTGGGGTACACGGCGCAGTCACAAAATGAGATATTGAAAATATGTAACACTAAACTCCCGGTGGACCCAAAGTAAAAGCGGAAATAATTTAGTTTATGTATATAATTTTACAATTTAAATCTGACTTCATTTTGTGCAAGTTTGATCAGAAATACGGAGATCATAATAAATTTAAGCGCGGTATAGAATTCTGATAACGACGACAAAATGGGTATTGACGTCAAGGCGGCGCAGCGCGCATACATAAAATTTTGTGTAGCGCTATGGAGAACTCCTTTCCAGACTAAACGACCTGCTTAAACAATAACAATGAGAAAAAAAACATGTCTAAGGGTTTGATGTTTTCATTGGTATATATTTTTTTCTTACAAATAATTCAACAAGAGTAAAAACAAAAGCTCCGGACGGCTATCAATTATTATGAAATAAATAACGTTGACCTGCGTTGCATACATCGGTACTGCACGATGCCAAGTCAACTTGTATATGACACTTCATGTAATTTATATTACACTGCGGTAGCAAGAGCATACATTTTATTTTTTTAAAAGAATCCTTTAAAAAAGAGACATTTGATTTTTATAATGTTATATGTGATAGCAGAGAAAGATAAGTAAACAATTCTCATTTGTTTCACATGCGAAAACATCTCCGGCTGACGTGACGTTTAAATGACGTAGCGATGCTGTTCCACATCTGTATGTTCATAATTTCACCGGAACTTGTCTAATTATCCTATAAATTAGAAATTTTGCACATTTGTTTTACTCATTCTTTATAAAATGTTCACGAATTTTCATGAATTTATCTCTGTCCTTTATCAGTGTTTATGGAGTAAAAGTAAATGTCTCAATAATTCCCTCGTACTTAATGACAAAAGCAACTAATAGGTATAAGGTATAAAGCTACTAAAGGAGGGCTATAACTGACAGAGGTTTCATACCAAACTTCATCATCAGGGCTTTCACTTATAGGGATATGAATCTTCTTAAAGGATATAGATACAGTAGACTCAATAAGTAGCTTAGTACACAATCTCTGTTAGCAGAAGCCGACAGTTAATGCCATGATACTTAATCGGTCAGCTTTAGCTTTCATTAAGTAGCATTAGCATTTCGCAAGTTCTATGGTCGATACAATGAACTTGTCAGCAAATGCAATCTATCATTAAGTCGAATGCTGACTGACGTTTTTCATACTAATTAATAGGCTATTATTTACACTGAATTGTATACGGATTTTTCTTTGCCCAATCATGACAAGGAGCACACGGCGGATGTGACCAGTCGACAGGGGATGCTTACTCCTCCATGGCACCTGATCCTACCTCTGATGTTTTTAGAGGTCCGTTTTTTGCTCTGCTCCAGATTTGTATTGTTTCAATGGATTTTTGAGCTTGATTACTTCCGTAATCTCCATATTTCATCCAGCCTCTGTCAGTTATAGCCCTCAGTATAAACACCGTTGCATAATCTCAGTCAGATGGAAACCTCATTACGTAGCATTATACCTATACCCAATCTCTGTCGGCTTTAGTATTCAATGAATACCATAATACACAATCTCAGTCAGCTTTAGCCCTCAATAAGTAGTTTTATACCTAATCGGTCTGCCTTGGTCCTTATTTAGTCTTTTTTAATCTCTTTCAGCTTTAATCATCATTAAGTACAACCTCTTTCCGCTTTATTTAGTACAATATGTGTAAGCTTCAACCCTTCATTAAGTACACTCTCTGTATGCAGTTGTCTTCATCATGAAAAATCTATGTCGACTGTAACCTTCCTTGACTACAATCTCTATCGGCTGTAGTCTACATTGAGTACAATTTATATCAGCTGTAGAGTATAATTTCTGTCTGCTGTAGCCCTCATAAGAAACATCTCTTGCTTGCTGTAGCTTTCACTAAGAGAAATATAGGTCAGCAGCAGCCTTCATTTCGTACAATCTCTGTCGGCTTTTCAGCTTTAGCCTTAATTAAGTACAGTTTCAGTCTACTGCTCTCTCTCTCACCCACACACACACACACACACACACAAACACACAACTTAATATAACAATGACAAGATTAGGTTCATTTTATATATGTTTATGTTTGTATTATAACATTGTGAATTTCAAATTAAAAAAAGATTTTAAAAAACACAATCTCTGTCAACTTAAGACTTCATTACATACGATCTCTGTCCGATTTAGCCTTCATAAAATGCAATCTCTGTCAGCTTTAAAGTTCATAAAATACAATCTCTGTCAGCTTTTAATTAACCTTCATTTAATACAATCTCTGTCAGCTTTAACCTTATAAAATACAATCTCTGTCAGCTTTAACCTTCAATAAGTACAATCTCTGTTAGCTTTAACCTTTATTAAGTACAATCTCTATCAGCTTTAACCTTCATTAAATACAATATCTATGTCAGTTTAAACCTTCATTCAGTACAATCTCTGTCAGCTGTTGTACCCATAAGAAGCTTTAGGCTTATATCCAGCCCTCATTAGGTAGGATAGCTTTAACATAATCTTTGTCAGAGACAGTCCTCATAAAGTAGTCTTATTCCCATTAGCTTAAATGAGCTGTAGTGTAGCCCTCATAATGAAACTTCATATCCATTTTTGTCAGATGTTTATTGGGTAGCTTCAATGCCGTAGCCAAGGAGGGGTAAAATGGGTGAGATCGCAATTTTGAGATTTTTGGGCAAAATAAAATTAAATAAAATGACTAAAAGCCCTTCACCTGTACAACAAAACAACAGTAACAACATCAATGAATCAATTTAATGCTTGAAAAGGACTTTCTGAATGCAGAGGAATAACCAAAATTGGTACCCGGGCTTTTTTTTTTAATTCTGGCTACTGCAAGGGGACATCACTCCCACACCCAATTTCCAGAACCCGGTGACGACCCTGAGCTTCATAGTCCATCTCTATCACTGTAATCTAGCCTTTTTACGATTAATTTGAAAAAAAAATAAATTGTCTGAGTAGAAGATGGAAAATTTACATGTATCTAATAAATAATGTTCCGAAAGTGTCAATTACCGAAATGTGCAATTATCATACTGTATGCAGGAACATTTTCGCCCTGGTTATCTAAGCGAATTTTGTACTGGACAAAATCTTTCGCAAATGTGAAAGGGCAATTGTAATCTGTAGAGAGTATTACATTTGTTTTAACGGAGTTAAGTTTTACTTTTATCAGTCGTTTGTGAAGACCAGGACCCGGGCTGTCCAGTGTTTGCTAAGTACACCCATATGTGTGCCCCAGACAATCCAAGAGGACCCATTACCTGCCCAAAAGCCTGTGGAATGTGTAGTAAGAACTTTAGATAGAACTTGATTTTCTGAACGTAGCATTCAGTAATGTAAACGCTTATTTTAGAGGTAATAATATTTTAGAGTCTTTCGTGCTGCTTCTTGTCCGCTAATTTAAGTAATTATTAAGGTAAGGTTTGTGATCACAGGGAGATAACTCCTACGAATCACTTAAGCGTTTGAAACCGGCGAAATTTAAACCAGCGATACAAAGCATTCAATCGCTAATGAACTTCGACTGTCAAACACCATGACATGATGATAGAAACAAACAGACTTACAAAGGACATTTCCAGTAGAAAGTCGTATAACAATTTAATGTGCAGGAATCTCAGAAGAATTAAGCGGACATAGTATGATACACGATTAATACCCAATAAAAGAGGACTAGATCTAGTAAGTTTATTTTCAATAACGAACCGGGCAAGTCATGCAAGTTGCACGTTTATTCGAGTCAACAGGAGCAAAGAATCAGACGTGTTGCACATTATGCTCCTCACCACTTTACTTTAACATGTTAAATGACATCGAGAACGAAAGAAAGAATAGATGTTGGAGCATCCTGTTACACTCCGCATGCCCTATGCACTCCGAACAGGGAAGGGAAGTCACAGAGCATTTGACAGTTTGCTATAGTTGCATCATACAGGTAATAATTTAACTGTTATTAAATTTTACGTATTTGTGGTTCATAACCGCGTATTCGATTACAATGACGGAAAGTTGTCAATGACTTAACGGATTACAGACATAAACAGTGATGAATGAACAGATCAGGGTGCATGTGACTAAAATCAGGCAATGCAGAAAAAGCTGTCATCCAACTGTTTTTAAATATCTCTCTCTCTCTCTCTCTCTCTCTCTCTCTCTCTCTCTCTCTCTCTCTCTAATTTTTTTTACACAATCAGAAAGCGTTTTAATCATTTTTAGCTCACCTCGGCGAAGTCGAGATGAGCTTATGCTATACCCCCGGCGTCGGTGTCGGCTTTAGCGTCAGCGACCCGGTTAAAGTTTTAGGAGCAAGTCCATTCCTAAGTAATTATAAGCACTACCTGGACCAAACTTGCATGGATGATGCATCTAAGGATGGACACTACCACACTTGCTTCGGATGCTGGATCTGACCTACATTTTCCAGATGAGTGACCAGGTTAAAGTTTTTGGAGCAGATCCATTCCCAAGTAACTATAAGCCCTACCTGGACCAAACTTGCATGGATGATGCATCTAGGGATGGACACTACCACACTTGCTTCAGATGCTGGATCTGACCTACATTTTCCAGATGAGTGACCAGGTTAAAGTTTTTGGAGCAGGTCCATTCCCAAGTAACTATAAGCTTTACCTGGACCAAACTTGCATGGATGATGCATCTAGGAATGGACACTACCACACATGCTTTGGATGCTGGATCTGACCTACATTTTCCAGATGAGTGACCAGGTTAAGCTTTTGGAGCAGATCCATTCCCAAGTAGCTATAAGTCCTACCTTTACCAAACTTGCATGGATGATGCATCTAGGAATGGACACTACCACACTTGCTTTGAATGCTGGATCTGACCTACATTTTCCAGATGAGTGACCAGGTTAAAGTTTTTGGAGCAGGTCCATTCCCAAGTAACTATAAGCCTTACCTGGACCAAACTTCCATGGATTATGCTTCTAGGGATGGACACTACCACACTTGCTTCGGATGCTAGATCTACATTTTCCAGATGAGTGAGCAGGTTAATGTTTTTTGAGCAGGTCCATTCCCAAGTAACTATAAGCCCTACCTGTACCAAACTTGCATGGGTGATGTATCTAAGGATGGACACTACCACACTTGCTTCGGATGCTGGATCTGAGCTAGATTTTCCACATGAGTGACCAGCTTAAGATTTTGAAGCAGGTCAATTCCCAAGTAACTATAAGCCATACCTTGACTAAACTTGCATGGATGATGCATCAAGGGATGGACACTAACCAACCTGCTTTTGATGCTGAATCCGACGTAGATTTTCCATCTGAGTGAATTTTAGCCATACTTTAATCAAATTAGCAAGGATGGTGTATCTAGGGATGGACACTTCCAGACTTGCTTTGGATTCCGAATCTGACCTTAATTTTCCAGATGAATGTCCAGGGTAATTTTTTTTTTTGAAATAGCTACATGTATATAATATTATGGTCAGTTATAATTAAACTTGCATTGATGGTGCTTCAAAGGAGGAAAACTTCCAGATTTGCTTTGGTGTTGGAACTGACCAACATTTTCTTGATTAGTAAACAGGATAAAAGTTTTTTAAGCAGGTCTATTTCCAAGTAACTATAAGTCGTACTTAAACTAAACTTGCATTGATATTGATCTTGGGATGTACACTAACTAGAAAAAAAAATATGATGTGAAATTTGCCTTACTTATAAATAACATTCGTTTGATTACCTATGTTTTATGAAATAGTTTGAATTATTTATTCAATATTGACACTTATTCAGATCTAGAGTTATTTCACACTGAAAACTGGTTTTCACTAAATTTCTCCCTAGACAGATTTCAATAAGAATTTTATGAATTTTTATTAATTTTATAATCTCAGAAAGGATTTAAAAGTACAATATAGGTAAAATGAAAGGGGGGTTAAGTCATAAACTCTGGTAGTTAGTATCAAGACCTATTTTCAAAACTTCTTCCTAATATACTTATATGCACTTGATATATATGTTCTACCATTTGCTGACTGCTAAGCCGAATTGATTGTCCTGCATAGGGGTAAATTTTGGTTCTCTCAGAATAAATACATGAACTAGCTGGCACATGTAAGTACATTGTATTTTGTTTTCAATTTTTTTTAGATTGAAGTAACCTTTGATGGGGGCTTGTAGAGACAGCTGGTGCAGGTTGGAATTATGACAGTAATATAGGTGAGCTTTTCTTAACTACAGATTGTATTAATTTTTTTTTTCCAACTAAGTGATGATGTAAAATTTAATATTTGGTTAATTTGGATAGATTTTCGATTGAATGGTTTTAATGAGGACCTGTGTATATGTGCTCTCAACTATTCAAGTTACCTTCAGTGAATGAAGTTCTATTTTTATAAGTATCTCATTTTAAAAGAGAGAGAGAGAGATCTGGATTATGCATGAACACTTCTGAATAATGTTAGAGTGTGTTTTAGAACATTCACTTGTCAAGCTTATGCATTCATCTAATTATATTCAATCTGTAGATTTTATAATAGTGCCATATTAGCTATTCATTGATTATGTTGGAAATTCGCTCATTTCGTAAAATGAACACACGCTCTCAGATTATGGTACAATAACTGGAAAAGATTCAGGAAAAAGTACTTCAATTCTTGTTTAGAAAATCTGTGCCATCCATCATAGTAAAGATCATCCTATACCAGCTCATGAATGTTAAGAAAATTGATGGATCAAGCAAAGATGTGGAACCTGATATGCAGATACCAATGGCCCAGGATTTGGAGGAGACTGATTACAAAATAAATGTTATCCATGGAAACAGTGATTCCACAGCAGCATCCTATCTACAGGCTGTTTTTCCTTATATTTAGGAAAAAATAAGAGTCTGGGTACTTTGCTTCTCCATATTTGAACTTGTATTTAGTAAAATAAATGTATGCATCAGAGGTATGAATTGAAGGTGGCGTTTGTCTACTTAACAAGTTTCCATGTAGTATTCAAAAAAGGATAAAAGTAATATTTCAAGGAAAGTACTATTAAGAATAACTATGCAATATTTTTTTATTCATTTATGCTAACTTGGACCCAAACAAGTATAAGTGAGGTCAAATAAGTATTTCCTGAAGACTGTTGAAAGTGTTCTACATAAAGTTATATATCTACAGGTAAAACATATGGGGTATTCAAAGTGGTTGTTCACTTAGTAGGAATGATAAGACCATTTTAAACCAAAAGCACCTCAAATGATTTTGAAAAAATCCAATTACAGTAAAACATACTTATATCGAACACGCTTATAATGAATTGATGCTTACAGCGAAGTGGTTTTCATTCCCCATGGCTTGATTTAAAACATATTGTGAAATGAAAGATAGAAGGAATTATATGTTTATAAGCAAAATCGTCCATCCCTGGTACTTCATTATAAGCCTGTTTTACTGTAGATAAATATTGTATCTTTTTTTTCTTTTTTTTTTTGTAAGTACATTTTGCTTACAGCATACGTTTGCAAGTATGTGTGAATTCAACTGTACTCAAATTCAAATCTTTCATTATTTTCACTTTTTTGATTTGATAAAGAAGAAAATTTATGAGATTACATGGATATATCATAATTGTTGTAGCAAGATATCCATAGATAATGAACAATAAATATATTTTTTGTCATTTTAGCATTATTTTTTCCTGTTCTTGTCAAATGTTCAAATGCAGAATTTTACAATTTCTCTGAAATCAGAAGTGCTTGCACTGTGAACTCATAAAGTATGAATTCATGTCACTTAGAATCCATTGTTATTTTTTTCTTCCATACATTACATTTTGATCAATATTCTCAGATTGATCAAATGATTGATATGTAAAAGTAGGTTACTGCAGTTTAGAGTAACGAAAATCTGATGATTGTAAAAATAGCAGCAAAATTTAAAAATTTTGTTTTTTACCCAAATTTCCAAATTTTGAATAACAGAAATAAAAGGTTAAAAACCCAATTTAAAGTTAACCCCCTCAAAATCTACGTGATTCAAGATCAATAATATACCTCCTGCCAATCATTAAAAAAAACAATAGCTTCTGATTTGATTGACAGACCAGCTACCTGTGCCACCTGATAATCTGAATTTTCATGTCTTGAAAACAATTACCTGATCACGCTTCAAATGCTTTCATGTACTGCGTGAATAGTCGCTTCGTATACACTCTTGGTAAAAAAAAATCAAGTGGCTGTTATATCGGTGGGTAATTTTATTTCAAGGAAATAATGGAGAGTAGATAATTAAACCTTGACTTCATGAATTCTCTACTGCTGTTTTGTACTTGAAACCGATATGACGCCCAAAAATATTAAACTGTAGAACTTTTCGAAGAAAAACTAGCGGTTCTTCGGGTCCTTTCTTTCTTCAGTGACTGGGACTGGGATCTCGAGGGAAGAAGTTTCTGTAGCAGCTCAGACCAATAATTTTCCGAGCCCCCTTATTTAACCTGAGTCTGGATTTTAAGAATATCCATAATGCCCTATGTGGACCTTGTACTTGGGTAAACAGAAACTCAATTCGCCGTAATATTGGAAGACCCCCTCCCCACCAATCAAAATTATAACAAAATGGAATAGAATAAATAAAAAATATTTAGCGCTAGCGGTATTAAATACGAAAGATTCCTTTATTACATGTTTTATACGCTAACGTCTATATTCTTAATATAAAAGAGTGAAGACAACGAACAAAAAACCATACAAATCTGTGCACGGGGTATAACAACACGGACCCTCGAAAATGGTGAATATTTTGGACATCATTTTTGGCCAAAAAAATTAAATAATATTCCGATTGTCGTAAATGTCCACACGATAATTGGAATCTTTTTTATTTCAAAATTCACACTTAATAATGATTTTCTTTTACTGAGGATTAAAAACTATTGATATGATTGCTTTGTAGTTTTCACTCGGTTTTATATATATATATATATATATATATATATATATATATATATATATATATATATATATATATATATATATATATATATATATATATATAATCTGAAATTTTTTTTAAGAATGATATTTATAATATTTTCTTCAAAAGAAATCGATGAAATTGTCTAGTTTACAGTTTTTTTTAATATTTAAATTTATGAATTATTTTAAGTAGTTTCAGTCAAAATTAGGCACCAATCACCTTATGTTGACCCAGATTACCAAAGATAGACTTCCTGTGTAATGCAACGTGTTTATGGATGTTTGACATCTTTCGTATTAGGGGTCTCCAGGTAAATAACACCAGTACAACTAAGACCACTCCCCCTTCTCAGGTAACCGTACGGTAAAAAAAATTGGGTCTTTAAGATAAATTTAGCATAAAATGTAATAATTCATGCCATTTTAATTATTTTAATATGGTAATTTATCAAATAAATCGATTTTTGTCATTGAAAATAATTAAATGGGATAAAACATGAGATACCTTAAATTTGGCGTATTTTGATTAAAAAACGGGACGGTGGCAATGTGTTTTTAAAGCATATTAAATGATGAAGCTATTCTTCCCGAATAAATTGATGTATGACATTTGTACAACATTTAAAATTAAAATAAAATTTGGAGGTGGTCGCAAACCTTACCTTAAAACAGTAAATATTAGGGATGTCAATGAGTACCCGGTTAACCGGGTACTCGATCGAACGTCCGAATATCGAATACTAAAAATGGTACTCGGTTACTCGGATGTGTATTTTTTCTTATTTCAAAGTGAATATTTTTATCAAAAACTAACTTGATATTAGCGTGTCGTCTAAAACACCCGTTATCGCCTGTGGTTGTGTATTTACAGTAATTAGTGACCAATCCCCCAGCTGTTCTCACCTATTGTGGTCCTTAATTTTTAGATGGCTTCAATGATTGTTTTCAGGGAACATCGATGGTCTATTATCTTCAAATCATTTTAAAATTACTAGTATTTAGTTAATACACAGAAACGAAATCGAACATGCATAGAAATGCCACTACCCACTTCAAAAGTGAAGAAATATTTAGAAATAACTAAAGATTTTAAAAAATGTTGAAAGTCAGTTTGCGCAGTAAGTTTAGTGTATACGGAGGAAACAATCAACATATGAATAATATTATGACTAGCGATCCTAACAACGTCCGTTCCTTCTCTTTCGCTAGTCTAATCATCACAAACATGCGTAACAAATTGTCCGCCTTTTGATGAAAAAGATCCTTAACAAGAACTCTAAACCATTTGTAATTTTTGATGTAATAATTATTATGTCTTTTGTGTTTATTTGATAAATAAATTTAGTACCAAAAATCATTTACGTTGGAATCGATGTTTATATACATTTATAAACGTGATAAAAACAGCTTTGGGGTTTAACGGGGCTCAAGAAAATTAACACACTTGTATTTACATTTTTACTGAGTACCCGGGAATTGATCGGAAAAGCGTCCGATTAACCGATTTGACATCCGTAGTAAATATAGAAGCATGGCACATAAGTGCTAATTTATAATTACGCTAATCAGCTAGAGAGGAAGAATGTGCTAAATTTTTATTGATTGATTGAGCGTATGTTGTTAAATTTTCAGTTGTTCGAGAATGTTCACTTCCATAGAGCGGTGAAGGGATTCGAATTTATACCTAATATCGGCACTCGGGGCCATGAGCAGTAAGGGTTCTTTATCGTGATAACGCCTACCGTGACACAGATCCTCGGATTTTAAGGTCTCTAAAGAAAGACAGGTGACTTTCACATCTAATGCAGGCCCGTAGGAAGCAATTGTTTTGGGAATTAGGCTGGAAAAGTAAGAAAAAAGAAATGACCCTCGAATAATTTTAGTGGATTTGCTGACAATGGGCCCCTAAAATAATATTCGGCAACAGGAAGTGATGTGGTTTAAGGTTCAAGGTGAAAATGTATAAATTATCTAAACGTTTCAAAAAATGATGTGTGTGATTCGAAATCAACCGGATATATTTCTGTTAAAATACCATCGGATACGTATTGGATACTTTATTGACGGCAAGATTGTAACAGTGTGCAAAATTCGGAGGAATTTTTTTATTTTTTCGTGTTTATTGGAAGTGCATTTTTATCAAGATTCTAATGGTGTGAAAAATTGTAAAGTAATTTCATGTATTTCCGTGTGCATTTGAAATACATTTTTAACGAAATAAATTCTAATAGTGAGACAAATTCGGAGGAATTATTATTTTCATGTGTATTGAAAATACCTTTTTAAACTCTTTTATCTCTTTTGTTCATTGCTTAAGGACAGGTGATACAAACAAACTTTAATTAAAAATCTTGAAAATATATAAGAAAATAACAACTTAAGTCATGTTTATGTAAGTAAAATGCCTGTTTAACAGCAAAGATTTTAATTTTTCATCCAAGGTTTCACAAAAATGGGGTTTAAATTGACAAAATATTTATAGATTAATAAGGATGGTTGCAGAAAGGTAGAATTTTAACATGTTAGAAAGTTTACAATTTCTTAATATTTCAGAAATATATTATTCCCATCATTTACAAGCAAAATAGGTCCAAAAATATATAACTGATCCAGGCATCCATTTTTTCCTTTGGTTTGTACCATCTATTCATAATTATTTTTTTTATGCACAGTTGGATATTTGAATAATAAATCGATGGGCAATTGGATATTCGAATATCCAACTGATAGACAGTTGGATATTTAAATATCAAAGTTTTGGTGATTGAATAGGTAAAATAGACTAATAACAATGGATGACGTCATTGAAGTTTTTTAAGTACTAGTACAGTATATTTGATGAGTAAACTATATATGTCTAATGACGGCTTCCGGTACACCTTCACTAACCCAACGTTGAGCACACACTGAAAAACATTAACAATTCTTTGCGAAAGGAGAGAAGGTTGTATGAACAACGAATGGAAAGCGAACACGCTGTAATGTATAAGCGGAGCGCCTGCAGAAAGTGAATGCTGAGCGATCAATCTCACAAACGGTGAAAGAGCTGCAGAAATATTATTTCTAACATTGATTCAATTTATTTAACGATTTTATTAATGTCATATGTCATTTCTGAAAACACAAATGCTTCTTAGCTTCGTCTTACCAGAGCAATAGATAGATTGAACGGAGGGCGAATGTACTATAAGCAAAATGTGAACGAACTAAGAGCAAAAGGTACACATACACAGAAAATGAATAGTATAACGTGTAGGAAGATATTTGTTCATGAAAATCATTAGCATTTCAACAAGCAACTAAAGCATGTTCAGACTCATCAGAGCTTTCGTTTATAAAGATGCAGTAATTGATGGTGGTTGGAGTTCCTGGGGACCATGGTCTGCCTGTAGCGCCTCATGTGGTGATATAAGTGTTAGGAACCGGAAACGTCAGTGTAGTAACCCCGTCCCAAGAAATGGAGGGAAGGACTGTGAGGGGACGCTGTTTGCGTTTGAGTTGTGTAACGTCACGGCGTGTTCTACAGGTGCGTCCTCTTGTGTGTTCAATGTCCGTGTCTTTAATTTCCTTTCTTTAGTTTCTTGAGTCCTTTAGAGGCCAGATTAGCGAATTTCTCGTTTTATAAACACATTATATTATGAAATCATTTGTCTGATCAAATTTCTAAAGGTAAAATTTACAATTGGTCACCTTCTTTAAGTGATAATCAAGTTAAATTATTATCAGCTTTATCAAAATAAGCAAATTACAAGAAGTATAAATGTTAGATTGCACTTCATGAATATCGTTTTGCCACTAACGTGACTAAATAGTCATTGATTAAAAGGCTAGATTTTTTTGAAAAACTTTATTGCAAAGAGTATATGAATTAGTTAATTTGTATATATAGAAGAAACTGTTAAGAGAAAATTTTTTTGTCAACTTCATAAGTATGGTTTTCAGGGATGCAGCTATCAGGCCACAACAATTAGGGAAATTAACAAAATTTAGCCATTTGGGTTTTTTTATATTTATATTGTCCCATCAATTTAGTTTTTGTTAGAACTGTTTCTATAAACAAATAATTTGCCCTTAGTGGAACCTTAACGATAATTTCTTTAGTACATGTACAATTCAATGGAATCATAAGGCTCGCTTCTTTTGACGAATATTGATTTCAGATTGCTCAAACAATAGGCAAATATATCTTGTGGGAAAACAATGTTGTCCTAGAGTCATTGGAAGCACAAACAAATCATGAAAATCGCAAGCTGTAATGAATATATGATTACATATTATGAACTAGCTTCAATTTTTAAAATAAAATGATAGTGGGTTCTGCTTTTATGAGCATCCATCTCTGTTTCCTTTTAACAAGAGGCCCATGGGCCACATCGCTCACCTGAGTAACTTTGGCCATGCTGTTCATTACCAGACTTCCCCCTTGTAATACCTATTGTGTCCCGCCCTACCCCCGGGGGCCATGATTTGAGCAATTTAGAATCTACACTACCCCAGGATGCCTCCACATAAGTTTCAGTTTTTCTGGTCCAGTGGTTCTTGAGAAGAAGATTTTTAAAGATTTTTCCTATATATTTCAGTGTAAAACTTGGGATTCCCTATTGTGTCCCCGCCCTACCCCCGGGGTCATGATTTGAACAATTTAGAGTGTACACTACTTGAGGATGCTTCCACATAAGTTTCAGATTTTCTGGCAGAGTGGTTCGTGAGAAGAAGATTTTTAAAGATTTTTCCTATATATTTCAATGTAAAACTTGTATTCCCTATTGTGGCCCCGGCCAACCCCTGAGGGTCATGATTTGAACAATTTAGAATCTCCACTACCCCCAGGATGCTTCCACGTAAGTTTCTGCTTTTCTGGCCCAGTGGCTCTTGAGAAGAAGATTTTTAAAGATTTTTCCTATATATTTCAATGTAAAACTTGGATTCCCTATTGAGGCCCCGCCCTACCCCCGGGGGTCATGATTTGAACAACTTAAAATCTACACTATCCCAGGATGCTTCCACGTAAGTTTCAGTTTTTCTGGCCCAGTGGTTCTTGAGAAGAAGATTTTTTAATGACCCCACCCTATTTTTGTCTTTTCTTGATTATCTCCCCTTGTAAAGGGACTTGGCCCTTTATTTTAACAACTTAAACTCCCCTTTACCCAAGGATACTTTGTACCAAGTTTGGTTAAAATTGGCCCAGTAGTTCTTAAGAAGAAGTTGAAAATGTGAAAAGTTTACAGACGGACGGACGGACGGACGACGGACAACGGGTGATCAGAAAAGCTCACTTGAGCTTTCAGCTCAGGTGAGCTAAAAATCATAACGAGGAAAAATCGTTTGGAGTATTAAATACAAGGCGATCTCTCTCTCTCTCTCTCTCTCTCTCTCTCTCTCTCTCTCTCTCTCTCATGGATTTCAATACAGACTAGATGTTAGGAACTTTTAGGTTTTTGGTAATATTGTTTTGGTAGAATATGAAATTTTCATGATGTTTAAAAAGTTCGTATAATTATTTTCCATAGACATCCTTTCTGCCACATTCAGATGTCAATCCAGATGTCTAAAGAGGTGGATTCAATATTCAGAAATTACTGCTGGTAGTCTATGTCGCATGTTCCTGGAAATGTTTAAACATGTTAAAGTCTTTAAAAAATACCATGTATATTTTTATTCCAAGTTATTTTATGCATCAGTACTTAAATGAATGATTAATTGTCTAAGAATTTAATTACCCCTTATTTTAGAGGTAATAATATTTTAGAGTCTTTCGTCCTGCATCTTGTCCGCTAATTTAAGTATACATTAAAACAATAAATAAAGAAGCATGGCACAAAAAGTACTATAATAATTACCCTAATCAGCTAGAGAGAAAGAATAATTTAAATTTTTATTAATTGATTGTATGTTGTTAAACGTCCAATTCGAGAATTTTTCACTCATATAGATACATCACCGGATGTCGATGAAGGGCTTCAAATTTAGACCTATACTCGGCACTCGGGACCATTGAGCAGTAAGGGTTCTTTATCGTGCCAACGTCAACGTGACACGTGACTTCAGTTTTCAAAGTCTCATCCGACAGGTAACTTTAACTTCTAATGTCAGGCGAAGGAACAGTCACTACCCATGTTTATATCTTAGGTTTGACGCAGCGCGGCGAAAGAGAATCTAATCCGGGCCTATAAATAACGAAGCAAACGCCCTACCACTAGACTACCGTGACCGCTGCTAAATTTTATTTTGTGCGTTTACAGTATGTTTGATAGTAAACTATAATATATGTCTAATGACGGCCTCCGCTGCACCTTCTCTCACCTAGCTTTTACTAGCCCAACGTTGAGCACACACTGAAAAACGTTGAGCACATACAGAAAAACAGTACATAAACGTTGAACAATTCTTCGCGAAAGGAGAGAACGTTGTATAAACAACGAATGGAGAGCGGGCAGCCTGTAAAGTAAGCAGAGCGCCTACAGAAAGTGAATGCTGAGCAATCAATCTCACAAATGGCGAAAGAGTTGCAGAATTATTATTTCTAATATTGATTCAATCTATTTAACGATTTTATTAATATGCCATTTCTGAAAACACGTGCTTCTTAGCTTTCCCTTACCAGAGTAATAGAGGGAGTGAACAGAGAGCGAATGTACTATAAGCAAAATGTGAACGAACTAAGAGCGAAAGATACACATAAACAGAAAATGAATATTATAACATGTAGGGAGATATTTGTTCATGAAAATCATTAGCATTTCAACAAGCAACTAAAGCATGTTCAGACTCATCAGAGCTTTCGTTTATAAAGATGCAGTAATTGATGGTGGTTGGAGTTCCTGGGGACCATGGTCTGCCTGTAGCGCCTCATGCGGTGATATAAGTGTTAGGAACCGGAAACGTCAGTGTAGTAACCCCGTCCCAAGAAGTGGAGGGAAAGACTGTGAGGGGAGGTCGTTTGAGTTTGAGTTGTGTAACGTCACGGCGTGTTCTACAGGTGCGTTCTCTTGTATGTTCAATGTCCGTGTCTTTAATTTCCTTCCTTTTGTTGTTTGAGTCTTTAAGGGGCCAGATTATAGATTTACTTGTTTTATAAGCACAAATTTAATCAATCTTTATCCAAACAGGTAAACTGAAAAAATTCGAAGCAAAATAATATTAAGTTTATTATGAAAACACTTGTCTGTTCAAATTTCTAAAGAGTAAAACTAACAAAAGGTCACTTCCTTTCAAGTTAGATTATCGACTCAGATTATTGTCTGCTTTATCAAAATAAGAAAATTACAAGAAGTATTAATGGTAAATTGCACTTCGTGAACATCGTTTTGCCCCTAAATAATCATGGATTGAAAAGCTAGATTTTTTGAAAATTCATTCTTTTTAAAGTGCATTGTAAGAAGTTAATTTGTAGAATAAACTGTTAAATGAAATATTTTTGTTAACTTAATAACTAATGTTTTCAGGTTGGTAACCATCAGGCCATAACAATAACATAAACAAAAGCCATTTGTTTTTTTTCCATATTTTTATTGTATTATCAATTAAGTATTGTTAGAACTGTTTGTATAAACAAATAATTTGCCTTCAGTGAAACTTAACAGATAATCTATTCAGTACAATAGAACCATTGGGATTGTTTCTTTTGACGGATATGGATACCGGTCCATAGTGCACAAATAATAGTCGAACAGTAGGCATATCTTTTGGAAAACAGTGTTGTCGAACACAGTCATTGGAAGTACAAAAAAATCATGAGATTTGCAAGCGGTAATGATATATATAATTAAATATTGATTGATTGTATGTTGTTTAACGTCCGATTCGAGAATTTTCACTCATATAGATATGTCATATAATTAAATATTATGAACTAGCTTGAATAAAAAATAGGAAAACGATCGTGTTTTCAGGTTTTATGAGCATCATTCTGGTTTCAAAAATCATAAATCGAGAAAAAATCGTTAAGGATTTTAGGGATCAACCTTAGGCATGGCATCTTGTTGAGGTCCTCCTGGGATCAGCCCGGGGGTTTGTTTTGTTTTGTCGCCTTCTGGGATCAGCCGCAGGCATTATGCATCCCTGGGATCAGCGGGGGAGTGTTGGTGTTTTCAGGCCGAGGAGTGTTTAATACCGTACCATGTATATTTTTATTCTCTTTAGCACTAGTATTTATATGAATGATTAATTTTCAAAGACGTACTTATTTGTAGAAAGATAAAATCAATTTCAATCTTATATCTGTTTATCGGTATTCATCTTTCAGGTAGATTTTTATAAAACATATTACCTTATATTCTATATCCATATAGATTGTTTTTGACATTTGTTCGTCACTTTACTTACATTGTAGTATCTCTTACATGTTATCAGTTCATACTTTTTATCGATCACTGGCTAAACATATCCCTCATGTGTTACCTGAAGCCTTATAATTTTCTTCCCTGTAAAGCAAAATCTACCCAATACCCATGAACCCATAAAAGCAAAATCTTTCAGTTGCAAAATATTTTTTTAAGAAATATCTTGGAAGGAATATAATGTATACGATAGCCCGCATCACTATGTACCCAGAAAAGAGAATTTCAATTTTCGAACATATGGTCTTGTAATAAATTGTAATGTTCCTTCTATAAGTCTGGGTTGCATTATTTCAAAAGAACGTACGATTAAGACCAAAAATTTAGCTGATTATAAGATCTTGCAAAATTGGTTTTACATATCTTGTTGAAAATTGCTTGACAAAAAATAACTTTCAAAATTCTTTTCTTTTTTTTTAAATTAATTCCATTTTAGAATAAATGTACAAAAAGGTTATCACAAAATTTCATTTTTTTTAGAATTGACACCTGGATTCCTATCTAATATATAACACGTAACATTTCTTATATTCACGAGAAATTTCCTTTCGTCAAGGATACATTGTCATGTTAATTAAAAAAGGAATTATATCGATTTAAAGAGATTATGACTTAAGAGGGCTGGGTGGTTGTGGCCATTTTCAGACTATATTTATCTCCTTTAGAAGAAGAGCTCCATATAAAGATATACAAAAATGATCAAATTTTAAAACTAAAATGAATGAAATTTTTCTTTGCCATATGATAGTTGACAGATTAAGATATCATATCTAAAAAAATAATTTATATCTGCTGGTTAATTTGTTGACCCCTCAGCCTCCTTAAACACAAATATAAATACATTGTACTTCATTTGTAAAGAAGATATCTCAGTAACAAAGATAAAACATCTTATACAAGTACAGTGCTCCCCCTTTTTTACCGCCGACATTTGCACCTCGGCAAACGTGTTCTTCACAATATGTACTTACTTGATTACTGCAGACTTAATTTGGATTATAAGCAGGGTTGCAGAGTCGGATCAATAAATATGACTTGAAAGATGTGATGATCAGTATTATCTAAAGATTAATTTAAATGAGTTTTAAACATATTGAATGATTTTAAGAGGAATATAAATATGTATTCTTATCTGAATATTTGTCAATAAATTTTCTTCTAAATACCGATCCAATTTTTGATAAAAAAAAAAAAAAAGAATTCTTATTGGCGGTAATTATCAGGGGTGATAATAACGGTAATTGACAGATTTGAAGTCAAAATGTGTTGGCAGCTGATGGCGATAGGCGGGAAAATGGCGTTAAAACGAAGTTTTATATAGCAAGGAAATCGGGACTGTAGTTTTTGTTTTGTTTTTGTTGTTTTTTTTTTCTGTAAGCCGGGGTGGCATTACAAAAGGGGCATTATAACGAGGGAGCATTGTATATCTCTATATTTGAGGGATACTCTGCTTGATTTGTGAATATTTAGTAAATATATGCCATAATTTAACATTGTAGCAAAGTAATGCCTATTGTAGGAATACAGTGTCCTGTCTGTGATGAAAATCTATCATGTAGCTGGAACACTACCTGTGATGTCACAGAGACGTGTATGATTAGGTCCTATTCTGGGAATTTTACCGTACACTGTTCTAAGGTGAGAGTCGTGTATAAAGAAAATGATAATTGTGATTAAACACTGTAAATGGCATGTAGTATCATAAAATCCGCAGGGAAATTGCTTGGGGTGAACTGGGTAAACTGGAATCACTTAGCCCGTCTGTTTGTCCGTAGATGCAAGATAAAGCTCAGTGCTTTCAATTTCTGGCTTATCTCAAGAGATATTAATACCGGACTTGCTGATGTGGTGGATCTGTGGATAAAAAAATTAGATTTATGACTTACCTTTGCCAGCTGAGGCTGGACATATCAGCCCTGTAAAGACAACAATAGTTTGGTTCTATAGCAAAAGGAGTGAAAAACGAGACAAGGTCCTAAAGTGAAATGATTCTTTTATTATTTATTTAAGTTTATTGGTTAAAGACACGTTTGGTTTTGTCTTCAATGGTTACTGTATGAATAAGTAAGATGTAAATTTTCTTTGATAGAAGACGAGATTGATAAGGTCTGCAGTGGTTACTGTATGATTAAGTTATATATGTGATACAAAGTACAGTAAGATAAGAGGTTTATATGAAGTTTCTTTGGTTTAAGATGAGTTTGATTAGGTCTATATACAGAGATTATTGGGAAATGTGAAGATTACAAACAGTATTCTTGCTCAAAAGTCCAATTAAACAACACAAACTGAGAGCAGAGCAAGTACAGACCCCTGAAAACATCGGAGGTGTGATCAGGTGCCGTGGAGGAGTAACCATCCATTGTCGACCGGTTACATCCGCCGTTTGTCTTTGTCATGATCGGATAAAGGGAGAAAAAATTGTGAGGAAAATGTCAGTCAACATTCGACCTTTCGTCATACGGTATTTGCATACAAAGTCAAGGTATATTGTAGAATCTGCGGAATGTTGACTTTAAACGAGATTGTTGATACCTTGTATGTTTGGTAATAGAATTCTGGTACAAAGCCTCGGCTGTTGCTCTTGCTGTCTGGTTTTTGGATGGTATTGCCTGTGCAACCCTGTAAAGTGGTCCATAAAAAAGGATGTGATAATAACCTCCCTTGGATGGCTCTAGTGTTAGAAAGTCTGTACGTATACCAACTCCAGCTGATATGATGTTCTGTTGGGGATGAGAGGTGCTCGCTGGTTAGTAGGTAACCATCGTCTCAAACATCAATTTATCCACAAGTCGATATCCTGATTCTGCCCATTCCAGTGGAACCGTTCTTTGATAAGGGAGTGAGTCTATTTCGACCAGGATGACAAAAGTCAGTCATTATTTAGACTCTTAAAGATTACTGGAATTAAATCTGCAAGTACTACTAACTCTTTCTTGTTGTTCCATCTATTTCAGCGTTCCTCTTTAGCACTCCTACTTCTAGTATGAAAGAGTTGAAGTCCCTGATTAATTCTAAAGAATGTTGACTAGGCGCTTATTCGTGATCCATCCATGACTTCCTTTCTGACCTTACATGGTGTAACAAATTCCTCAGTACAGGATCTTTGTGCTGAGATGTTTCCAAGTTGATTGTTTGAAACTGAAAATAACCTGAAGAAGGATTAATATTATTTGCAATACCTAATTCTAATCAAAAGTTCTCTACTTATGGAACTTGAGCCTATATGGAATGATATAAAGCTTTGAAAGAATCTGTGAATATAGGAGAATTTTGAATGTTAGAATCAGTAAGTGGAGAAGTCTATCTGCATTTGAGTTGTTTCTGTCTGGTCTATACTGGATTTCCAGATCAAAGTTTGCTAAGGAGGAATCTAATTTAACAGTAGTTAGTACATACGCAAGAGGATTATTTTCAGTTAGAACTTTGGTCTTACTACATGTACCTAACAAGTAGTCCTTAAACTTGCACAGATTGCCCATTTCAAGGCTAAAAATTTCAGCTTGTGTGCTGGGTAATTTTTCTCTGCTTTACTGAGACCTCTGCTGACGTAGCTAATCACCTTCGTCTTTCCTTCCTGCTCCTGGTATAGTATAGCACCTACAGCATGATAACTCCCATCCGTGTGCAATTCAAAAGTACATAATATAGGTGGTGTTACAAGAGCCTCTTAAGTTGGTCGAACAATTTTTGCTATTCTGCATCCATTTTCAATAATTTAGGTATTTTCTTTTGCAGCTCTTTTGCTATCTGTAAGTGTAGGTATTAACTTTGAAAGCAGTCTTGCAATCTTTCTGAAATCTCCAATGAACTTCCTATAATACCCTACAATTCCTAAGAATTTACTTACCTTCTCAGATGTTGTTGATGTTGGCCAGGTTAATACTTTTCTAGTCTTGTCTGGATCTGTTTCCATGCCCTCACTCGACACGATGTGCCTAACATACTTCACTCTTTTCTGGAAAAATGTACATTTCTTTGGTGAAAGTTTTAGACCTGCTGTTCGTAGTATGTCAAAAACCTGTTTTAGTCTCCGTGATAATGTTTAGGATATTTGTCCTTAAGAGAACTGGAACGTTCCTATGGTAATTGGTATCATCTACGAGGAGAAAGCATCCAGAAAGTACTCTATTATTTTCAAATCTTGGTGATGATATTTGTAAATTTTATAACTCCTTTGCGGTAAATGACTTTCGTCTGCACACTGAAGTTGAAATGTTTCTTGGAATGCTACATTTTAAAAAACAGGGGTGTTTAGGTTTATAACAAACACTGAACAAAGAAAACACAAGTGTTAGTACAGCATTGCACAGGGCTATATGATTGAGTGAATATCTGAATGAATAATGAATAAAATAATGAATGAGGATATACTTTGATAAAATTATATAAATTTAACTAAAATAAATATCCTAAAAATAAAAAGTACAAGGGATATGCATGATTTTTTTGGTCAACAGACGTGTTTGATTTGCAATCTTCAGTGGTTACTGTATGACTTTGTAATTAGAGGTGATACAAAGTACAGAGAGCATAGCTCATAAGGTGAAAAGTTTGTGTCATCAACCAGGTCGTACATATTCGGTTGAGACGTTTGATGTTTTGTAGCAAAATGACTTTAGTCTGAAGATGTATATGATGGACGATAGAAAGCGCTTTATGTCAAAAAGGTATGGTTAGCCTTTATGATGAACATGATATGGATAAATAGGAATATGAATAGCATGAAGTGTTGTTTCAATCTGCTGTTTTAAACTCTCGTATTAGTAAAAAGAAAAAGCTGAGCGAATTTTTGTTTAAATATCTTTTTATTTAGTGAGTATATGTATCAGCAATGGAAACATTCCTAAATTACTTTCAAAGGTTACCAAAGAGTATTATGTTTTATCATTTCTAAGTTGTCGATATCATAATTAAACTGTGAATATTCTGTGTTTAGAATTTTACAATAATACTTATAATGGAGTCATATAATGCAACTCAAATTATTTTTAATGCTTAATGTATTGTAGCCTGAAGACTGTATGTTTGAGAGGCATGTGCTTACATCGGGGGAGATATACTGTTGTGACGACAGAGCATGCCTAAGTAAAATCCTAGGAGTATAAGAGACATGTGTAGTGTAGTTTATCATTCCAAGTAAATAGGATGGAAATTTTACAGTCATTTCTTTTTTCGTATGTTAAGACTTATTATAGGGTGAGTTAACCATGCATCGGACACATAGCTTGGTTCGGACAACTTTAAGCAATAAACTTTCATTGAACCTGAGTCTTCCTGTGTTTTTATTTGTTTCTGTCTTGAAGGTGAAGATTTAAACTTTTTAATGATGACGACTTTTATTTTCATGTTGTGATAAAAATACCACAAGAATGGCCTTGAAATTACGTCATATTTTGCGTCATCAAAGGGGAGTAACCAGAATTTTACGATTTTGCAATTTTTTAGAGTTGTGGTTCTTTTAATTAGACTTCAACGTAACGAGTCCGGGCCTAGGTAAAATTTGTCAATGATTGATAATTTTTAAGAATTTTTTCAAAAGTTTTACTTCAATGCTTGTATGATTTTTCAGAGTTGTTTTTTTTTACTAGTATGTTTATTTCACCTTACATCGGACACAAATTAACCATGCATCGGACACTTTCCGATGCATGGGTAACCACTTCCATTTTCATATAAAACCCAAATGACAGCTGTTATCGATATATGACGACTAGAAGTGGACTCAGTTTATTTCTTAAAACTAGATGATGATAACCCACGAGACAAAGGCGCGAGTTGCCATATTACTTAAAGCCTTTCTAAGGCGATGTGATGCAACTAAAATCTATTCACATTTGTGGATCGAAATAGTCATTCAAATTTAATTAGAAGGTTAATTTTTGAATAAAAGATAAACATGTTTCGATATCACTAATTTTAAAGCACCAAGATCAAGTATGATATTTTTCTGGTTTAAATATCGTATGTCCGACCCATGGTGAATTCTGACTTATTTCGAAAAAAAATCGGTTTTTAATGATATTTTCTCAATAAATAGGGCACGGTTGTGTCAAAAATTTATATTTTAACCACATACTATATGTTAAGTTCCATTTTGATTTTATTCGGTCGGTAGCGATATCGCTAGAACTTTTTGAAGTGCGAGGGTGTCCGATGTCTGGTGAATTCACCCTACTGCATAATAAATAATATATGAACGGAGCGCGACTTTCGTTTTTATTACAAACAAACAAAATATAAATAATTTATAGATAAGCTTCATTTAATACAATGATAAAGTTATAATGTTGATTTAAATTATTCTTGTTTATTTAAAATACATATATGTTGAAGCTTTCTTCTTGCGAAATATAACAAGATTTAGAGGGCTATATTCGGTAATGACCAATATTTGCCCCCAAAATCAAACTTTGACGGAGAAATATCTAATTATGTTCTAAAAGAGGGGGATATCTGCAGACTTCAAAGCAATGAATATTTTCATAAGCCATGACGCCATATGTTAGATATGACGTCAGAAAAATGACGTAAATTCAAAATTTTCATGATTTATACAGAAAAAGGTGTATATTACGTCGATATTTTGAGTAAAAGTCACCGAGCGCAGGTCTGCTCCAACTCAATATTTTGATATAATGTGTAGAATGATGATATCAATGAAATATGTAAATATTGTTCTGGAGCAGGGATGCGCTCTATAAATTTTATAATAAAATTTGAACAAATTTTGTCCATTTTTTCCTCTTTCTGAAAAATAACACAAAATCCGAATAATTTGTGACGTCATAGATACAAAAAATGCCAATAATCTACTTTGAAAGTATAATATTTTTTGTTGATTTAGATTTCTCATATAAAATACACAATTCAGTACATTACAAGAAATTTTCAAAATATGACTTTTGTTGGGGCAAAAATATGCATATACCGCATATATTTCTTTATTTAATATATTAATAATAATAAGAATCACGTTTACAGTATACATGATGTTTCCATGCTTGCCACCTTCAACCCTTACTAGAGTTCATATTACCCCCAGTCTAACTCACAGAGACTACAACTGATTTTTGTTAATCTGTTGACAACACAAACATATACAAACTGTTTTAAACACTTATGAATATTATGAATAAGTACATAATTATGTGAACTTCTGCAATATATTGATACGTATTTTATTTAATCTACACTTCTCCTTGTATTTTAAAATGTTCAATGCAATGAAGGATATTAACATACCTTAAATAAAAATTCTGAATTTCACAACTTACCTTGAAAGCTAAATTGATTTTATCCTTCGCCAAATAAAATTAGAGTTATTACAGTCATAGAAAAGTTGTACTTTATTTCCTATATCTCCATAATTGTCACAAAACATTCGTGCATTTGGATTCCATTGGCTCACACTCAAGTTATAAAGAGGATATTCAGTGTGTTGTGGTAAGATATGGAATTTTTTTCACGAGCGAGTCAGAATACCTTATATTTTCTTGAGTGCGAAGCACGTGTGAAAATACTTTCTAAAAACATCCTATCCACGAGTGAAATAAATTTCATATTCAACTACAAAATAATGAATTTTCTATTTATTACATTTTTGTGAATTCTCCCTTTGCCTCTGTCTTCTTGTAACTGGCTGTGACATTATAATTGAGTGGTTGAGACGTCATAGCTTAGTAATTGTGAGATTGAAAACATTGTTTTGAAAAAGTGAAGATAACTAACAGTGCTCGATCTCAAAGAAAAATCCACATATAATACAAATCTGTGGTCAGGGCATAAAACCCAAAATTCCAGAAGTGAACATGGATTTCAACAAGAACTTTGGACGTTTTAGTCTCTGTCAGGATGGTTTATTATTTCTCTATCTTATAATAATCCAGAGAGTATTTCTTACAACACTCTTCGTGAAGGGAAGGAAAATTAAGAGATAAATTTGAAATTAAGAGTTTTGCCGCACTTTTGATATATATATATATTTTTTTACACTTTTATTGAATAAATAAATTAAAGTATTTCACTGTTGAAAATGTGATAACGTTTAATAATTTATGTGATGATTTATATTTAAATTCTGCACTGTGTTTATCATTTTTGTGATTATCATGCAGTAGATACAAGTTCATAGATTTTCTGGAGTAAAAAACAATTTACTCCAGTGACTATCTTTTAATGGTCATAAAAATATGATGATACTAATACGTTGGTTATAGGAGCATATTTGTTTCCTTTTAAGAGTACATACATGATGTTTCTAATATTAATATATGGTGCCTTTTCACACATATTTATTTGAAAATTTGTTAAATAGTTTTCAGAATGTGGTATTCACATACGTTATTGTTTTTCTGTAAAATCTTATTATGAAATATGAAGATAACGAACAGTAATCAAGCTCAAAAATTCGTTGGAACAATACAAATTTGGAGCAGAGGAAACACAGACCTTTAAAAACATCAGAGAGGGATCGGGTGCCAAGGAGGAGAAAGTATCCCATGTCGACCTATCACACCCGTCGTGTGCTCCTTGTCATAATCGGACAAACGGAAAAATCCGTAGACAATTCATGTGAAAATAATGGCCTAATAGTATGTATGAAAACTTTTTAGTCAATAGCTTGCCTCGTTTTAGAAATTCTTCGCACATAGAACATGCTCTTGCGTATCGAATAAATTGGGAGACATAAGTCCATATGCAGGTGATAATGGTATATTGCTACATAAATAAGGGAAGTTGGTGATAGAAAAGTTGAAGTAATTACGTTTATCATAAAGTTTTGTTGTTATTTTGCCATTAGTATCTTATATAATTGTAGGAATGAAATATATGGAGATAACGAACAGTATTCAAGCTCAAAAGTCCATTATACAATACAAAATAGGAGCAGAGCAAACACGGACCTCCAAACATCAGAGGTGGGATCAGGTGCCATGGAGGAGTGAGCATCCCCTGCCGACCGGTCACACCCGCCGTGTGCTCCTTGTCATGATCGGGAAATAACGGAAAAATCCGTCGACAATTCAGTGTGTAAATAATAGCCTAACAATTAGTATGAAAAACGTCAGTCAGCATTTGACTCAATGATAAATTGTATTTGCTGACAAGGTCATTGTATCGACCAAAGAACTTACGAAATGATGACTTTAAACGAGACAGCTGATATTCTTGTTTCATCAACTTATTTGTCAATAATTTACCTCGTTTTAGAAATTGTACATACGTAGAGCATTTCAATCATACAAGTCTTTATTGGCTGCACAGAATTCCCACTTTAACCCAATGTTCAAAATAAATCAATATACGAGGGTTGTCCGGTAAATTCGTGGACAAAGCGTTGGCGCACTAAGCTGAAATTTTCAGCAAATGTTTATTTATCATATTTAAGTACATCTTGATTTTTTTGATAAAATGTCGGCAATTTTTTTTAAAAAAATTATAAATGTGTACAGGGCACTGTCCTACGGCGCACGATAAAAAAACATGCAGGTTTCCTTGGAGAATACGCGAGTATTATTTCGAAATAACAGTATTGCATGGATATGATTGGAGTAAAAATTATCATATTTTCATCCACCATTTACTATGTCGTCATTTGGAAAATTTCAAGGTATTTACTTAATTTTTGGCAGTTTCCCGAGCATTTGAATTCGGGAAGTGGTCAACACAACACACGAAACATGGTGACACTTGACGACGTTTCGGCGCACCGGAGAGTAGTTCAGTTGGATTTAGATGAGTAATGACGCCCTAAGAGACTTTAAATGACTACAGAAGAAAAAATTATAAAAATAACACTAGATCTTCAGTATACAAGTGAACTGGGAATTTTCTAAGTGGAAGCTTTTTGATCGAGTCCCCGTATAGAACAAAACTTACGGACAAACAGCTACTGGCAATACCGAAAGACGCTGTTACTGTAGACCGTCGATATAAGATCGCCTGTTTAGTTGAATGATAGTGAGAGTACTGTCCATAACTTACTAATAAATCTTCAGAAGGTCCCATGTGTGTGCGAGATTGGTTCCTCGACTGTTTATGGAGGAATAAAGGGAAACTCGAGTATATGTGCATCAATGGAATTCCCGAATTTAAGTGGGGCTTATCCAGCTATTATTTTAGCAAAGAAGAAACTTGACGCTGCTTTATGCACTTTGACGTTATCATCCGTGCGCCATAAGGCAATACCACACATGATATAAAATCTCATATTTTGTTTATCTGAACATATATCCATTTGAAATTGGGTAGGTATATTGATGAAAAATGTACTAAAGAGTAGTGAATATTTTAGTGATGATTATTTTTACTCTGGACAGCTTGACCACGATTTTAGCGGACAATCCTCGTATTTAAGGAATGAATTTAAAAGCAACCCAAGTTGTCCTACATAATCTTAGTTGGGGCATTTACGTTTTATAACTTCGAAGCGGTTAATAAAAAAGCGTATACTGTTCCAACACAGGTTATAAAGTACATGTATAACTGGTGTAGCCATTAAAGTTATTCCATTTAATTTAGTAAGTATTATTAAGTGAAAAAAAAAAAGAAATAAGCATTTTTCTTTCAAAAAATTCCTTCGCAATTTACAAATATTAAATGTAACGTCAAGTGGATTGATACGTGATACGTTTTTTCTGGTGTCATATTTCTGCGCCCTACATGCAAGATAAATTATGTTAACATGCAAGAAAAGTATGTCAACATGCAAGAAAATTATGTCAACATGCAAAATAATTATGTTGACATGCAAGTAACCAATCGTTTTTGAGAATCTACTTTTTAATGTTGGTAAATTACTTACGCCAGTATACGATATCATACAAGCAAGCTGCAACAGAATTATGTTGACATGCGACTTATATATGTTAACATGAAAGATAATTATGTTAACATGCAAGATATTTATGTCATAATGCGACTTATTTATGTTAACATGCAACATAATTATGTAGACATGTGACTTATTTATGTCAACATTGAAGATAATTATGATAACATGCAACTTATTTATGTTAACATGCAACTTATTCATGTCAACATGCAACTTATTAATGTCAAACTGCGACTTATTTGTGTCAACATGCGAGATATATTTTAACATGCAAGGTATTTATGTCAACATGCAAGATAATAAGCTGTATGTTAACATACATATCTCGCATGTTGACATAATTAACTCGCGTGTTAACATAATTATCTTGCATGTTGACATAAATACCTTGCATGTTAAAAGAGATTGGTAACTTGCATGTCAACATAATTATTTTATTTTGACATAAAGAAGTCGCATGTCAACATAATTTTGTTGCATGTTAACAATTTATCTTGCATGTATCTGGCAGAAATATGCCACCATAGTTTTTGACGTAATGTAAGTCATTGTGACCAACACAGGTAATACAATACAAACGATTTTTATCCAATCAAATAGCGCGTTACTACTAAATTAAACTATTCTTAGATGGAAAAAGTTTTTGTTTTTCCACATTAATAAAGATAAAAATTTGTCTGTGGATAGTTTCGGTACATCTTTTATCATTATACATGCATAAACTGATCTTAATATAGTGTTGGGAGATTTCCTGAGTTCTTTGTAATCATCTATATTTATCAGATTGGTTTTTAAAATGCATTCTAATGACAAGAGTAAATCTTGCATTAATCCTCTGGCTGCGGCGTCGGACATTTACGCCCTTTTACCGCTGACTGCGGGAAGGACATATATGTCCTTTACGACGTCAAAACTTGATCGCGTTTTTTGTATTTCCATTACGAGGGTGTTGTAAAAAAAGAATAACTGTAATTATATTTTGACGGGTGTTTTGTTTGCTATTAAGTACACTATTTTTTTGTTAAGTGTTTGCTCATGCATGTCTGCCATCGTAATGGTGTCTTACACTATACATCGTGAAATAAAACTCAGTGGTATTTTCACTATCAAAATTTCTTTTGAAAGATAAATTTATAAATTACTTTTTTTTCTTTTAAAAGATGCAGACATAATCTGAACTTTGTAAAACCTGAAAAATCCAACATAACAATTTTTAAATTATATTACAATTTTCTGTGTAAGAACATAATTAAATGAGAAAGTATTAACAAATAAATTAAGATTTAATGAGTTCTGATGAAATAATCGCAAACAATCATAAAAATGAAAAAAATTTCATAATAATAAATTTTTAAACAATCATAAAAAAATAAATAGTTTGAATAAATTTGAAAAATTATTTTGCATCAAATATTGTTATAATTATATACTACGATACTCGGGACATACAAGTTCCCGTAAAAACTGGCCAAAATTACGTCATCGCCATTCTTACGTCATTTTTGGATTTGGACATTATGGATTCCGCTTCAGACAATGAGCCTGATTATGATTATATTTCCGAAGATTCAGACGTACAAAATGATGCAGATATAAACATTCCAGAAGTCAATAGACTGTGGACAAACGTACGGTATGTGGAAAATTTTGAATATCCGCACAATATCTGTCCATTCTCACGCCATATGGGTCCAGTTGACCCACCTGACATAGAGGCCCATCCAATAGAATACTTCAAAAAACTTTCCGCTCCAGAAGACAGAAAAAGTCTCATCGACATCCTCGTCGATGAAACTAATTTGTATGCAGAACAATTTTTAACAAATCCATCTTATGATCCTAAACCAAATGCTAGAACACATGAGTGGTATTTAACGGATGCAGAGGAAATGTGTGCATATTTAGGTTTGTTTCTCTCTATGGGTGTAGTTAAAAAACCCAGCATAGAGGCCTACTGGCAGCAGTCCGAGAACTCTTGGCTATTCCGGACACCTGGATTTTCGGAAGTCATGACAAGAGACAGATTCCAACTTCTCTCAAAATTTCTTCATTGTAATGATAATATGACCCGTGTTCCACGTGGCCATCCCGGCTATGATCCTGCACACCAATTCCGTCCAGTATTAGACCTTGTTAATTACACTTTCCCAAAGGCATACGACTTAGCAAGGGATATTACTGTAGATGAAAGCATGGTTGGGTTCAAGGTAATTGTCATTAAAAAAAAATCTTCAGTTTCACTTTAAAAATTTTTCATTCGAAAAATATCTTCAAATTCACTCGAATTTCATTTGAAAATATAAAAAAAAATTTAAACGCATTTCTTTTTCTTTTTTTTTTTTTTTTTTTTTTTTTTTTTTTTTGCGTCTTCCGTAATAGGGAAGGGGGATCCGGGTAGAGTTGCTTTTAAAAAAAATGATACTAGTATACTTGTTGCAGTAAATTTGATAAGTTAATATTTAACCCCCCCCCCTTTCTTAAATTTGACCTATAAATTAGATAAGGGGAATATACGAATTATAATCTTTTGATTTTAGTCAGTTTTAACCATATAAGTAATTACAACGGTAGTAATTATAAATCATATATTTATTTTTTTTTTTTTTGTAAAATTCGAGAGTTCTTTTACACATACGCCCCCCCCCCCCCTCCCCCACCCAATACGTATATTTGATTTCCAAATATTTGTTTTGAAATTTCGAAAAATAAGTTTGATGTCTTTTTTTCCAAAGGGGAGAAACGAAATCGTGCAGTATGTACCTGCAAAAAAATCACATCAGTGGGGAGCTAAACTATTTGTCTTAGCTGAGTCTGACACGGGATACAATGCAGCGATTCAGTTATATTCAGGTCTGCTATAATATATCATTTAATATCTCAAAAAAAAAATCTTCTACTGCTGAAATAAATATATGATTCATAAAAAAATGAAATCTCTTAATATTAGTGCTTAATAAAAATCTTGATTGATAGGAAGTCAACAGGATACATCCCGTAGCGCTCACGGTTTGGGTTATGATGTAATTATGCAGCTTGTTGAACCATACCTACATAGATATCATCACCTCGTGTGTGACAATTACTTTTCAAGTCCCGCTCTTTGTGATGCTCTGTTCACGTCAAATACTTATATGACAGGCACGGCTAGAGTTTGTAGGAAAGGGATGCCTCGGTCATTGAAAGGATTGAAATTGCCCAAAGGAGAGGCTCTTGTAAAACAGAGTGGACCCATCATGGCATTGTGCTATGGAGACAGAAAAACTGTCACGTTTTTATCCACGCTTTCTATGCCAAAGTAATTCATTTATCTAACTTCTATTGAATAAATGTAATTTATAATGATTTATAAATATGATTTGCCATTACAACCAAAGTAGTCATTTTTTTTTCTAAAAAGGTATGTAATATCAAGATCTAAAAATTAAAAGTAAATTTATTTACACGGTGAGTGATATAAAAAAATATAAAGTGGTTCGAAGAAGTAATTTTATTCCATTTTGATAATACTTATACCATAACTTGCATTTAATCTACTTACAGTATTGTGACCACTGAAAATGCACGAGGCGTAAACGTTGAGGTGCCCCGTGTTAATCTTGTATATAACAAGAAAATGGGAGGAGTCGACCTCTCAGACAAATCTCTAGAGCTGTATGACACATGCATTAGATCAAAAAAGATGTGGAAGAAAATACTCATCAATATCTTACTTAGAATTATGTGTAGGTACATTTACATAGGTTTTCTAAATATATATTTTCTGTGACACACACACACACACACCCTCTCTCACACACACACACACCCTCACACACACACACACACCCTCACACACACACACACACACACACACACATATATATATATATATATATATATATATATATATATATATATATATATATATATATATATATATATATATATATATATATATATATATCACTGGTTTGATGAAAATATGAATTGGCATGGACGCTCGTAGAGCTACAGTTCCGTGCATTCAACAGAATTCACAAAGATCTGCGCAAAGTTATAGAGTTATATCTTGGTATTATTCAATGGCAATAATTAAAACAAGAGACCCATGGGCCACATTGCTCACCTGAGCACATTGGCTAGGCAAAAGCACAAACAGTTCAGTATTGAAAAGACCTGGGGGGGGGGGGGGGGGGGCTTGAATTTTAAACTATCTGATGATGCTTCCATGTCAATATAACAAATGGCTTTGTACTTGAGAAGAGTTTAAAAAAAATTCCCATATATTCCTTTGTAAAAATTTGATCCCCCATTGTGGCTCCTCCCTATCCCAGGGGTCATCATTTGAACAAACTTGAATCTACACTACCTGAGGATGCTTCCATATCAATATGACTAAACATAGCTTTTCTGTTCTTGAGAAGAAATATTTTTTCTATATGTTCTTATGTAAAACTTTCCATCCCCCATTGGGCCCCACCCTACCCCTGGGGGTCATCATTTGAACAAAATTGAATCTACACTACCTGATGATGCTTCCATATCAGTATGACTAAACATAGCTTTTCTGTTCGTCAGAAGAAGATATTTTCCTTTATATTTCTATGTAAAACTTTGATCCTCCATTGTGGCTCCGCCCTACCCCCGGGGGTCATGGTTTGAACAAACTTGAATCTACACTACCTGAGGATGCTTCCATATAAATATGACTAAACATTGCTTTTCTGTTCTTGAGAAGAAATATTTTTTCTATATGTTCTTATGTAAAACCTTCCATCCCCCATTGGGCCCCACCCTACCCCTGGGGGTCATCATTTGAACAAAATTGAATCTACACTACCTGAGGATGCTTCCATATCAAAATGACTAATCATGGTTTGCAGTTCTTCAGAAATTATATTTCTATGTAAAACTTTGATCCTCCATTGCGGCCCCGCCCTACCCCCGGGGGTCATGGTTTGAACAAACTTGAATCTACACTACCTGAGGATGCTTCCATATAAATATGACTCATCATGGCTTTTCTGTTCTTGAGAAGAAGATTTTTAAAGATTTTTCCTATACATTTCTATGTTAAACTTTGATCCTCCATTGCGGCCCCGCCCTACCCCCGCCGGCCATGGTTTGAATAAATTTGAATCTACACTACCTGAGGATGCTTCCATATAAATATGACTCATCATGGCTTTGCTGTTCTTGAGAAGAAGATTTTTAAAGATTTTTCCTATATATTTCTATGTAAAACTTTGATCCTCCATTGTGGCCCCGCCCTACCCCTGGGGGTCATGATTTGAACAAACTTGAATCTACACTACCTGAGGATGCTTCCATATAAATATGACTCATCATGGCTTTGCTGTTCTTGAGAAGAAGATTTTTAAAGATTTTTCCAATATATTTCTATGTAAAACTTTGATCCTCCATTGCGGCCCCGCCCTACCCCCGGGGGTCATGATTTGAACAAACTTGAATCTACACTACCTGAGGATGCTTCCATATAAATATGACTCATCATGGCTTTGCTGTTCTTGAGAAGAAGATTTTTAAAGATTTTTCCTATATATTTCTATGTAAAACTTTGATCCTCCCCCGGGGGTCATGATTTGAACAAACTTGAATGTACACTACCTAAGGATGCTTCCACATGAGTTTCATCTTTCCTGGCCCTATGGTTCTTGAGAAGAAGATTTTTAAATGATGCCATTATTTTTTCAGTAATTCCTAATTATCTCCCCTTGAAAGAGGGCGTGGCCCTTCATTTGAACAAACTTGAATCCCCTTTACCCAATTATACTTTGTGGCAAGTTTGGTTGAAATTGGCCCAGTGGTTCTTGAGAAGAAGTCGAAAATGTGAAAAGTCTACAGAGAGACGAACAGACAGACGGACGCCGGACAAAATGTGATCAGAAAAGCTCACTTGAGCTTTCAGCTCAGGTGAGCTAAAAATAAATATCATACAGTTAATAAAAAAAATTGTTTTAAATTTTCATAAACCTATCTTCTGTCATCAACATTGTCCGTACTGTTTCAATCGTTTAATTCTTTTTCAAGCTTCTGATTTTTTTTATTAATTTCTTAAGAATGTCGGTTTTCAAAGTATTTTTCCATTGTCGTGTTTCAAGCATCTTTTTTGTTGTTGTTGTTTAGAAAATCTTTTTATAAAGTACACGTATTTTATGGTTTCCCATTGCTCATGCTGACAATTTCTTTTATTTCAGAGCCCATTTTGGTATATTTTGGAAATTGAATACCGTTTCTTTATCTAATACGGACCTCCAAAACATCAGAGGTGGGATCAGGTGCCATGGAGGAGTGAGCTTCCCCTGCCGACCGGTCACACCCGCCGTGTGCTCCCTGTCATGATCGGGAAAAACGGAAAAATCCTTTGACAATTCAGTGTGTAAATAATGGCCTAACAATTAGTATGAAAAACGTCAGTCAGCATTTGACTTAATGATAGGTTGTATTTGCTGACAAAGTTCAAACAAGACTGTTGATATCCTTGTTTCATCAACTTGTTTGTCAATAGCTTGCCTCGTTTTAGAAATTGTTCATACGTATGATGCGTATCGAATCAACTGGGAGACAAAAACCCCATATGCAGGTGATAAGGGTATATTGCTACATAAGGTATGTTGACGATTGAAAAATTGAAGTCATCACGTTTATCATAAAGCTTGGTTGTTAGGTTACCATTAAAGTCTTTTTCTAGTAAAATATCCAAATATGAAACAGACTTGTCAGACTCTATGGTATCTTTTATTTCAAGCTCACTGGGATATATCGAGTCGACATATGAATGGAAGTAACTATTGTTAATTGATATGTTGTCGATATATTTAAATGTCAAGTTGAAGGCCACAGCAAGTGTTTTCTTCTTCTTGTGTAGAAGTTTTTGAATACATTCTGCTTCATATGAATACAAAAATAGGTCTGCTAATAAGGGGGCGCAATTGGTACCCATGGGTATTCCAACAGGTTGTTGGAAGATCTGATCTCCAAAAACTACATAGATATTGTCAATCAGAAACTCAAGCATCTTTAATATTAAATCTATTCTCAGCTTAAGATGATCATTCATTCTATTATGTTTTACTTGTGGACAATTTATTAGAGTTACCGAGTCATTAGAGAGAAAAAGTGTCTGAAATCAAGGTATAATTTATTCGACTACTAGGTCTATGTTGTGCAATGCATCAAGTGAATCCGGATTTAATTTCATTCAGATTTCTACTTTTACATGTAGCAATATTTGATTAAGGAGTAGAATGGACGTACACTTGTGTCAAAATAATTATTCTTTTCGTCTAGTTTACTATTGAAATCTCCGCCGATAATAGGTTATGCTTATTCAAAGCAAATTTTCTTAACCCAAGATTTGTCATACAGAAGTCCTTCCTATCGAGCAACTTATTTGAAGCAGAAAGGTTTGCAATACAATTTTCAATTCTAATATTAAGTAAAATTTTGCAACCATCACCTGAGCGATGATATTTGATAATTTTTTTTTTTAAATTCTAATATGTATTGAACCCCTCGACAAAAGGATGAATTTATATTAGACAATGTTAATATCTAGATCTTGAAGCCAATCATCCAAACGTGTACGTTTTATAATCATCAAACCCCTTGCATTAAGGGAAAATAGTTTCAGTAAGTCAGTTTATCATTAATTAGTTTTGTAGAGTTGAGACTGAGTTACTTACTCGCTGTCAGAAAGACGGTTGTCATCATCCACATAAAGGCTATCGCGTGTGCGTTTGGTGGGCCAATCCTTTAGCTGCCTAAAAAAAGCAGTGATCTCTTGTGCGTGTTTAGAAGTTTTTAGTGCGGGTTGTCTTGGGACTGAGAACCTTTGATTAGTGCCTGCTTTCTGGCGGTGTTTCTGGGCATCTTATATTATTAACTTACCCAATTTATTTAAGGCAGACCATGCGTTGGATTTAGTATTCAGGGTTGCTTGTTCGACTACCCAAAGGGTTGTCAGAGGTCGCTTTGACAATGACGCATTTTGAGCCGCGTTTTGTGACTTTCTCTCGAAACGTTTCAACCTGACTGAATTTAGCTTCTGTTGTTTGACATGACGTCTTCTTTTTCAGTTTCCAAGTGGAATTTGCTGTATCTCGGATACGCTTAGCTTAAAGGGCAATAGTTGCGGTTCTTATTCTCTCTGCGGCAATGGCATCGGCATCACCACTACGGAGCGCTTTTGTTAGTTTGAACGAATTTTTCGCAGATTAAGGGGTCTCGCCGTTAAATGTTTATGCCTGTAGTATAAAAATTTGAAAGAACATTTTATGGCCGTGGAAAGCCAAGACACTATCACTTGCTTTTCATGGTATTCAGATCTCCGAGCCATGCAGAATCATGACCTGATTTCTTGCAAACTTTGGATCGTTGGTCGTTTTTACAGCTGTGCGGATGATGGCCAGTTTCCCAACAATTTTTACATTTTATTTCCTACTTTGACTTGTTTTGACCAAAGTGAGAGATTTGGCATTTGCGACCGGTGCGGTATGCAATCCTTGGCAGAGAGTAAAGGTAATGGAACAATGTTCCCGATACGATTCCCATTATGAACGCTCGTCATTTTCCCCGTAACTGGCTTTCTAATATTTTCATACTTTTAAGTTCAACATAATTTTAAGCTTTGTAGCGTTCCGTCCTAGATAGCGACATTTCCGCTCATACAGCGGTTTCCCGGTTCCCTTTGTTATTTCTTTTACCAAGTAACCATCACCCTTTACAAGAACTTTGGACCTTCTGCTCGATGGCAGGTGGAGTTTACTACTTTTTAGACCACCTGAGCTAAAGCCTCAAGTGAGCTTTTCTTATCAGCCGTTGTCCGGCGTCCGTCCGTCTGTAAACTTTTCACATTTTCGACTTTTTCTCAGGCACCACTTGGCCAAGTTTAACAAAATTAGCACCAACATCCTTGAGTCAAGGGGATTCTAAATTGTTCAAATAAAGGGCCAAGTCCTATTCCAAGAAGAGATGAAACTTATATGGAAGCTACTTTAGGTAGTGCAAATTCTAAATTGTTCAAATCATGCCCCCGGGGCAAGGTGGGGCCACAATAGGGGATCAAAGTTTTACATTGAAATACATAGGAAAAATTCTTTTAAAATCTTCTTCTCAAGAACCAATGGGCCAGAAGAGATGAAGCTTACGTGGAAGCTTCCTCAGGTGTTGTGGATTTTAATTATAAAAATCATGGTCCTCGGGAGTAGGGTCGGGCCACAATACGGGATCAAAGTTTTACAATAAAATATGTAGGAAAAATTCTTCAAAAATGTTCTACATGGGACTTGATAGGAAATAAATTTGGAAAATCTTCTCAAGAACCACAATCGCGCCACACATATGCAAACATTCCCAAGTTTAGTGGATTCATTTTTTTTTTTCAAATTATGCCCCATGGGTTAGAGTTCGCTAAAATACGGATCAAATTTTACGTAATTTATGTACATGGGAAAAGAATTTTCTTAATAACTGCAAGGCCAAGTTAATCATAATGATATTAAAGCATCTCCATGTTGTTTGGATTCAGAGACCCTTAGAGTGGGGCTATGTGGGGGTCTGAATTTTTCATTGGAATATATATATATATTTTTTGAAATCTGAAGAACAGCAGGGCTAAAGTTACTCAGGTGAGCATTGTGCCCATTGTTTTGAATGAGGAGTGGGTGCCACTTACGACCCCGTCAAGGGTGCGTCAGAGGTGGACACACGCCCAGGCAAAAAGACAGTACTCGTACCGACCGGATCATCCTTCATAGCCCGATCACAAGGGGGACCTCCCAGAGTGATTTAGAAGTCCTTATGACTGCACCATGGACCATTCTTAGATAAGTTCCCCTCGGGATTTACGAGTCTTAAAGACCGCGCCAGGGTCCCCTCATGAAAGCTAGTGACCAGACCTTGTCTTTTTTTTTTTTTTAAATCGAAAGATGTTATTCTAATTCTCCCCTCTCTCATTCTTTCGCTTTTTTATTTATTTATTTATTTATTGTTCTGTTTTTGTTTGTTTGGTTGGTTTTTTTTAAAGAGTCGTTAACAAAAACAAACACCAGAATTTTTAAAGATTTAAAAGAAGGGTCTACTTGTGTTTACTGTTGCTGTGTTTTCGGGGAATCCTTCTGCAAATCGGTCTGATTATGTTCCTCTTTGGTCTCCAGCAAATGGTCAAAGTCCGATTTATGATTAAGTGAGGTATTCATTGAGATATCTATAAATTTTATCTCGAGATTCCTGTACATCAGATCGTCATACAGAGACTGACATTAGAATTTTCTCTCGTACGATCGTTAAATAGAGAACTATGCAACAATAACTCTTTGATCCAAGTAGATTTTACCGACATGGTTGGCCCCACAACAATCATCGTAAAGGGATGTAAGAAAGCAAAATTTTCTTCTTCCGGAGGATTGAAAAAGATGAGGAAGAGTGCAATGAAAGGAGGAATTTAATGACAGGGAGAGAAGTAAAATGGGATGGAGGGGGAATAATATGATTTTACTTCACTAGAGACAACAATGAATTTACAAATCTAAAGGTCCCTCAGTCGAGGATTTAGTAGACCACTTCCTAACCAACCCATCTAGAGCGGCCTCCCTCTCAATACTGGATCGTGGGTCAGAAAGGGAAAGGAGAAAAGTGGAAATAAAACTCGGAAGAGCATCTCCTCTGATGCAAGAGCTGAAGCGGGTAAAATCAGAGGCCAAGCGAATGAATAATGAGGGACAACCTATACCTAGTTTCTCGCCACACTGAAATCAAACCCTGTGTTTTGATTAAATGCTGTGAACGAACTGTAGTTATTATTTACCATTTAATGAAGAATGCAAGGCTTTTTTTATATGAAGCAGAACTCATCAAGCAAAGGAAAACAGAACGATTTTAAAGAGATGTCAACAAATTGGTATTTTAGCGCGACAAATGTATCCAAGAAATGCCAGCAAATTACTGGATGCTTAGGAAGAGGCAGTATTAGAACCCTACGGGGCCTTAATAGTAGACTTCAAACTGCGTCTCCCTAATCAACGCGATTTCGTACAAATGTAGTCAAACCCTATACATATAAGTTTAAGAAGCAGTGTAACAACACAGTCACCAGACTACAGACTACAGATAAAACAAACTCTGATGATGATGATGACCACAGATTTAATCTTTTGATATGTGGGATGAAAAGCAGTCACTGTTCAACAAGAAAGTGGAGTTGTTACTGGGAGAAACGCAGACCTTTCAGGGAAGGGTACGAGGGAAGATGCTAATGAAATCACGTTGTCCAAGAAAGCGCTTTGCTTCCTAAAAATATAATTTTTTCATGCTTATGAAGAAATTAAATCATAGCAAACTGCATCGGAATAGGATTGATTGATTGATTGCATGTTGTTTAACGTCCCATTCGAGAATTATTCACTCATATAGAGACGTCACCGTATGACGGTGAAGGGCTTCAAATTTAGACCTATACTCGGCACTCAAGGTCGAGGTTGAACAGTGAGGGTTTATCGTGCCAACTCCTATCCTGAAACGGGACCTCGGTTTTTAAGGTCTCATCCGAAAGACCCGTGACTTTCACTTCTAGTGCCGGGCGCTTGGCGAAGGAACAGTCACTACCTATGTTTATGTCTTAGGTTTGATGCGGCGAACGAGAATCGAACCCGGGCCTCCCGATCATGAAGCGAGCGCCCTACCATTAGGCTACTGTGACCAGTCATTGGGATATGAAAGACGACATGAATAAACTTTTTCACGCATTACACCTAACATAAATCGTATTTTGATCAGGTCGATTCCAAGAGCTATTCCCAGGAAAATAAGTAGCACGTACATGTATATAAATGACTGTACGTCCTTCTTTAAATCTTTACAAAACATATCACAATTTTTTGGGTGATTGTTATTCCAAATGACTCTTTATAAAGCATCTTCTAATTTATTAGGAAAAAATAAAAAGCGAGAGAGTAAGTGAGAGAGGGGAAATTAGAATAACATCTTTAGGTTAAAAAAGAAGGGTCAAGCCACCTTTCAAGAGGGGTCCCTAGCTGGCGCGGTCTTCATGACTTGTAAAACCTTCGGGGAACTCCTCTACATGTACCTGTAATTATATTTTGCAAAATGCCTTTAATCAAAAATATACACAAGTTCCTGCCACCTTTTAAGAACACACAATTTTAACATATTCATATTTGATTAGCAGTACAAAATCACACACACACATCAAGTATATAATTTTGTTTTTCATTATCTGGACATTAAATCACAAATTCTCTGAAATTTCTTTAACTGTTATTACAGTCATTAATTCTTTTTTTTCCCTGACTAGCTGGAAATCATATAGGCTTATATTCTTATATTTCTGTACACTTATCCAAACCAATGGTTGCCTTGGCAATCTCTGTTCCATTCTTTTTCACACATCCAGCACCAATCAGTCTTGCACACAGTACACGTCATGTGCATACAACCCCCTGTAACAAAGAAACCATTACAAGAATACAAATAAAAAAATTCTTATATGTGCAAAATACAAAAAACATGGCCATTCCCACTTTTTTTTAATTTACAGAATATATAATGAACAAATAGTGCATTTTGGACCTCAACTGAAAAAGAAACTTTTGGCCTAAAAAATAAAAATGATATTCAAGCTAGATCTAAAGTTATCAAATGTGTACACTGCATTTTGAACTTACTGGGAGAAAAAATTTGATATTTATTTTTTTCCTAGAGATCATCCTTCCTCTATAAGAGTTAACAAAAAATGTCTGTATGTTGATTGCACATTACAGAAAGAAACATAACTGGTGTAAGCGGGTCTTTGTTTTACAGTGAAGACAACTCTGTCTTTACTTTACACTGAGGACAAGTCTCTCCATCTATTTTTTACACTGAGGACAACTCTCCATCTTTGCTTTAAACTGACAACTCTCCATTCTTGCTTTACACAGAGGACAACACTCCGTCTTTGCTTTAAACTGAGGACAAATCTCTGTCCTTGCTTTACACTGAGGACAACTCTCCATCTTTGCTTTACACTGAGGACAACTTTCCATCTTTGCTTTACACTGAGGACAACTGATTGTCTTTACTTTACACTGGGGACAACTCTCCATCCTTGCTTTAAACTGAGGACAACTCTCCGTCTTTGCTACACTGAGGACAACTGATTGTCTTTGCTTTCCACTGAGGACAAACCTACCTCATCTTTTCTTTACTTTACCCCCCTTATATGTAGTATAAACCTATCAAAAGACTGTTTTTGTTTTACACACAGACTGTTTTTGTTTTACACTGAGGACAACTCTCCATCTTTACTTTACACTGAGGACAACTGATTGTCTTTGCTTTACACAGAGGACAACTCTCCATCAACTCTCCATCTTTGCTTTACAATGAGGACAACTGATTGTCTTTGCTTTACACTGAGAACAACTCTCCATCTGTGCTATACACTAAGGATAACTCTCCATCTTTGCTTTACACTGAGAACAACTCTCCATCTTTGCTTTACACTGAGGACAACTCCCTGTCTTTTCTTTACATTGAGGACAACTCATCATCCTTGCTTTAAACTGAGGACAACTCATCGTATTAACTTTACACTGAAGACAACTCTCCATCTTTGCTTTACAGTGAGGACAAACCTACCTCATCTTTTCTTCACTTTACACTTATATGTAGGATAAACCTATCACTAGACTGTTTTTGTTTTATACATAGACAAACTTACCTGATCTCTCTGTCTTTGCTTTATACTGAGGACAGGGTTTGGAGATTTTCTCAATGGTTTGCTATATCTTTGCTACACTGAGGACAACTGATTGTCTTTGCTTTACACTGAGGACAAATCTACCTCATCTTTTCTTTACTTTACACTTTTTTGTAGGATAAACCTATCACTAGACTGTTTTTGTTTTACACTGAGGACACCTCTCCATCTTTGCTTTACACTGAGTACAACTGATTGTCTTTGCTTTAAACTGAGGACAACTCTCCATCTTTGCTTTACACTAAGGACAACTATCCATCTTTGCTTTACACTGAGGACAACTGATTGTCTTTGCCTTACACTGAGAACAACTCTCCATCTGTGCTTTACACTAAGGACAACTTTGCATCTTTGCTTTACACTGAGGACAGCTCCCAGTCTTTGCTTTAGATTGAGGTCAACTCACTGTATTTGCTTTAAACTGAGCACAACTCATTGTATTTACTTTTCACTGAGGACAACTCTCCATCTTTGCTTTACACTAAGGACAAACCTACTTCATCTTTTCTTCACTTTACACTTACATGTAGGACAAACCTATTACTAGACTGTTTTTGTTTAACATAAAGACAAACTTACCTGATCTCTCTGTCTTTGCTTTACACTGAGGACAGGGTTTGGAGATTTTCTCAATGGTTTCCATAGATTCCAGCTCATATTGAGCTCTAAGAGCTTGCTCAAAGTTTACGTCAATCTCCTTTAAGAAAATATGGAAAAAACATCAGGTACACTTTGATTCTATTTTGCCCTCAAGTTTAAATATTCCTATAAAACTTTGTAGTAACAATGCCCATACCTACAGAGATCAAAATTAAAGCTCTAAGATTGAGGTTGAGTACATATATAAGAGAGATATCCATTCTTACAGTATTTCCTGCAGGATACTATATCTAATTCTTTAAAGGTGCTTGGACACAGATTTGAAGTTAATACAGGTATTTTCTCAAATTTTCTGTATAATTTCATGACTTATATGTTGCTATAGCATTTCATACTAAAGTATAATAAAATTTTTATTTCATCTCGAAGTTATTAAAACTTCGAATTTCTGGACGCGTTAGATTGACACATCATTGCACTTTCACATATTTTAATTTTATTCTTAATACTTAAGAAAAGTGGCAATTTTGTTGTGTATCAATGAAAAATATTAAAACCATAACCCAGAAAATTCAGCGTAGAATGTTTGAAAGCAAAACCCACTCACAGTATTGTAAGTCCGTGCTCAGTGGTGTGTGCAGAGTTTAACAATTGAACACACCCGGTGAATTGTAAACATTAACAATAACAGAGCTTGTGCCCTGTTTACAAAAACAGTTTACGTTTCACGGGTGTGTTCAATTTGTTAAACTCTGTACACATCACAGCGCACGGACTGACAATACTGGTGAGTTGGTTTTGCTTTCAAGCATTTCTACTCTGAATTTTCTGGATTATAGATGTAATATTTTTCATTCATACATAACAAAATCGCTTCTTTTCTTAAATATTAAGGATAAAGTTAAAATTTGTGTAAGCGCAAAGATGAGTTAATCAAACGCGTCCCGGAATTCATAGTTCCAATAATTTCCAGATAAAATAAGTTTTTAATTATACTTTCATGTGAAATGCTATTGCAATATATAAGTTGTGATATTATACAGAAAATTTGAGAAAATATGAAGTTCAAATCTGTGTCTAAGCACCTCTAAATCATATGATGTGTCTCACAACATACATACATGTCTACGGTACAGTGAACAAACTATTATTTGCAATAACTTTTATATGTCAATTTGAAATATCAGCAAAGACTAATTTTCTTGAGGAAACATTCTACACTGTACAATAATGAACAATGAAATAAATAATTTGTGACAAGAAATATTCATGAGAAAAGCAAGGTCATGAAACTCACAAATATTTCTAGCATGCAAGAAGTTGGTTTACAGTATACTGCATAATACCCAGCAAATGCACACTGAGGTACTTCAACTACCCTAGCCAGACTATCCTCTGCATCTACTAATTTGCATCCCATGCCTGAACATCTACATCACTAAGAACATCTAATAAGCTTACCAGGTTTGCTGATGCCTCAGTGAGTTGTGTATTACACTCTTCCCCCGAATGGTAAGCACCTCGACATTCCCTGCAGAATTCATACTGGAAAACATTAAAAATTACTTCAAATGAGTAAAATAAGCAGAAAAATTTGGCACATCTGCCTAAAAGTATCATTATAAATTGGCTGAATCATTACTTCAAAAACCTCAAATGGAAAAATTTCACCCTTCTTTTCAATCTTCTTTTCAAAGAAGATTGCTTTGAAAATTACCTTTAAAACTGTAGTTTTGGAAATGAAAGAACAACATTGTACTACAATTCTTTTAATAGTGTATTTTGAGCTTTAATGGTCAATGTTAACTTACATTACAAGTGGGACATATGACTTTGTGGTGCAAGTCTTCAATTAGAAACCCTGCCCCACATCCAGGGGCAGGGCACATTAGTCCCCCACTTTGCAGGAGGTACTCCTCAGCTCCAAAGTTTTTGTATCTCTCATACTGAAAAAGAACAGTTGCAATTCAAACTGGAAACAGGTTTTAGGGACTGTTAAAATATTTTTTACTTTACATCAATAAAATGAACTAGATTTACAGCATAAATGTTTCCCCCAGCAGAAAAGTGGCATACTGTGTTTTTCCACATTTGTCTACTTATTACTAAAAAAAAATGAAACAAAAAAAATGAAACTCAAGTGACTATTTGAAAGCAAGGAATACATGTGTATACCTGCTCAGATCCAAGTACACAAAAGTGATGAGCATCTTTTATCAAAGAGCTGGGACATCCAGCTAAAAAGAAACATGAGGTTTAGATAATTGAGACAATTCTCTTACCAGTACTTTAAGGACTTAACGTATAGGTTTGATCAATATATAACTCAGGTATTGTCATTCAGATTTTCTAGATTTCTGCCATATGACTTATTTTTAAAAAAAAAAATTAAAAAATAATCTAAATCTTTATGTCAAGGACACCTGGATTTTTTTACCTGGACAAGGAATACTGTATCCAGCATCTGGATCCTCTACAAATCTCCTCTCATTCAGCTGTATGACACAGTATGATATAAAGCAGTCTAGACACATCACATGTTTCTTAGCACATGGGAAAACCAGAACTGGATGACTGTTATCAGAATAGTTTATTTTGGTTCAATAAGCATGCATGCACTCTTAGTTAATGTATATCAAATATGTTAGTTGGGCATACATGTACAATGATATATTTTGCAACAAAAAATGGCAAAAGCAAGAAAAACTTTCAACTTTTAAATAGAAACACCAAATTTTAAAAATAACAACAAAATCCGGCCTTCCATAAGGTCTGCATACACTGAACCATGTTTTATTGCTTAGTACATAATAAATTTACAGCAAATTAAAATCAATTGCTTATTTCTTAAATAAATATTTCATAATATTATTTACATATAAATTAACTAAATCTCATTTCCACCTGCACTGCATTAAAATTACATGTACTCTGCTCTGTATCCAAAAAATAAAATACTGCCAACATTTTTACACTTAATTATGATGAAAAATTTGATGAATGGAATTATTGATGATTATTTAGAGATGATTAAAAATTTGACAAGTGGAAATATAAATTATTTCAAGTCATTCATCAATAACAGTTGAGTTTCCACTTTTACAGTATATGCTCAAATGATTTCACAGATAAAGAGGTACATATACTTATCCTTACAAGGTTTAAAAGCTTTCATATACTTACCTGACATCAGTGCAGGTAATGCATTCTGTGAGGTGCCTGTTGGGTTTAAAGTGTCTCAGCACGGCACACTGACCTTGTAGTTCATCAAGGTCACCATGATCTATGGTACATTTAAAGTAAAATTTCTGAAAAATAAACAGACATCTTTCTAGATATACAATCACTATCGTGTTTAATTTTTCTTTGAGTTCTGAAATGTAAATTATGAATACAAAGATAACATTAAAATCAGTTTTTAACTTTCAAAATAGTCTGAATTTCAGTCTACCATGACATGATCTTCCATCTTGGTAAATGTGAATCATTTACATGTAATAAGTACGTGTATGTCTTTATAAATTTTAGGTACATCATTCATATAATTTGTTTTGTAAATATGAATCTTTAATTCAACATAGAAAGAGCTCTCCTCTGAATAAGAGAGATAACTCATACACTTACTGCTTCCTGTTGAGATCCACAATTTTGACAGTCTCCCTGGATTCGGCCTGGATGAAGAACATCATTAAAACTACCAGGTTCCTGTCAGTGAGTAAAACATCAATTTTATCATGAGGATATGTTTATATTTTCAATCTTTTCAGGAAGTATTGCCCTGATGCTAAGAATAATATTGAAATTTTGTCCCTTGATTGTCTTCATGGAAAATGATAACTGCCCTTTCAATGACTTGAGGAAGAATCATATTGCTCAGTGAGTGAATAGAGAAAAAATATTTTTTCCTGTAAAGTCTGATAAGCAATTTCATTTTCATGTAAATTACGTGAATTTGATTTGTCAAGAAACATTTGTTAAAAAACACTGTTACCCTCCAGCTTGATAGAACTTAGCAACAGTCAACATTGCTTGAAAATGGAAGATATTCCAAAAAAATATTGATGGTACAGAATCTATGTGTGTGCACTTCACCTTTATCTGTATAAAACATTCAGCATAATATAATAAATACTGCAGGAAGTTGATGGTATCACTGAAAAATTTCCCCCCTAAAAAGCCATTGTCAACTGAGGCTGCACCTCGATTGACAAAGGTTTTCTTGGGGTGAAATTTTTGAATGTTACCCTCAACTACATGCAATATTTATATAACGTTACCCTGTGACAGACATCACCAAGAATGATATGTGCCTGACTTAAGGAAACATATTGGTCTGTAACTGATATATGACCAGATGAAGGATGATATTACCCTATATATGCTTGCTCTGATGAAAAATGAGACTGCCAAACTGAACTGATTAAGGTACTTGTTTACTCACGATATTTTAACAACAACGGGTCGCCGTAGTTATAAATGTCGTAAATTCAAAGAGTTGTGTGAATGAATAGTTTTGTATTTTAAAACTATATGTAAGAGTTACACATTACATATACAACTAATATTTGTGTCTTTCTTATTCTAATATATATAATTTATCGGAAATATACTGTTTACGACATATGCCGTATATCAGCGCGGTAAATTGTAAACAATCGTCTGTCATTTAACATCACCGATGCATCATGACACGCTGGAAGAAACATGGTTTCTCAAAGAAAATATCCCAGTACAGAAAAAATTCTCAGCTGCTTACGAATCGCTGGGCAGAAAGTAGGATTAATTTAGACCATAATTATGATGTCAATCGATCTACCGAGGATGAGACTGGACATGATGACAACATACATGTAATTGTTCCAGAACCGGCAGGTAGCGACGTTCCCGTCTCCTTCAACGACTCAGAAAATTCTAGGTAATGCTTAAGTCTAAGACCATAAATTATTAGAAACTCTTTTTCTGTAGGTGTGAATACATACATGTAAATCTTTCGGCAAAAATATTGTTGCCTACATAAACACTGATAAAGATCTAGAGGTCGAGGGATATAATAATCAAATCCATCACCTGTTAATCTGACAATATCAGTGACATGTATCCTCCTCAACTGCTGAATCCTATTCACTTTTAGTGCATAAATAAAGTATAGTTTAAAATGATATGAACGTATAATGAAAGCTTTGACTGCCAAATATTTTTTTTATTTCTTTATATATGAATTATGATATAGGATTATAAGAATGATTCAGTTTAATTGCATGATCAGTGCATAATTGTTATTGATCATTTAACTTAATGCAAACAACACTTTTTCTAAAGATATGACACTGCTTGGAGAGAAGGAAGAAGGGTGGTTGAGTTAGGGGTGTTAGCAGATGGGCTCTCTGGTTGTGAAGTTTGTGGCATTCCTCTCCATCTTTCTCATACCATGGGAATACTAACTTGTGGATTAGGTTCATTCCTGAAAGTCCAATGTCAAAACACAACATGTCAGCATGTAAATAAAATAGCAACTGGAAAACGCCATGGAAAGATATGGGATGCAAATACCAAGCTTGCCACAGGTACATATTTTGTATTTATTTTTCAGTTACAGTACATGTATACATGTATTATAAAAGGACCAGGTTAATTTCCTGTCATGAATATATTCTATTTTTCATAAATACATCTGTCAGTGAATTATATATTTTTAGGAATGGTGCATACAGGCATGGGACCTTCTCAGGTGAATGCACTTTTAACTTCATTAAATATCCCCCCAATCAGTTCTAGGACACTGCAAAACAGACAAAATGAAACAGGAACAGTTATGGAGAAAATTGCAGTAGAAAGTACCAGAAGCAGCCTTCATGATGAAATTCAGGCAACTGTAGAGTATGTACATGTAGAAAAACATATCCATTGTAATATGAAAATATTGGTTTTGAATATTTAGGACACTAATTAAAAATATATTTGATATAAATGAAGTTATAATGTGTTTATCAGAATGTAAATGCATAGATGATGTCATTTAGAATCTTAATATTTCTATTCTCAAATATATTCATCTTTAACATATTACATGTAAGCAGTAAATCCTACCATTTTCAATTAAAGATTTTAAGATAGTTTTCCTAAAGATATACTGCATAGTAACCTATTATTATATAAAATGCTCATTTTAAGAGATTAACCACAATTAAGGTGGGAAAAACCAACTAGCTTCATGTTTCTGAAAGCTTTCCTGTGATTTTTAAGGTGTGAAGGTACAGACGAGCTAACAGTAAGTGTTGATGCAGGGTGGCAGAAACGAGGCAGTGGGCGATCCTATGACAGCCTCTCTGGTATGTTGTGCATATTTTTTTATACCCCCCGTTTGAAAAGTGGGAGGGTATATAGTGATCGGTATGTCCATCCGTCTGTACATCCATCTGTCTGTACGTCCGTCTGTTATGCTTTGGGGTACCCATCTCTTATCCACAACTCCTCTTATACCACTGGATGAAATTTAATGAGACTTTCACAGATTCTGTGTTACATAGTGCCACTGTGCACCTCCTATTTTACTTTTTGATCGGACACATATTTTGGGTTTCCAAGAGCAAAACATGGACACTGTCATTCTTTTTATAATATTGGAGGGTACCCATCTCTTATCCAAAACTCCTCCTATACCACTGGATGAAATTTAATGATACTTTCACAGATTCTTTATTACATAATGCCATTGTGCACCTTCTATTTTACTTTTTGTTCTGATACTTATTCGGGACTCCCAGAGCAAAACATGGACCTTGCCTTTATAATCATATGGGAGGTGGAGGGGTATCATTTAGTGAGCTCATTGCTCACAGTACCTTTAGTTTTCTTTTAAAAGGAGTTGGATGTATAACAAAGTAAAACTTCAATTGTTTAAATTATTTTGAATTAGAATTGTTATACCTATTTTATACAATATTTATATATTTAAGGAATGTTTTTAAGTTTTGTGTGATTTATTGGTGTGTAAATCACACAGACTTGTCACGTAGGCATATTTCATGAAGCGTGCTAGCGCTTCATGAAAAATATGCCTACGTGCAAGTCTGTGTGATTTACACACCAATAATTCACACTAAACTTAAAAACATTCCTTGTATTTACATTTTACATATTCCAAAGCACCAATAATGTACTCAATATTTGAATTTCTTGCTGCCCTATATCGTTACATTTTTATTTACGTCTCTGTAGCCTCATTGTGACGTCACTTTAGCTCGTGTTTCACCGTGGATATTTCTACGCGTGAGTTTACACAAAAATGACTTTCAAATCAATTTCACAGTTGGCTTAATAGAAAAACATAGCAAATGTAAATATTTTATAATAAATATATTTCATAACAAACATATTATATACCGGTATATATTTTATAATAAATTCATTCCTTAAATAACTCAATCTGCATGACTTTTTATTTGAAACAATATTTTTAGGTCATTGCTCAATGATTGGATCTCAGACAGGCAAAATCATTGACTATGAAATACGAACAAAGTGTTGCAAAATTTGTGAGAGTGCTACAAGAAATGGAAAAGACCCCAAAGATCATGACTGCCGAAAAAACTGGGAAGGTACATTGTATTTTATTCTCTGAGAGAGAGAACTGATCCACCTATCCTTTTCTCTCTATTATTCTCACTTTCATTAATAACTAATCATGATGCAAATGCATGTACTTTAAACTGCTTGAAAGTACTTGTGGAAAACAGAGGAAGCAAATTTATTTTGTGAGAGACATGTGAACCAATATATCCCATGAGTATGGTGTCTAGATAGGGCCTTTTACAAAAGCTCACCAGTGATTTCAGAAAAGCAGGCCTTACAACAACAACACATCAAGTGAACACAACTTCCCACAACACGAAATCACACTTGCACGCAACATGTCATTGCACTCACAGGAATTTTAAAAAATATTGTAAAACAACAACATTGAAGAATACATTAACTTGCTTTAATAGTATATACATGTAAATAAAAATGAAAAAGTGAAGTTATGTTTTCACACTGTATTTGTTAGAAAAAAATCATGGAAATTCATTTAAAATCATAGCAAAAATTATGTGTAAAAATATCATGATATTATCATGATATTTTTTTAAAATCGTGATATATCTTGATATAAAATTTTGGCAATACCCATCTCTAATAACATAGGTAACTCTATTTATCAGATTACTTTTATCTGATAACCCCATACTTGACTTTATTTGAGGGAATTCTGCAAAATGATCCATTTAAAATGAGTTGTAGAGTGTATATATTGTAAAATATAAACAGTTCTAGTAGCACATAAAACCTTTAACTAGCTACGATAATTTCATCTCAAGCTTAATTGAACTTTTTTTATATAGGAATCTCTAAGGCGATGGAAAAGGATATGGTGGCTAAAATGGTCTCCAGAAAAGTGGAAGAAGGGGTGAACATAACAAATGTGGTTGCAGATGAGGACACCACTACCTTTTGCCATTTGAGAAACGTCCACAAAAACATTACAAAGATTAGTGATAAAAACCATATAAGGAAAATTTTCTCTTCAAATTTGTATGGTTTACAATTAAAACACAGATCACTGAGTACTAAAGTTATTCGGTACTTAGTAAAATGTTTTAATTCCATGATATCACAAAACAAAGGGAATCCAGTGGGAGTACAGAGAGGGTTGGATGCACTAAGCAGACACCCTTTTGGAGATCACAGTGCTTGCAATGAATCTTGGTGTTCCCATATCAGCAATCCGAAACAGAAATATTCTGCTTTGCCATATGGGAAACCACTCAAGGACAGCCATCTTCAAGAGTCCCTTCAACTCATCTGCTCCAAGCTACTGAAGGACACTTCCAAACTTTCAAGATTAGGAAGTACACAAGCAAATGAAGCATTCAACAAATCTGTCTCCCTAAAAGCTCCTAAGAATCATCACTTTGGTGGATCTGCAAGCCTCAGTTACAGAGTTGCAGCAAGTGTTGCAGAGAAAAATGCAGGGCAGACATATTTGGTTGAGGTAAGTCATATACATGTATAGTTATGCAGCTGAGTGATGATGACAACTTAAAATTTCATAGATTGAATATTAAGGACACAAGTGAATCAGTGATATATTATTTATTTAGCTTTAACATTATAACATCATACTTTTAATAGGTGAACAGAAGAGTTGGTCTCTCTCCAGGAAAACACACCAGGAAATTCTGCTATTTGCGTGATTCTCAATCAAGAAAGAGAAAAGCCATCGCAAGAACAAAGAATGCAAAGAGGAAAAGAATGCAACTGAAAGCCAAGAAGTGAGATTTTTAAATTTAAAGCTGTTATAAGTATTACTCCACCTCCAACCTCTTTGTGGGGCTTGATTGTGTCGAACTACTCAGTCTGTCACATACCTAGAGCTTTACTGTATCATGATTTTTGTAAGGTGTATATAACAATAGTATTAAATGTTGACAGTAAAAAATTAGTTGTGTAATTCATGCATACTTATATATATATATATATATATATATATATATATATATATATATATATATATATATATATATATATATATATATATATATTACTTTGCCCTTCTTGATAAGTTTGGAAAATCAATTTAGTTTTGAAGTTTCAAATAGTTCATTTATTGATATTAAAAATTTTACTGCCTTTATAGATGCCAGACTACAGCCTGTAAAGAGATAAGAGAGGGGCCTACATATCAGTCTGGAGTTGGAATCTCTGATTCCAATACCGTAGTTGATGAAATTCCACCACCGTCATCTGCACCACAACCACAGAGTTTGTCAACCAAAGACAAAAATTTTGTCGTCTTTGACCTGGAAACAACAGGACTTGGTATTGAATTCTATTTCTCTAAATTAAATCTTGTACAATTAATTTTAAGGAAAACTTCAGAAAAGTTGTCTAATATATTATAAATCATAAAAGAAAGCCAATGCTGATTTTGGTTAAAAAAAAAAAGGTTAATGAATGCCATTGTTGATTTTGTTATTTTTTTTTTTATTTAATGAATGTCAATGCTGATTCTTTTTTATTTCAGCAAGAACATCACACATTCTGCAGGTGGCTGCCATTTGTGGGAAGGAGACATTTTCTTCCTATGTAATGCCTAAGAAGCAAATTACACCCTCTGCCTCCACAGTTACTGGCCTAAAGCTTGATAATGGAACCCTCTATCACCATGAGAGGAAAGTCAATGCTGTTTCAATTTCAAGTGCACTTGGTTCTTTTTTAAGCTTTATTGAGAAGCAAGGCAATGTTATTTTAGTTGGCCACAATGTCAAAAGTTTTGATGTTCATGTTCTTTTTCATGCTCTAGATTCTTGCTCTCTGTTAGATCGAATGTCAAAATGTGTACAAGGTTTTTTAGATACCAAATTTCTATTCAAACTTGTCCATCCCAATTTGTGTTCATATAGACAGGAACATTTATCAGAAGTATTGTTAAATTGTACTTACAATGCACATGATGCTGTAGAGGATGTTTCAGCTTTACAAAGGTTATTTGACACTGTTCATTTTTGTGATGATGAACATTCATCCTCTACATTTACATTTCAGTATGCTTTGAGTGTCCATAACTACCAGAAGGTTGTAGATAGAAACATTCCATCCTTAAAATGTTTAATTGATAAAAATGTTTTGAGTGTCAGAATGGCAAGGAAGGTGGCAGATAGTGGCCTAAACTTTGATCATCTCAGATTAGCACATTCTAGAAGTCCTGATGGAATTTATGATCTATTCACTGAGCAGTGTGACAACAAATCTGTCAGAGTTACAAAGTGCAAGAAAATTATTGATATTGTTACACAGTTTTTCATGTCTTTAAATGAAAGTTAAATGTCTGATCATTACATGCATAATCCCTGGAGTGTTGCATTCCTGTCTAACAAACATTGAGGTCATACGTACAAAATTAATGAAAGAAGATGATTATTAGTTAAATTATATGAACATTTATATTTTGCCTTGAAAATGGATCAAGTTAAGTCATGTAAGAAAAAAAGTACATTCTTTCACTTTGTTCATGCAGTAATTCATTTTTAACTTATTAATCATTATATTTATTACATGTAAATTATTAATTTATCTTAACTTAATGTTTTAAAATTATTTTAAATTTTATGGAATGTGTTTTTATATATTATGAAATTTTGTATTTACTCTTTCGGTTTTACTATTATTTAAACTGAGAAATATGTGAAAATTGGAAAAAAGGATAGAGAAAATTCGAAATATTATAATTAAGTTTGTTTCCTTTTTCTTTAAAATGTCAATTTTTACAGTTCAAAGTATCAGACAGGGTGACATGAAAAAGATTTTGTTAAGTACATCAACTTTTTTTATTGTACATCTTAAGGTGAACATAATGAAATATCGTATGAAATTGAAAAAAAAACAGAGGAAATTCAGGTTATTTTGTAACAAAATATCGCAATATTTTGATCATTGACACCCACTTTGTAATTTATTTTTATTTCTTTTAGGGTGCTTTATATATGTATAAATCAACCATTCAGAGTTATCATCAGTCAAATTTTTAGAATATTTGAATGAAAAAAGGTTCATTTTTATGCATAAAATGTTATAAAACAGAGGAAATTCGAGTTGCAGAAAATAAAAACGTGATCGATTTTGGAAATGATTTTATGTTATTTTTAAGATAACACTTTAAATAATAAATTCACATGATAAAATGTTTCATTTATGTGCTCTCAAAAAAAATATTGTGAAAGATGGAAGTAACCTTTAAAAATTCATATCTACAATGGTGAATTCATGCTATAATTTCATTGGCTAATAGGAAAAAAAGTAGGTCATTGACCTAGATGTTTTAAAGTGGATTTCGTCAAAACATACATATGTCTTACTAATTCAATTGCTGAGTTTTGATTATCATCAGTGGAATTTTTTTTTATTCTGAGTAAACAAGTACCTTAAGTATGATTTCTTTGTGACTGACCTGATGGAGAATAATATTGCCTTGGAGACATTTTCCACACACTACTCTTAACTTTCCTGGTTGAAGGGCATTACATTTTTTACAGTATACATAAAACTGGTATGGGTGTGCTGAAAAAAAAAATGCAGCATGTAATGTACAATTTAAAATTCATCAGCACAATGTATAAATGTACAAGTGTACAAACAGTAATAAACTGGATACAGACACTTTTTTTTCCTTTTATGCCTCATGCTCTTCTCTTTGGTCTGTACTTGATTCATTTAATTAATTATCAATTTGAGAAATGTGACTACATCATGGCTTTAGTCTATTACCAATCATTACATTTTATCTGAAAAATTATTTACTGAACAAGAGGACCTGAATAACTTTCACCCCCATGTTCTCCAGAAGATTTTTAAGAGAATTTTATATTCCCATGAAAAATAATGAGCCCATATTAAAGCCCCACCCTAATTCTAAGGGGTCTCTGATTCCACACTTCTTCAATATCAATATGATTTATGTGGCCTTGCAGTTCTGGAGAAGAAAATTCCTTTCCTGTATACATGCATGCATTATTTAAAATTTTATCCAGGTGAGAGGATACTTAAAAATGTTTTCTTTTATAGTCAAATGTAAAACTTTCCCCATTGTGGCTCCACCATATCCCCGGGCTATGATTTCAATAATTTGGAATCAACATTATAATTAATTAATAGAAAGTTTTTACATAAGCTTCAACTTTTCAGATTTTAAAAACTTTTCCCTATTTATTCCATTATATAAATCTTTGGCCCCCTATTGTGGTTCCACCCTTGTGGAGGGGGGGGGGGGGGCAAGATTTAAATAATTTTAGAATCTACATAATGTAAGGCAATTTTCACACAACTTTCATCTTTTCTGTAAAACTTTGATCCCAGATTGTGGCCCTATCCTACCCATGGAGGCAATGATTTGAACAATCTTGGATCTACACTACCTCAGGATGCTTTCATGTAAGTTTTATTTTTTCTGGTCCAGTGGTTCATGAAAAGATTTTTTAAAGATTTTTTTCTCTTATATATTCCCCTGTAAAACATTGATCTCCTATTCTTGCCCAACCTACTCCCAAGGGCCATGATGTGAACAATTTAAATTCTACACTACCCCAGGAACCTTTCACATATTACATATATTCACATATTAGGTTTTATCTTTTCTGGCCCAGTGGTTCTTGAGTAGAGGATTTTTTAATGACTCCACCCTATTTTTTGGACAGACAGGTAATTGGACGGATGCTGGACAATGGGTTATCAGAAAAGCTCACTTGAGCTTTCAGCTCTGTTTAGTCATAATTACAGCATGTCATCTTCAAAACTTTTAAAACTTTAACACTACACTCACCCAAAACAGCTGCAGTCTGAGAATTGAGCTGGTTCAGGCCAATGCCAGTACTAACTTCTAGCAGTGGTGCCCGTTTTTGTTGAAAAGCATGTAATGTTGTGTGGTTTCCAAGACCTAGCTCCTAATGCCAGATTAAAAGTTCTCAATAATAAACAGGTTAATAAATCTTTGCAATACATCATCAGCAGGGGCTGAAATATACAGTAGCCCGACGCCCGGGGCTAGTCATTTTAAGACTCAGGCTACCTAATTCAAATTTAATGATAGTCTGTTGGACTAGTAGAATGGAAAAAAAAATTCTCTTCAGTTTACTTTAAATTCACTTTTCTATGTTGACCGATTTCTTTTGAATGAGAACTACATGGTGGTTTAATTTGTTTCTGTCGATCACCATAGGGTTTGAAACTATAACTTATGTTTTCATTTTGCATAACAAATTATTGGGCTAGTTAGCTTGAGGTTTGGACTAGACACTACTTCTTTTACTCTGATCAGTAGCCCATGGGCTAGTGGGTTTTCCAAGAAAATTTCAACCCCTGATCAGATAAACATGTAGTGTGTCTAACGTAGAGTTACTGTATCAATTGAAACCAGATTTATAAATAATATTAGCCCCCAACCTCACCCCTTACCAATAATGTTTTGGAGGGAGACTGAGATGAGTGTAATGTGGGACCTCTGACACCATATAAATTAACATGGGTTTCTAGTTTAAGTAAGAAAAAAAATTGTATGAGCAATTATAAAGAATGCAAACCCTTCGTAATTTCTTCAGACTGACACCCTGAGTGTATGACTTACACTAACAGATTGACCATCCTGCAGTAGTTTTCCTGCCAAAATCAGGCGAAGGTCAGCTTTAGGAATCCCTGTCTTGTTACTTATACAACTTTTTATTTCTCTGACTGACGACTCTCTGCTTACTTCTAATGGACACGATGACGACGAGTTAAATTTTATATTTACTAATATTTTTTCCATCTAGAGAATTGGTTTGCTTTATCTCCTTTCATTTTACACAACGTCAATTTTTGTGACAATGCATGACTGATGACTAGAGTCTTTTTATATTATTGTCTCTTATATATTAAGAAGTCTTCCAACTCCCAAAAAAAAGATGTAAATCAGACAAAATCGATTTGTTACATTGTTGATGAAACTCGTCAAGCTTGAAGCGAAGGACAGCGATTTTGTCGCTATCCCACTTTCAGTTTGACAAAAATAGTGAATATTACTACGCAGTGGTATGCTATTTAATGAAAGACTGAATATTTCTTCGGTTCATATTTTGTTTAGTTTGGTGTTATATTACTTTAAATATTTATTTTAATGTGAAACAATAATAAGTTTTCTCATTTTGTTTCAAATAGGACGCACTATATACTTATGCGTAAGAAGCTTATTTTTGAGTTCCAAGGTCATAAAGCAAAACATGTGAAATGGCGTTATTTCGTGCAACAACAAGGCTTTTGAAGCCTTCTTTCGAAGCAAATATAGCATCGACTGTTTCATTTTATCACAAGAATGTAAGTATTGTTAAATTTTAAACCTGATTTATATTACATGTCATTTATTTCGATGTACAACATTGTTGATATCCGAATTTCCTCAGATAAGATTTTATTTTTTATTTAGGTGATCGACCATTACGAAAATCCTAGGAATGTTGGTTCCATGGACAAGAAGGACAAAAATGTCGGTACTGGTCTTGTAGGGGCTCCCGCATGTGGTGACGTCATGAAGCTTCAAGTAAGGGGAAAAAATGAATGTTACGTAACTATAGTTTACTCCAATGGTCGACCTTTACGTTGTACGTTTGTAATGTTATTGGCGAAAAAATTTGGTTGTTATGTTATGTTTCCTATAAATAATGTGTCTTGTAATACTGAGCCTTAACACAATAATTTAATTTCTTGATGTACATGTGTCGGGTCCAACACAATCTCTTGATTTAGCTGTATACATGTAGCTTGAAATAGCTATGATAGCTTTATTAAGCTATTCATAATAGCTTGATAAAGCTATTATATGCAGTTTTTTTCAGAAAAATGTTTTTTGTAAGAAATAGAAAAAAGTTGCAAGCATTTAACTATTCATATATGTACTATGGCCTAGCTACATGTATCAAAACAATGACCAAAATCAAAGATAGTTCTAAGATTGCAGCATTTTAAGCAAAAGATGAATTTTCATTGTTTGAGTAACCAGTCTAGACGAACTCCAAAAACAGCGTTTCCGGAAGTAAGAAATTGAGACTGAAAAAGACTCCGAAAATAGAGTCCGCGCATGCGCGCACACACAAAAAATGGCGATTTTTCGGCAAAAATGATGGGTCTACAAAAACTGTCCGTGCAAAGTTTTGGAAAGTATGGCAATTATACCAGTACTCAGAAATGCTAAATAAAAGACTTTGGAAGAGATCGTATTTGTCAAATTTTTGATTTTATTTGCAAAAAAGGAGATATTTACTTTCAAAGTTAACGTTTCATGTCAGATCAATTACAGAGAAAATGATACGTTTTGAGGAGTAAATATGCATAATAATAGGGATATATATGCAAAATGGGACAATATATATTGTAACTGTTAAAAACCTGACTGAATTTTGCACATAAATTAGCATTCCGGTTTGTAATTTGTGTACGACATCTGAATTGAACGCTTAAGTTTTTACCATCGTTATTTACCAATTTTTTTTATCACATACGAACAGATATTATTATGAAAACATTTTTAAACCTATTATCTGTTAATATGAAGACTTTAAAAACCACTCTTCTAGATATTAAGGGCACAACATGTCTTCTAAAAATGAACTTGTTAATATCTCTGCTCCGTGGTGAAAAATGCGCATTTTCTGATTAAAATAAATACAAGTTGGGTGTCTTCAAAAACAAATAAAAGCACCCTTATTGTAGGATCGACATAAAATTTAAATCAAGGACACAATAAATTAAATAAGAAAATATTTCTTACCGGCAATATTGAATTCGATGTCGTATATCCAATTCACTATTATGCAAGAGTTTGAAGCGATAAATAAGTCAATATTCACAAAATAATTTAATAAATGCGATTATCCATTCAACAAAAAATAAAATGAAGTAATAATGCACTAAATACACCATTATGCAGCCGTATATTTGGAGAAAGCGAACGACAATCCATCGTTTGTTTACATCGGACGCCATTTTGTCGCAATGCATGATGGAGCCAAAGACTTCATTTTCGGAGTTCACGCTGTTTTTGGAGTTCGTCTAGACTGGTAACTGTACTACCTTGTGTGTGTTGCGGCATGGATAAGTATTTCTCATTGTACTGAATTTATTTCCAATCAATTTTTTTTTTACCATAATTGGCCTCCTTTATAATTTCCCTGAAGAAGTAACTGTATCAATTGCTTTATATAGCCCCAAAACTTTTAGAGCTTTGAGTACAAAGTATCTGAAGGAAATGCAATTTGATGAGTGATTTTTACATGCATTATTTTCAGAAGAGTTCAAGGTTGAATATTATCACTGCACCTTACACTGCACTAAGGTGCAACTTTTTGTACATGCTGAGAACACATTTAAGGAGGCTGGGGGTCAACAAATTAACCACAAATTAACCACCAGATTTAACTTAATATTTTAGATATGTTATCTTAAGCTGTCAACTATCATTTGGCAAAGAAAAATTTCAAAAATTTTAGTTTTAAAATTTGATCATTTTCTATATCTTCATATGGAGCTCTTATTCTAAAGGAGATCAATATAGTCTAAAAATGGCCACAACCCCCCAGCCTCTTTAAGAAAAAAGTGTGATAAAATAGCTAAATTAAGCTATTCTGAATAGCTTAATAAAGCTATATAGCTAAACCAAGAGATTGTGCCGGACCTGATGTGTATTTCATAATAAGTACCACTTCCATGAATTCATATGATGATTTTAAGATTGTCTAAAATTATAGATTAAAGTGGATGAAAATGGTAAAATCATTGATGCCAAATTCAAAACTTTTGGATGTGGGTCAGCAATTGCCTCCAGCTCATTGGCCACAGAATGGATCAAAGGAAAAAAGGTATGATTTTCCTCCTTTTGTTTACAGGTAAGGGAGAAAATGGATAATGCATGCGGGGCCTGGAGGTAAACCCTCTTTGACTTGAGCATTAGATACAAAAATATAATCTGTTCTCAGCATAAACAAAATTGTTATTGAAAATTCATGGTATGTACAACATGTACATGTACCTGGGACAGACCATCTGTCGGTAATCTAGAAAAGAAATATTTACCAAAAGTTCATCAAATCCTCTTTACAAAGCACTGTTTAGCTATGTCTGTAAACACTTGTTATAATTTCAATTGTAATATGAAAAGTTATCATTTTACATTTGAGACATGTTATAATTACAATTAGGAATTAAATAGTTTGAATATCCACTGTGACAGTGTTTAATTTCAACATTTATCATGATTAGAGGAAGTAGGATTTTGTAATAGGAAAGGAGACAACGTGACAGACCAGACCTGGATTTGGATCCTGGTTTGGTCCATCGCATTTTCTCCTTTCCTGTCACATTTGGTGCCATGTCATGCCCTGGAAGTCACAGGAGAAAGACCTGCCAGGGAGGAGTCTGGGTTGGTGTCTTTGGGGAAGAAATGTGGTGATCAGACCAGGGTTGGCAAAAAACTGGGAAATACTCATATTTCCCAGGACAGTGGGAAATACTGGTAATTACCGGTAATTACTCGTATTTCCGAGGAATTACAGGGAAATAAGAAATAGCTACATACTTCATTCATATTGACATGTAGTACACCTTATTTGCTAAGATATCTACCTAGTACCACTGTCCTGATTAAAAAAATATGGTTTCCAGGTAATTCATTTTATATAATTATAACAGTATATTCATATACCAATCATGAGTGTCATTTGTTTCATGCTTGAGTCAGATGTATAGTCTAGTATAAAGGACCATGAAATGAACCAAAAGATCCCAACTGGGGTTTTTATGTAACTAAAAAAGAATCTAAGAAAATTCTTAAATGTAGAGTATGGTATAAATATCCTTTCAGTTCTACTCAGGTAGTTATCTCTCAAAACAGGAGCTCAAAACTATCCATAGCAATTTGTTAAAACAACATAATTGTTTGTAATAACTACAGTGTTTATAGAGGGATTGAAACAAGTTTTTTTTCTGTCTTGGATTTATAATAAATAAACTTAATATTTTTACAAAACTGTAAAGAAACTTGAATTGGAAAACTTCAGTTTTATACAGCCAGGGAAATGTTTCAGAATGCTTATGGGTATGGGATCTGGAGTGATACATTATGAATATGTTAAATTGCAATTTGAGACATCTTCCATATTATTCATCTTCTGTTTTTATTTTTTATTTATACATAATTTTATTCACAAAATGCCTTGATTATGATTATTTTATTTTTGAATTTTGTATAAGATTGAATGAATTTAACACGTTCAAGAAATTTAAAAAAAACTTTAACTTTGTATTTCCCAGTATTTTCCAATATTTCCCAGTTTAGAGAAAATTTGTAGTATTTCCCGGGATGGGAAATACGGGTATTTACCACTGGTAATTCCCACCACTGGTATTTCCCGGCCAACCCTGGATCAGACAGATTTGATCACCGGTGGCCATATAGCTCACTTGGTAGACCACCTGACTAGTGACTCAGGGTCCCAAGTTTGAATGCTGGTCTTGTCGGTCACATTTTCTCCTTTCACACAAAAGTCATTATCCATGTCTCTCTGTGAGGACAAGTTTGCAGATCAAATAATACTTTAATCATATGTCAAACATCTCTCTAAATTATGGGTTGGGAAATATTGAAAAATTTGTAAATTAAACATAAACATGTGTGTATGATATGAATATGATATTAACATGTAAGGTTTTAAGATTGTTACATTGTCCTGGAATATTTTTTTTTCACAGTTGGATGATGCAGTCAAGATCAAAAACACTGACATTGCTAAAGAGCTGTGCTTACCACCTGTGAAACTCCACTGTTCTAGTAGGTTTTGACTGAAATTCATTATTTTAATTAAATGTGCATTCAGTCTATTCTTCATTTTAATTTGTAACTTTAGAATTTGGTTGCATAATACAAAACTACTTTTGTCATAAAAAAGGAAGAATTTCTAAATTAAAATGTATTTCATTTCCTGCTTCATGCAAAAGAAAATATAGAATGAGCATTTTGTCAAAATCAGCATAATTAAAGATTAAGATTTTTTTTTAAAAAATATGTAAATTTCATTTTTTTTTTTTTGTGTCTAACACAGCCCACATTTTTGCTAAATCTAAATATCTAACACAGAATTTGTTTGCAAGTTTATTTTCAAGTATGGTATTGAACATGCTGAACTGAAAATTGTATCTTTGTGTAGGAAGAGTAATGTTTCTTGTACAGTGAAGTTATTTTTTGTTTTAGTGTTGGCAGAGGATGCCATCAAAGCAGCTTTAAATGATTACAAGCTGAAAAATCAAGAGAAAGCAACTGCATCTGCCTAGTCACCAAGGTGATGACTACAAGAAAAGACTAAGAAAAGTTAGGAAAGATAATATGGAATGCTGGCATTTATTATTGTTGTTGATGTAACACTTTTCCACTTGTTTGATATTATATGAATGCTGTTCCAGTTAATACTTGTATATGTACATTTAATATGTGAGAAATATATTGCCTCTAAATTTTGGATCCTTTGAATTATGTTTTGGTTAAATGACTTTAAGGGCAGATGGAATTTTTTACCAATATATTGCTAAATATAATAAGCTTATAATAAATATTACCGGTAAGTAATTTTACTAATTTATAATCAAAAAGGAATTTTTTTCAATCAGTAAAAGCAAACTTGGAGTATTACATGCATTTTGTAAATAAATTGTTGATTTTAATATGGTTGTTTGTCAGTATATATTTTCAGACATTATTTATTAAGCATTAAAATTTATTGCATGAAGACAAAATTAGTGCATACAAATATTTAAGTACACTTTCATCTTTAATCGGATGAAACTTAGACAATGTAGCCCTTATTATGTCCATATTTCTTGACTTAATTTGCCCTTGAAATAAGTGCCTGTTATGTCATGCCCATTTTTCTTAGCTCTTAATTTGGAAATGTCATAGATTGTGGAACACTGAAGCTCTATATATTATATACTTTTAAGCATTTTTGGCTAGAGGGACAGTAAAACTCGTTTAGTACGAACACGTATATTGCAAATTCACGGATATAACGAAGTTTTCTTGGATACCCAGCTATATAAATTTTACGAATTCCTTATACGGATATAACAAATTAGGGGTATAGCATGGTAATTTCACAGGTCCCAGTGACTGTTATAACCGAGTATTACTGTACTGCAATTTTTTATAAAGTGCCCCAACATGTACATACAAATTTCTACAAGTGATAAGAAGTAACCCTGTGTGGAGTATGAACTTCCAGAGTAACACCCCCCCCCCCCCCCCAAGTGCCTAGAACTTCCCAAAATGACCTTGTACCAAGATTGTGACACCCTCAGCTCATGGGTAACATTTGCTTGCAATTATTATTGTAATTCCAATATTTATCAAGTTAAGAATTATGAACTAGACAAAGATTTTGTAATTATTTTGTCAGTGACCTTGAACTTAAAGGATTGAACTATGGTCAAGATCATGACACATTTTCAAGTAATATTTGTGTTAAGTAAGAACTTTCAGTATTTCTTCACAAAAAAGTTGCAGACCCAATATGAATTTTACACTTTTTGTGCCAGTGATCCTGAACTTGCAAAAATGATCCGAATGAGTCAAGATCATAACACTCCCTTAGATTGTAAGAAATTGTTGTGTCAAGTATCATCTTCCATTTTTCTCCATTACAGAGTTATTACCAGACTCAAATTACATGTATACATTTTTCTGTCAGTGATCTTGGACGTGCTCAAATTACTTTTGGTCAATGTCATGACACACCAACAGGTAATAAGCAATCTTTGTAATAAGTATTAGCTTCCAGTGTTTCTTCATTACACAATATGGTCAGGACAGGAATTATACATTACTATATAAGTGACTTTGAACCTGACCAGATGACCATTGGTTAAGGTTATGGCACACCTTCAGATGATAAAAATCTTTGTGCGAGGGATGAACTTTCAATGTTTCTCCATTAGAAGGTTATGAACCTGTCAAAAATTTTGACTCTCTGCTAGTGACCTTGAACTTGCTCAAATGACCTTTGGACAATGTCATGACACACCCACAGATCATTTGATATCAATCTTTGCACTAAATATGGGCTTCCAATGTTTCTCTAATACACAATATGGTCAGGACACGAAATTGACCTTTTTTTCTTCCAGTGACCTTGAACTTCCAGGAATGACCTAGGGTCAAAGTCATGACATACCGTCAGGTCATAAACAATCTTTGTCTCAATTGTGAGCTTCCAATATATCTCAATTACAAAGTTATGACCCGGACACAATTGCATGGACAGACAGACAAGGTCATTCCTGTAACCTCGGTTGTAGGGGGTATAAAATTATATAGCTCTGTTGCCCCTCCCCCCCCCCCATCCCCCCGGAAAAAAAAACTGAGCTTCTGTTCAAATCAATTTGTTTTAATATCAATTCTGTGATTCGGTATCAAACTCCAAGGTCAAAGGATCAAAATAAATGGTACGCAAAGGGAAGATCTTGTCTTAGTCAAAAGAAATACACATGCAAAATATAAAAGCCCTAGCACCAACCGTTCAAAAGTTAAGACAAAGGTTAAAGTTTTCAAAATTAGGTCAAACTTCAAGGTCAAAATTGTTGATATCCAAAGAAAGGTCTTGTCACAAGGAATATACCTGTGAAATTTGAAAGCCCTAGTTTTAACTGTTCAAAAGTTATGGCCAAGGTTATTTTTTTTTAAAGTGGGTCAAACTCTAAGGTCAAGGTCAAAAATATTTAAACCCATGGAAAGGTTTTGTCACGATAAATACATATGTGAAATTTGAAAGCTCTAGCACCAACTGTTCAAAAGTTATGGCCAAGGTTAAAGTTTGGTAAATTTTTGCAAAGGTGGGTCAAACTCAAAGGTCAAGAGATCAAATATGTTGGTACCCAAAGGAAGGTCCTGTCACATGGAATACACATGTGAAATATGAAAGTCATAGCTCCAACCAATCAAAAGTTATAGGCAATGTTAAAGTTTTTGCGGACAAACAGACAAACGGACTGGGCAAAAACTATATGCTCCCGAATCTTCGATGACAGGGCCATAAAAATTACAAAAATTATTTGTAAAAAGGTGACTGAAACTACATATAGGCCTAAATTGTGTTTAATACCTCCTCCCATCCGGTTGGATGGGAGGAGGTATTTCTGGTACATGTAATGAAAAACACTAACTGTAACCATCTTTAATTTGATTTTAATTGCAAACGATTTACTTCATGTACCCCACCCCTTTTAAATTTCGCTTCCATTGCATATTTATCGAAGAGCTTCTGCTGATTATCTATCACACTGACAGGCATTTGTTTCTATAATAAAAAGTTACCCCTTAGTATAATGGTAACACTATTATTATTATACTATAAGGTAAATTTTTATTACAGAAACAATTGTCTGTCAATGTGTTATCCATGTGTACAACTATTCTGAGTTTTGATACCGAGTTTTACACGAACTACATAACACTGACTTAATTATGAGTTTAAGTAAAATTGGAAATATAAAACTTTTATTCCCAAACTGAGAGTGGAAAACTCTAATATCGACAAAGTAAGTGAACATTCAACTTCAAGGATTAAAATGATTCAAAGGAAGGGCCGGGTAGTATCTGTGGTATTGAGTAAAATATTAATACTAATTGATGACAAATGTTTTGGACACCTCCATTAGAAGTGATATACGATATATATATTTCACTACAAAAGACAGTGGCAAGGTGCCATAAAAATATTACATGTATTATTAGGAACTTATTGAATATGGATTTTCCATATCCTAATTATACTTACATCTTTTAATGGATATTTTATTTTCATTTTCAATTATCATAGGTAATTTTCTATTATCATAGGTATATTGCAAACGAAATGATTTATCCATTAGTATATATATACATGTACATATATGTCTATTCATGTGCATGCACGCATGTTAGAGATTTGCATAGTGCGACTTTGACCAGAGACTTGAAATATTTTTGGCATCAAGAAATAAACTTGTATAATCATAATTCAGTCATCCTTTACCTACAGACACAATCATGCAATTTAATTGCAGAATACACTGTCAGTTTAAAGTTTTGACAACATCAGAGTACATAATAAACGTCCAAGAGGCCAAACATTTATTTAAGTTTTAATGTTTCAGGGTTTGCACAAGACTGGGTACTCAACCAACCCATATTTAATAATAATGATCAGAACACACAATTATAAATAAATGATAATCTGAACTGAATTATTTTAGCAATTTTATTATAAAGAAGAACACAATGAAAACAAACAAAATATAAAATATTGCACCAGGATACAACATATTTCCCTCTAAAGCAGGTCATGTGACTCGTTTTAACCATCACATGATCGACTTTTGGCACTTTCATGTAATGGATTTACCCATAAAATTAAAATAATGAGATCAATGACAAAAATATGACAGGTAAATGGATTTCACAAGTCCTTAACGGACGGAATGTCGCTATTCGTCCATATCACATTACAGTCTGTTGCGATGGCGAACTTTTTTTTTCAATTGAGAAAGAAACTAATCTAGTTCGCAGTCTGTTTCTTCCAACATCGTTTCCTACAAAGAAAATCAAATAGGTATTCTTAAATTTTTGACAAGAAAAATCCCTACATGCATGGTTTTTGCATATTGAATTCTTAAACAGAAAACAATAAATTGGGGATGATCTATTTTGAAACTATTTCTAAAAAAATGAATATGCCCATTTCTCACCCATCCTCCTCGGTCCTCTACCCAGCCGGAGTATGTCTCCCGGAAGTAGTCGTATGCCATCTGAGCAAGACCGACACTTCCCTTAGCCACGTGAACAGCTGTCCTGGTCAGATAAAAATAGAGCGCAATCTGATCCCATCCAATGGTGCTGTGCAAGGACGAATGGATGACCTTTTTGAACTGTGTGTAGGTGTGTTGCCTGGCAATGTCCAGCACAACAGGGGTGAGTGAACCAAGGTTGTACTGAAAAGGTCAATGACAGTTATAATACAAGTAGCTATTTCTATTTCATTGAATAAATACAGTATCTTTACAAGTGAAAGACGAAATCTAGTACATGTACAAAAATTACAAAACTTACATCTTGAGAGAGTCGGTCTCCTTCTCTGCGAAATTCTGCAATAAGCTGTTCAACTATTTGATCATCTGAAATACGTATTTAAAAAATATTCAAATGTAAAAAAGAAAAGTTAATTTCTGTAGCTTCAGGAAAGAATTCAGAGCAATTTTTTTAATTCAGTCGAATTCCGGAGAAATGCAGCTATAGGACTTACTTCCGCGTGCGCTGTGACCCCCGGCCTCCCCGTGGGGTGATTCCACTCCTGATGACGAACTCTCGGTGTTATACCTCTCCACGGCTTTGTCCCCAATAAACTTAAGTCGGTCCGCAACCTCGGAAATTCTGTGTTCTCGCTCCTCCGCTGGTAGTTCTTCAAACGGACGATCATCTAAAAAAAAAATGTAAAAAAGAGTCAGTTGTATTATATATTTATAGTAAAATAATTTATACAAACACGTTTGTTCTTTGATCGAAAATGATGCATGTGCTCACTAGATTGATTTAATAATATTTCAAACTTTCAATTTAATCATTAAACTAAAAAAAACTATCAAATTAGAATGACATACTAGTATTGGAACACTCACCTTTTTTGTGTTTGTCTGTCGTTTTCGGGGAGTCAATTTCGTCTCCATGGCCATCAATCTCAATGTCGCTGTACACTGACACCTGGCGGACGTATTGTGTGTGATGAGACCATCCATTTACGGTCGTAACTTTTTCATCTTTTTTGGATGAGTACCTTCGCACTACCCTCCTCCCTCTTGTTTGTGTTAAGTCCAAAGAGAGATTGTTCCTATCACCAGCCTTGCGTTGTCCATGTGTATGTGAGTATGCGTTCTTTTCACTTTTTACAGTAGAGCCATTTGAAATTTCACCAAAAATCAGAGACTTAAACACTGCATCCACCGGTTTCATGTGTCCATCATCATTATCATGAGAGTGACTTGGAGTCGGTCCTTGAACAGATTCCCGAACTTTAGGCTTTTCCTCGCTGTTTTTGAAAGCCTTTTTGTTTACTGTGTCACTAACTTTGAGATCCTTTTCACCTTTGTGGAAAAAGAAATAAATCTTTTGAGTAAAAACACGCAGTTTCCTAGCCTTCATGACTGTACAGTATAGATAGCTAGCTATAACTGATTTAAGTACACTACAGCGAGCGGAAATATAAGTAATGACTTTATCTCTTCTGATGAAGGAAGTGAAAGTAGAAAAACCCAGTTGGCTGTCAAGCGACAGTCTAATGAACAGTTGTATTTAGATTATATATATATAAGCTGTATGCATGCTCGCGCATGTCAGCCTACGTCTTCGACCAATTAATTACCAGCTAATATGTAGGACATGTAAAAGTTGAGTGACCGCGAGGATTACATTTATACATACGAAATCAATAACGTATAGCGCTAAAGGGTGCATAAAAAGTGAGTAGAACGTTCCTTGGCTAGCAGCACGGAGGGCATTGCTCTCTTCAGATCGATGTTAAGTCAGTAACTTAACGGATTCAGCGGCTGTCGGGAAATCAGTGATGAAAAAAAACGCGATATGACAAAAAACTATGTCAATGTAATTAATCCTGATCGGTTATATGTGTGGAGTTGATGAGAAAAAAAATTTTAAGAGAGAATAATATTGAATGATTAAGAGACCTCGGGAAGCTTTATAGTATGCTTTTAACAAATGGACTCGCGGTCAGAAAATGTTGCTACATTTTAATAAATATGCATCCAATTGACATAAGTAAAAAATCAAATCTGATTTTAAAAATCCAAAAACAAATTCATTTTCTAATTAAAATTAAGTTATCATTTAATGAAAATGCCATTTACCCCTAGGAAGTGACGAATTAGGTATATTTGTACTAAATTCAATATCTTTGAAAATCTTTTTAATTTAAAAATCAATAGCGTTAATTGTGTATTCAGGAAGACTGACCAAAACAAACATAATTACAGTTTTTTTAATCATAGTGATTCCACAGAAGCGCCTGTGGTCAATGAATTTAAAACATGTTCAACAATCTAGCACGGTGTTGTTGATCTAAGACTGACCGCATATGACCTTTCATTTCATTCAATTGCAGTGTTCTATAATGATAACATAAAACCGGTAATTCTAAAACCGCAAACGCTAAGTGCACTGACAGAAACATGTGCAAAAGAGATCTCGACAAAGAGTACATAAAAATGGAGTAACGCAGTATACAGCAACCAGAATTAAAAGCTGATGTCATTTATGTTCTCCCTGGGGAGGAAAAGTTATTCGTCATAAAGTGATTGTTGTCAATTTAAATAACGGGATTATAAATTAGAGTGACGGGTATTGTTACAAGATTTCTTTTGGGTGTTAATCTCATTGTAATCGGTGCACAGTTTAGTAGCTCATCCGATTATTTTATGAATAATGTATTTCGATCAATGGATGACACTTTGCCGCTGTGTCCGACTTATATATCAATAGTAGTAATTAGGTTGTATATATTGTGCCAAATGAATCATCAACAGTAACTTTTCAGGGAATCACCATTCGATTCCGAATTTGTGAATAAAAAAAAATAAAAACGAAATCAATATACATGTACTTCTTTTCCCCCGCTAAATTGCAATTCTAAAATTACTGGAGCTGCAATAACAGAACGAGGAGAAAAAAAAATAGAATTCATACAAAAGAGTCGATTAACAGGTGGTATAAAAAAATCGGTCGAATTATGCAACATATTGTCTTTCTGACATATTATCTATTGATCAATAAAAATCTGCATTATGACTACTTTCTTTGCACTTTGCGAAAATTGTTTTTTTATGTACATTGTACTAATATATTAAAAGATATCAATAGGCTTCCAGAAAATTTTAACAACATCCTGCAAAATGAATTGTCGGAGGGGCATTTTCTTTTTCAATGTAAATGAGTTATATATACCTGTCACGTTTAAGAAACTGGAGAACGAACTTTTTAACATGTATTAAAAAAAATTACTTCTGTTAAATATACATAATCCCTATCGAGAAGGGGGACCTTCTCTTTGCCTACCAACACTTTAAGCTTCAGGTTAAATCTCTGACTTCTCACTATCCTACACATTAGCATATACGCCACTGTCAACACTTTGTTTTTAGAAAACATGCAAAGAGTAGATCAAGAATATTCCCAATTACTATATTTGAAAATTTCTACCAAGATAATTTCACTTTTGTAGAGAATTCGTAGAACGGCTGTCATCGGAAGAAATTAAAATTCTAATTATATTATATACTAAAACACCTTAAGAACAAAGGGTAATATATGGACCAAACTTACCATCGTGAACTTTGTGAGATTTCCGAAACGAGAATATACGTTTAAGCCGACTTTTGGGGACAGACTCGGCATAATGTTCCTGAATAACTTCGAGGGAAGACGACTTCATTTTCTTTTTTCTGATTTTCACTTTCTTCTGCTTTTCTTGTTTCTCTTTTCTCTTTTGGCGCCTCTCCTCCTCTGTGATCGTCTGCTTCTGAAAGCTGTGAAAAATCCGCTCTTTGGCTTGTTGAAAACGACTCTTTCTTTTTCTGGTGGATCCAGAACTTCTCTGATCTTCGTCTGTGTCGGGGGACGGCACAATTCCGGACTCTTGGCGATAGATCATGTGTGACGATGACGAATGCCTCCGATGACCGGAAGTAGTCCGGCTGGTCAATCTAATAGTCCCAATCTGAGAGGGAAGAGTCCTGTATTTTTCTTTATCGTAATCTTTCTTTTGAAAGTCACTCTCTGATCCGAATAACACAGATATTCGGTTTTCTTTTGAGATTGCTCTTTTGTAGCTGTCTGATCGCTGGAGTGTATACCCCGCGCGTCCGTCACTTCCAGGAGAATCAGCCATCTTTGGTGCTCGGACTAGTTTTTCAATGTCAGACAGTCTTTTTCTATCCTCTTTCCTCATCGGTATGGTAGGCCTTCTCTGAACAATTCGTTGTGGCATTGTATTTTCTACGGAGAAAAAAGTATATATACATGTATATAAAAAAATATTTGAAATTCTTTCTATAAAATATCACTTCCTGACCTTCTTATCCCTGCTATATATATAAGTATATCATTATAATATTAATAACAATTTTGCAAGTCAATAACTAAGTAAAGGTTATAAGTACACAAGACTTAATGTACCGAGTAACTTGATCACTTAAATAAATGCTTATCAGTGTTCCCTAATGATATACTTTTTCAGTTTCTTTTGCCAACTTATTAAAGGTTTTTCAAATTATCATGGTACATTCGAAATGAAGAAAATATACATTAGGAAATTCGATTGGGAATTGCACAAGGATATATTTATAGTTAAATCCCTATGTCATTGTACAGGTAATGCAAGCACAATGTTGACATTGAGCTCTACTAGAGCATGGCGAAAAAACATGGCGTCATGTTACGACCAAAATGATTATTTGATCATTTAACAAATTAATGTAGACCTAAAAGATCTTTTCTTTCAAATGAAGAATTACTCTATGTTTTAAGATATGTACTATAAATTATAATTAATTCATTTAATCCCTTTTATATATAATTTACTGATACTATATATTCTTACCAAAGAGAGTTTACTTTTTTTAAATTTGCAATAGAACATTTACTTACTTCAAACATGTACATATTGAACAACATTCGAAGATCTCTAATCTGTGTTTACCGTAAATATGTAAAATTATGTCTTTCAAATATCAGAACAAATAAAATTCACCTCTATCATGACATTGATGAAACCAGTTACCCAATACTGTAAATACCCTTTAAATTATTTTTAAATGTTAGTCATTTTTAAAATACTATTTACGTCATATCAAACCTGGCATTTGGTTTTAGCAACAGAAGTCTCCTTTCCTCAAGCTTTCTTCGATCTCCCCACAAAACATAGCACTATATAAAATATACTTTCATTCGATGGTGTACATCTGAATAATAAATTCTCTTTCGTACGTTTCGCTTTATTATTTCCACAGGTGAGATAAAGACAGTGACTCAGGTAAATTCCTCGCCTGACATCACTTGCTGGGTTTAAAGTGGGGCGAGCTCTTAAAATAAAAACACAAGTTTATCAAATCACCGGCTATTTATCGGGTATATTTTTTAAAAATTTCCTCAAATGACGACAAGGTACGTATTTCCTAGGGTAGCATGTTAAAAATAAATATCAAAACATTAGACCAGGAAAGAATTCCACATGATATGATCCATTGATATTAAAATTAATCCCTGCATATTTAAAGGGTTTCGTCACTACCCAGTATGTTTTTCACTGGAATTAAAAGGAAGTGCTGTTTAATAAATAATTAAGATAATGAATCTGATAACAGGCCAAATGTTGTGGTAGTACATTCCCGGACAGAAAGTCAGGAATAAGGAAGAGGTCAACTTTAAAGTGCGATGTCCACTAAAGAAACGGATGTTAACTTTGCGGCGTGTCAAAATGATCGACTTGCAATGCAATGTTTATATTTACTCAAAAGAAAAATACCCAAGAATCATTGTTATAATATGAAGGTTGCATAAGTAAAGTCATGGCCCCTTTTTTCAAGAAACACTAAATGTTCCGGGAATTCTCTTTACTTTCCTCTGGATTCCATGCAATATTTATTCCTGTAATCTTCCAAACTAAAAAGTAAAAAGATAATGCATGGAAATTATTACAAAAATTTGAAATTGAACAATACTTAAATTAAAGGCATTTGCCTCCGAAATCATGTTCTATGTTAAGACATAAATCATATTCATTTAACTCTTCATTCTTTAACTTATCACACAACAGTTTCAAATGTCCTTGAGACAAATTTGGAAACATACATATGTAAACGCCCTGTGTATTAATAACATTGACAGATACGGTCAGGAAACCGGTGGTCAATTCGTCATAACAATAAATTGCAAGTACTATAGTAATCTAAAATATTTTATAACGTGTCATTATATAAATACAGTCAAACCTCGTTATTTCGAATTAGATGGGACTGAAAAGACTTCGAGATATAATCGAGATCTCAAGGATTAATTTCTTAAAGAGTAAGTGGTTGGGACTTTCCGTTCACTTCGACATATTCATGGTATTCGAGATATATGTTCGAGATACTGAAGTTCAACTGTATAGTACACGTAAAGAATTTTTATTCAAGCATTATTTTGAAATCCTTTCCTGTCAGTAGTAATTTTGAAAGAAAACGAGTACGAGTACCGCCAACGTGTGCCAGTTATAAGTTATAAGTCTACCGCATCTAATTCATTTTTCAACACGTGTCCAAGGCAAGAACTCCTGCAGTACTAACATTGACCTGTGCAAAAATTTACTTTTCAGAAGACTAACAAATTCATTTCTTGGTGTATTCGAAAACCTTGTGAAATAACGTTCGTGTATTTGGGATGATATACCTAAGTTTAAAGGTGCCGCAAAATATACATTTATAGGCACAGTCTAAATGCACACTGGAATACCCAGAAGGTCATCACAGATGCCTCTGACAAAAAGATCATAAAAAAAAGTTCCATTGTAAAATACCACAAGCCTTTTGCCTTTTTCACAAAAAATCTTACGACTGAAATAAATATTTTCGCATTTTCTGAGAAGTATCTTACCTGTAGTAGATCACCAAAAATCTTATATTTCTATTTAATTAGATAACATTGTAAATAATATTTAAAGAAAAAATTAATATCTTTATAGAACAAAAAATTGCAGAGTTGTCAAATTTTAATCTTAGTAGTAAGATTTTTTGTGAAAAGGGCAGTTGTTGTACAAATCCGCTTCCCCCTTCTATCCCATTTTTTCTATGGAAAATTTCAATCCCCCCCCCCCCTTATTTTAGTATGCTCAACCCTCCTGTTATTGGACTAGATGAAACAAACTAAAAGTAATAAGTTTTTCTTTTTGTCATTCACGTTAAATACATCGCAGCAAGCCAAGGGATTTTCATGTCCATTCTATAGACACAAAACCCGATGCTTGCAATATAATGGTTATTTAAACTACATTGTAAATAGATCTCCAATTATTTAGCCTTCAAAAAAATGTTGGTCTTGCTCTTCATTTTTTTTGCAATCAGCATCATATGAGTGACATTTATTTTTTCACTGTAAGTTATAGTTTTAATTTAAGCCATAATGAAAGCCTTTTTCTTTACCAACTCTTTCATTATCAAAACAAAAGTGTCCCTTTCCACTGCACTCAATAACCTTCACAACAGAACAATGATTACATTCAACATCGTCTTTATTTAGTTAAATCCATAACCTTCAATAACTTTCTGGTATGGAGCAATCTTCTTTGCAGCATTCTGTTTGGCTTTTTCTCTGAGAGCCTGAAAAGACACCACCGAAAAGGCATCAGCATGGTCTAAATTGAGTAAAAAAATACACCTATATCTGTAAATCTGTCTCAGTTGGTGGTACATGAGTGATATCACAGTGAATCATAAGACAGTGTCAGATTCGGTGATTAAAGTAAATCATCAACGACAGATTCCATTAAGGCACTATAAGTAACATTCCTACCAAAGAAATCTGTAAAACAATGAACATATTTTTTAAGAAGTTTTTATAAAATATACTGGATCTTGGAAAGGTCCCAGCAAGACCTCCATTGATAAGTTACATTGACATTTCTCGCCTTCATATAAACAAGGCCAGGATTCGGACACTGGTCAGTGAACCTATGGAAGACTTACCAACAAGAACTTCTTCCTTTCAAAGTGGTTCTTGGATTTGACCTTCCTCTTGGTTTCCAGTGTAGAGATGACCTTCTGGTATTTCCAGCCAACCTCATGTGCCAGTCTGTTTAAATCACAGTACTGGAGAAAATAAACAACAGAAAGTTAACCAAATGAAAAGCAGTTGTAGACAAATGAAAATTAAAGAAAATCTTACTACGCACAGATAACATTCCAAATTACTAAGTTTCCTTCTATTTTTTAGTACCATACATAAATACAAATTATTTGAACATTTTACTTATTTCCAAGTTTAGCTTTAGCTAATTGGTTGACCATCTGCATTGTGTTGTCAGGTGATAAAAAAATCGTCACTCAACAAGTTATGTTAGATCTTGTTGTCAGGGACTCTAACCTAAAACTGTCATCATTCAACACAAGCAGACAAAAAAAATTATGGCTAAGTTTGCTATCATACTTAGAAATAATGTACAGCATCTCAGATAGGCTATTTCCACTGCTTGATTAGGATATACAAGTAAGGGTTATTCCAGTAATAAAAAAAAATCTTTCCAACTCCTAGAATGCAAAATATTCTCTTCTATTCGTGGGGGTGCTGTTCAGGTGAATACTACACATCCTATAGAAACATATATATATTAACCCTGCCTCTTTGGGTCACAGGCTTTTGATTGCTTTAGGGAACCTAATTTTGCCAATAAAATAGTAATATATCATATTATTTAAAATGACACTTTCTATCCATATCTCTTCACATATAAACAAACTACATCACTACTGAATTTCATTTTGAAACTTTGCATACTTCCCAAGATATGCTGAAATCAATTCCAGAATTGACCTATTTTTTCTTTACAGAATTTTGGAATGAACTTTGGTAGTAATATAGATTGTTTATATGTGTGATATGAATTAGAATAAAAAGTATAATTGTAAATGAATTGATTTACAAGTATTTCATTGGCAAAAGTGGGTACCCTACTTGAGGAGTTTCGTATCTTTATTTTTTATATCCCCTAGAGAGTTGGATTAAAACGATCCAAGCTGTGGTTTGGGTTAATAAACATGACTACAAGTGGTTTTTTTTTCCTTTTTAAAACATGTGACCATCTTGGTAACACTGGTTGATTCACAAATTAAAAGCCAATTTTAACAGGCAATTGAGAAATATGGTATCTAAATCTGGCTACTTCTGTTCTAATTCCTTCATCATTATTGGGGAAGTCAAAGAACAACACTATTTAGTGGTATCAATAGGAAAAATTTATACCAATGCACCATATCACTCAAATCAACTTAGATCTAATCCTATCCTAAAAGAGAAGGACATTTTTATTCATTCAACTTCAGAGAAAAGGTTCCACCAGTATACATGTTAAAATCATAAAATTATATAGACGTCACTTTTACAGTATCATTAGTGACAGAATTGGACCTGTTTCAGATGGTGGTACATGTTCTAGTTACATGTACTTTATATATCAAGCAAGTGTGATTATGTAAATAATTAGAAACAGGTCATCAAAGTATTTCATAATTAAGAAAGAAAGGAAAGGAAATGTGAAGGGACATAACTCTTACAACAGAAAGAAAACACTCCTTTCTCTCAAATCTATGTTTTAAAATTTCATCGTCTTGATCTGACCCTTATATTTTATCTGCAAAAAGATTCAATTTTGTAGGCTCTCTCCAGTCATCAATGAAAAGTTTTTGTATCCACTAGCCCAAGCAAATTTTGCTAGCCCTCTCAAAGAGTTACTGACCCATACTAATTTGATACTCTTTTAAATGAAACTAGTAAAGGGTACTATTTAATTTGCACATCGTATTAAAATATGTCATCCCCAATGAAGTAGGGTGGTATACTGTTATTACTAGACCTAAAATTATGTCTTCAGAATGTTCTCGCACATGGTTGGGAGAATCTTAAACTTCACACAAATGATAAATACCAACACTAGATGTGCCATTTACATACGAAATTTTCAAAATGGCCACCATTTCCATGGAAATAGAAGAAATATGCATTTTTCTAAATTTCATTTTTCTAAGTAACTGCTCTGCCAAACTTTTTAAACTTTAAAGGATTGTTCATTGCGTTCTGTTAAAGTGTTTTCTGCAAAAAAATTGGAATTGGTTGGCTGTCTCTCAGTTCTCAAAAATCACGTTACATTTGCAACCAAAGTACCTTATTCTGGAATTACACTGCCATGCAGAATTACAATGCTCGACAAACATATAGGAAATTAAGTTCTATATTGACAAGGGACAGACTATGAAATTGTTAACACTTGTCTACTATGATCCATATTGTGTTGTCAGGTGATAAAAAAATCGTCACTCAACAAGTTATGTTACATCTTGTTGTCAGGGACTCTAACCTTAAACTGTCATCATTCAACACAAGTAGACAAGGTAAAACATCCAACTTGAAATAAAGCTACTATGTCTTTCCACTGAGGAAAGCATAACTTTGAAATGTGCCTTCAAGTTTAAGACACTTATCTGCCAAAAAAAAGTAGAGTGGAGGAGGTAACTGATCTACAGAAAGAGAGGGAGAGGGTATGGGGGGGGGGGGAGGTAGAGAGTAAGATGAGAAATGCCTTTCCTTAGATCATGCATCCAGATGCTCCTCTTTTTCAACACAGATCACAGCACATTAATATTCGTGAATAGTTTAGTGAATATAAAAAGAAAATTCACTTCAAATGGATAAAATTTTGTACCTTTTTCCTTCACAAACTAATTTTCTTCATCATGGTATGCCAAAATCTCAAACCAAACATAATACCAGAATTTCTATATTACATCAACAATACTGAAAGGGTATCAACCAGCATACTAAATTACAGTCGCATTGAAGTAAATAATGACACTATCATACACAGTCTGATTTCTAGAGTATTTGAAGTTGCTGTATAAGAATGAAGTTGCTGTATAACAATGAAGTTGCTGTATTAGACCTGTTTCAGCTGGTGGTACATGTTCTGGTTACATATACTTTACATATCAAATTATTCGGTGATTATGTAAATCATCATCAACAGGTCTCCTACATTTAAAAAATTTGTTCTCCAAAAGTACAACTGCATACAATTCTGTTATCTTTGGTGAAAAAGACTTTAGAATTCACACTGATGTCTAGATTTTTCACTTCTGAAAAGTGAGTGACTTGAGAATCAAAATGTTGGAAAAACTAATTGACAAAGGCCTATCTCAAAGTTTCCTCCTGATGCACACACATCAGTCAAACTTGTGGCAATTTCATTGGATTTAAGTTTAATTCTAGGATAAAATCACTTGTGTTCTTCTGTGTACTACCATTCAGGTGGTTCTTTGTAATAACAATATTATTTCATAAGTGGTTCCTTCATCCTAGCAAATTGTTTAGTCACAGTGATAATCAAGTAATCTTTGATTTAAAAGACACATTATACATGTACATATACGAGTGTTTGTTCTTTGCTTTTATCATATACTAAATGTGTTATTCACAAAATGTTTTCACCATGGCGAGTGAAGTATCTGTTGATGGCGACCAGATATTCTAAAACGGTGACCAAAAAAAAAATTTGGGTCGCCATTTAACAACTTAATAGTGTGACTTGAGCACTGATCATAATATGCCAAAATCTCAAACCAAACATGATAGAATTTCTATATTACATCAGCTATACTGAGAGGGTATCCATCAGCTTACTTTATCAAAAACAATGAACAAAATCCAATTTTGACATCTATCCATTTCCTCCGCAGATGTAAATTACAGTCACATTGAACTAAATAATGACACTATCATACACAGTCTGATTTCTAGAGTATTTGAAGTTGCTGTATAACAATGAAGTTGCTGTATAACAATGAAGTTGCTGTATAGCAATGAAGTTGCTGTATTAGACCTGTTTCAGCTGGTGGTACATGTTCTGGTTACATATACTTTACATATCAAATTATTCGGTGATTATGTAAATCATCATCAACAGGTCTCGTACATTTAAAAAAATTGTTCTCCAAAAGTACAACTGCGTACAATTCTGTTATCCTTGGTGAATAAGACTTTAGAATTCACACTGATTTTTAGAATTTGCACTTCTAAAAGGGAGTGTCTTGAGAATCAAAATGTTGGAAAAACTAATTGTTTGCATGGTACTTGAGTGTTCTTTCCATATGTAAATGTTACACATATCCTCACACAAATTTAGTCCTGTCTTTGTGAACTTCTAGAAAATTGTAGCCAAAATGTTTAGCAAATTGTAGCCAACATATTCTTGCATTAAACAAAATCATTTACAGTTAGATATGCCCTTCGATTCCTAAAAGAACCCTAGCTGAACTCTTCATAAAATCCCATCCAAACCCCTATCACCAGAATTCATTCTCATATATTCTAAAAATATTCAAGCTGAGCACTTCAACAGACAGGCCAAAGGCCCCTTGATCTTGTGACCCCAATAGTAATACCTCAGAATTCTTCATTTATCCAAAGTGTAAACCCAAACCATTCTCATGTTTTTTTAGACAAAGGCTAAGTAAGCTTTCTTTTTGTTCCCGTGTGACTAACCTTTCTTGACTGATTAAGCCTGTTTGCTCTTAGTGCTGAGGGAACCACCATCCTCTTTTGTTTATCGTATGGGGGTGGGATTCCTTCAAACACCTTCAGGCGCTCCAAAGCCTCTGCACCACGGCTTGTCTTGTGAGGGACCATACCTACAACACAGCTGTATTAATTAACTCCTTCATATCACTCAGACAAAACAAAATCACCCAATACCTAACAGTATAATGATTTCATCTCAGTTTTTTGGGGGGTTGGATTCTTTACACTGTTTTGGTTTATTGAACTGATCAGAATTTATTTTACTTCAGTGGATTACATCAGTGTAGGTAAGGTTTTCTCATCATATCAGTCCAGTTTAAACAAAAACCATGTTAAACTTTCACACGAAATGGATTGTTTTAATATCATTCATTCTATCATGTACAGCATTACTTAGACATACCTCTAACAGCCTTGTAGAACATTTTACTGGGAGCCCTGAAGTGGAAAGGTCCTCTTGTTGGCTTAACATTGCAACGTAATCGTAGGTATTTCAAGACCTTTACTGTTAAAATATAAGGAACATAACATGTGTGAAAGCTAAGAAAAGCAACATTTAACAAATGTATGAATATGGTGTTATTTTTCTAATTTCAGGTCTATTTAAGTTTCAATTAAAATTGTCATACTTTCTGCAAAACTTTAGATATTTTTTTTTTTTATTTCTACCTAAATGTATTGGTTCAATTAACTTTGTAAATGGATTTAAACTGAGTACTGTGTTAGTCTTTCAGCAATCAAGATTCTGAAAGTTAATGACTTTTTAATGCATCTTTTTTACTACAGTTATTTGATTTAATAAGATATTTCAGAATGCAAAAGAAACAACCCTTCCAATACAAAATTCTAGAATGAATGTATATAGGCGCTGTCCAACAAAAAAGCCTTATTAAACTCTGATGTCCACCTACACTTGTTCCTGTAGAAGTTTCCAGAGATGTTGATTCCTTCACATCTAACAACCACGACTCTTTGACCTGTAAAATATTACTTACATTAATATAAATATGCACAACAGAACATCACAAACTTAACCTTTCTTCAATTTTTACCAGATTCTTCAGATTTCAGAAATTCTAATCACATCTGTCAGACAATGTAGGTAAGAAATGAAATCATCACTGAAATCTGCAATGCAACTTTTCCTAATGAGAAGGTGCACATCAACATTAACAAGACATGTTTGTGAAACACTTATGCCCCCTACCCCCCAAATATTGAAATTTTCCTAATTCCAAGGGGCATAACTCTGTCAAAAATTGCTGGATCGTACCCAAAACAGAACTTGACCTAGATATTCTTATGATAAATCTGTATACTAAATTTCATTTCAGTATGTGCAACCTCTGCGAAGAAAATGAACAGAAACTATTGGTGGACCGACAGACAGACTGACCGACCTACCAATAGACAGCAGCAAAGCAATATGCCCTCCCTTCTTCGAAGGGGGGCATAAAAATTCTCTTGAATATTTTAAGGTCTATGCCTGACCAGACTTTGAATAACCTCTTAATTGCTCAACATTATATAAATAACAAAATGTGCACAATTAATTAGATATGATAGTTGTTGTGGGAAGAGTAAACTTTGTGCAGTGTACGAAAAGGACAGTTTTAAACATCAATCATCAAACAATGGTTAAAAAGATTAACCTTGAGTGAAAATTAAGATTAATAATTCTCTGAAGCCGACACTCATCAAGTTTAAAAAAAAATAGGTATAGGAAGCTATTTAGTGCCCCGTTAGTGAATGGTAAAGCCACTCCTTTACAAGAAACTGTCTCCTTTATTTGCAAGTCTTATCTCTATTTCAGAATTCTCAAAGAATCTTTCAAATATCAAATATTTTCATATCCTACATTTAAAAAAATATTTTTCCTTTTTAATATATTCGATCAGTGCATATTATCTATTCAAGATATATTACTAAAGTCAGGTACTCTTCACACAATTGCTCTGAAGAAAATAGTTCCATTCATGATCAGTAGATACAACATTACAACAAATGTTAAGAATAATGATGTATATTTAATTCGTTAAAGAAAACAAAATTAACGTAAAAAGATTTTAAGAAAATCACTTTTCCCCAGAAAATGAAATAAAAAGTTTTCATATTCCTACGCTCTCTGCCTCCTCAGTCTTTTTCACGAAAATATATAGGTCATCCTTCGATTGATAGTGATAAATCTTTTCACCAATTATATACCTGTCATGATTATTGTTCGTTAATTGCCGTATATTTTCTTTTGAGTGAGAATGTTAATCATTAACTGTGTGTGTGTTTTTTCTCTTTTTTTTTAAATAACGGAATGGATATTATTGTTAAACACCTGCAATCGTAACTTCTCGGCAAAGCAACGTGATTTGCCGAGCTCGTCGGAAAGGATCTTCGCACGTGTGTAAACCTAGTCTATTTGGTCTTGCAAGCACAGGTATGTGCACCGTTCGCTAGCGACACTTAGATCATGTAGAATGGGTATCAGTATTTGCTACGGACATGAGGAAGAACTATACACCAGTTTCATAACAAGTGCAGGTTTTTTACTCAAGCCCTAGACTGGGCTAGAGGGGCTGAGTTATCTAAAACAATGCTAGGTCATTGATCTACTCAGTTTATAAACACGAAAATATACTATTTTTGTAAATAAAAAGATTTCTAGAAACAAAAATGTAGTTTATCTTCAAAACGTCTCTATATTCAAAGTCTATATAAAGTGTTAAATGTCGGATTTTATTCTATGACGAAGGAATGTTCAGTGACGCTCCACAGCCGCAACCGATCTCGCGCTTTACTTTGCGTTTAACAACGGCCGTCAATGCATCTCTAGACGAGTCCATTGATTACTCTTGTTGACCCATCTTTAACATCTGCCTATACTTTGAGTGATAGTACTTTAATAGCACAAAATTAAAAAATAAATTAAAATCTATCCTTGATAGTTCTATAGTTTTGCTATTTAAAAAATTGGGCTATCTTTGATCTTTGCTTGGACTTGTTTCGAATTTTTACAGAAGATTCTATCATTGGAAAGTTAGATGGTACACATGTAGCACAGGCCCATAGTACGCGGGATTTTTTCGGAGCCCCCCCCCCCCCTTTTCACTTTGAAAACGTTGCTACAGGCCTGTAACATGCTATCTGGATTAAAATATTCCTGAAAATGAGTGAGCTGTTAAATACATCTTTAAAATTATACGGTTAATTATATTTAGTCTATGTTCTATGGGAAATTAAAACTATTTTTTAGGCATCTGCAACGTTGTGATAATAAGTCACTACACGCATGTAACGTTATATATGTACATGCAGTTTCCTTAACACATGCATATTTTAATCAACAAAAGATGTTGAAACTCAGTAGCTTAAATATTATGTCATTTTAGGATATTTATGGCCATTGTATAGTTGACATTCTACAGCTTGAGTATCTCTGACCTTTTATCAGTAAATAGTTTTTTTTTAATTAGAAATCATCTGAGCATAATGAAAATTCGAATAAATTAAAAGTCGAATATCTTGGATATGGGGTAACCCATATATCTGTTCTTGTTTAAATACATATTTTATTAAACTGTAGTAAAACATGTTAAAAAAGCTTCACTTTCAGCAGATTTTTCAGTCAGTGAAATTTAATCACATCTTTCTTTCATACAATGTAGGTAAGAAAGTTGATCATCACCAAAATCTGCATGGATGATTTCCTTCTGTGAATATTTGTTGTTGCACTGAATGGTGTGTGTGTGTGTGTGTGCAAAACATGTACATACTGTTACTTGAGAGTTACCTGTTTATAATTTTGTTAATAATTTTTAGAGAGATATTGAAAAAATAATTAAATGAATTAATAAACTAAAGGAATGCTTTAATATACAACATAAAAATCAAATTATGGGAGCCAACGCTGGCTGGTGTTGAAAGTAAATTTCTAGACATTGACAATGACATCTGTTCAGAGATTTGGTGTACAGACATCAGTACAATTATCATGCTAAACCGAATCTCAGTTGAGATTACCACCTCAAGTATCTTCCCTATTTCTGGGACAATTTGTTTCCCCACTCACTGAAATATTAATTCACAGGTTAATATAGATTAAATAAATGGTATACTAATATTACCTTGTAAAATGGTCTTTGCCACAATGGCTGCAAGTCTTCCTAATAAATGCCCTCGGGCATCAATTAACAAGGGCTGAAATAGAACAAATATCAGTTTTCATTTATTGTCATACTGGGGTCAGACCTGCAAGATGTAATATGATCAATGTGATTTATCCAATACCAAGTTTATATCAAATTCTAGTTAACCCAGGTAGTCATAAATATAAATGCATCAAGATGCCATCAACGTGACCAGAATTAATTTTTACAGTTGTACTTTGATAAGCACAATATGAATAGTTGATTAGTTCATATTGTTTTCAATCAAAGAATGTCGATTTTCCTGGTTCTGGAAGGACGCAAGTTCATAAAAAGAAATGCATCTATGGAAACCAGGACTTAATATTTAGCTTTAGGGATTGAATTATTCCGATTTAAAATTTCTGTGCTGTATAAATAATAAACAGCACGGCAACCACGTTTTCTACAGTAGGCTGCCATGTTGAACAGTCAACGAAGAAAGCTCATTTATCATCTATTTAAATTATTTGACTGTAATTTTCATGACAGAAAGATTAATCTGTTCATTGCTTAATGTTTTATTTCAAAATATCGAAATTTAGAAGTGTATTGTATTAAAAATTTACATAAAACACATAACCCCCCTTCTTCAACTACCTTCGCTAGAAGACCCATGGTTGAAAAAGGAAGTGCAATGGGGTTCCACGTGTTCCGTTACAGAGGGACACCGGAAAATAGTAAATGCAAAAACCTGCGTCAACTGAAATCCGGAAATATTGACTTGCTTTTTAATTAAAAATAAACATCGACTATTTAAGTATATCATTTTAGATTCACATAGTTAATTCTTATTTAGAAAATGTATTTTAATATTACATAAACAATGTGTGCGGGGGGGGGGGGATTTAAAGTTTTTACTTGACATCAGCACAGGATTGCCCCACCCCCTCCACGTTTTAAATAATTTTTTGTAATATTTTTTCTGATTTTTCTTCTTATTTCTAATCTCTGACAACCTCCTCTATATGTTTCTGTTTGAAAATCACGTAAATAGATTTTGTTTGAAAACAGATGCAATTTCCAGGCGCGGATCCAGAAATTTTCCCCCGGGGTGGGGGTGGGGGGGGGGGTCCATGCCAGTCCCAGAAAAAGTCCAACCCGGAAATTTCTTGACAAGCAAAAAAAAAAAAAAAGTAAAATCCATTTCCCAGACATGAGAAAACCTATTTCTTGGTGGTGGTTGTGGGGTCCACGATTTTCTAGGGGGGTCCAAAGTCATTTTTATTTGCTTAAAAATTACATGTATAATAACTCTGCAATATCCAGGGGGAGTGCTACGGACCCCCCCCCCCCCACTCTCTAGATCCGCGCATGATTTCTATTCACAGCAGTTTCACGTATACATATCAGTTAAGAGAGAGACCTGTAAGTAACTCCGGTTTGTTAATTTACATCGAGGCACTGGTGGATTTATAGAGTGGGCAGCCCCCACCCCCCACCCCCCTTTTGTGACCAAATATATACATAAGATTAATAAACCAATTTTTGGTGTTGGATATTGAATTAATTATAATTAAAACATAATTAAAATAAATTTTTAAAAAACTGTTCCATAAAACTCCTAAAACCTGAGAGCTTCCGGGGGCTTCGCCCTGGGCCCCCACCCCCGATCCCCAAAAGGTTGGGTCCCCTTTTCAAGAACCCTGGATCTGCCGTTGACCGAGGTACCATCTGGGATAATCGGATATTTAAAATACTTTACCCTTGGCATCATCTATTTTCCTCAGTTAAAAACTGATTTTCCTTTCTGAAAAATGAACCCCATTGTCATGCTGAATCGTGAATAGTCATATAATCAATCATTTACCTCTCTAAAAATATTTTTATATTGAAATGGGAGGGGGTAGGGACAATCCTGTCCACGAGTACCTGGGGACATCATAGAAATATTTCACCAAAATTCCATATAAACAACATATGGTGTAGAAACGCACATTATCTATAACGGTTCGTGTTGCCCTTTGTGCCTAAAAATTTTAGTCCATGCTTTACTTGCATTTAATTATAGTACATATAAGGATGCTGGGAGGATAAGATAGGTCCATCTTTGTAAGAGGATTTTCACACACCCCAACCCCATCTCCACGATTTGCTACTGCATGCTGGATTCTATTGACATACTTATTACCGAACAAATTATAATTGTAACCGACTAGTTATTAGAGAAGTATAATACATGAGATATAAATTCAGTCTGCATGGTTCTACTTGTGACAAAGATTTGAACCCCTCACCCCACCCCCGGAAAAAACGACCACTTACGAATACACGAGTATAGGGTACTTTGGGGAAAATAAATGGCAAAACAAAAACATATGTACATATACTGCTTGTATATGTACAAAATTACAGGTTTCCCCTTTTATATGAGGTAATGAGGTATTTTGAATATTCTTGATGAAAATACTGGTTCTCTTGTACACAGGGATCAAAGTTAAAATCATCATTTTTTTGCAAAGCAAAGTAAGAGGTATACGTGGGCCATATAATTAAATAAACTATGATATAAAATATATAATTCCGTGAATATATTTCTTTTTATTTTACTTTTAGTATTGAGAATTAATGCATGGTTCGTTCCTTTCAGATCTAGACTTTGGTTGTGATACAACATTAATTAATAAATAGTTGTAATTTTAATCAACAGTATGATTCAAGTTGCTTTAACACTTCTCTTTAACGAATTATTTTGTAAGCCCTTTTAGCAAGCTTCATTTAAGATTTTCTCGAGCAGACGATTGTAAATTCTTACCCAACCGTAAGTCATTTCATATTCGATTTTATTTACCGTAATAATCCCTATAATGTATTCAAAATATAGTCGTTTATAGGATATATTATGTGTACTTTAATAAGTCTTACTTTGGTCACTATGTTCTTTGATGAAGTAGAGCATATAAGCGTGTTCAGACTAAATATTTTGAGACTAAGAGCTCTATAGAACTCATGGTGTTTAATACCAAACCACTAATATTTTTTTATGTGTAGGAAACTACAAACAAATAAACAAACAAATAAATAAATATAAAATCACATAAATTAATTGCATATTGTTTTAATCTATATAAAGATTCAAAAGTAATGAATACTATCCTTTCACCGTGTAACAATTATTTGCTGAAAACGATTAGAACCTTTCAAAGAGCACAAAATGAAGAAAAGGTTCATTCGAAAAATAACAATATACTCGTACGAGGGAAGACTGAAAAGGGGAGGAGAAGGGGTATTTCATAAAAATACAGATGTACATTATTATTAATTTTAAATAATGCCAAATTGATGGTCATTTCTGTGATTTTTTTTTGTCACACCCTTAATTGTTCTATGTACCCATCTATACATAATCTTCGGCAAAAATGCACGCAGTGGCTCTTGCCTTCTGTAAAATCGTCCCTAGAAAATTTGTGAACTTGTGACCATTAAGGTATGTCACTCGTCAGCTTTTTAGAAAAGTTCAGTCAGAACCCTTAACTTCAAAACTATTTATTACAATTCAATTTTTATAACATATTTAAATTAAACAATGCAAATTATTCAACATTCAATGAAAAAACTGCTCAGAAATTCATAAAGAAGCAAGATTTATGAGGGACCATTTCTTGTGGTGGAAGGATATTTAGAAGAAAATTCTTCAAATCTCCACATTTGTTAAATTTAATGTTTTGGAACTATAGCCCCAAATATTTTAACTTAGAGAAAATTTCCCGTTATGATATGCTAGGAATATTAAATATGGGTCTTAATTTATATTTTTAGAATAATTTTTACACATTCACTAAACAGACTTTGCCAAGAAATAAAGATATATTAAAGAAGTCAAGATAAAATTTACACCGTTTTTTGCCTGAAAATCGAAAATTTTGACCAATATCTCAAAATTTACATCACTGACCCCAACTTTTTCTTTCATAATTTTAAACAACACGATACTTCCAACAGATCAGCACTTAAGTCATAAAAAGTTTGATACAAAAAATATTTTATTGCTTATTTAGATATTTTATACCCCAAATATGATACTTTTTTAGTGCAAAAAGGTCACACAATAATTTATGCGCATTAATTTGCATGATTTGTTCAATGATAAATATCATTCAAACTATTTTACGTAAAATAAAATTATATTTATTGCCAAAATTACATCTGATAAAATATGATAAAGATTAAAGTGATTGACCAAAAGAGTTACAATTTGAGTGCAGAAAGGTCAACTGAATTGTACCCTAGCTCGGTAGAATGCACACTGACCCCCCATTGAGTCATGCTATATGAGTACGTATTTAAAATATACTTCTCAAAAAATCCTTGATATAACTAATTTCACGAGTGACATACCTTAATTAATTAATTATTGATTAATATTTCAATTTATTTATGTCATTTACCAATATTATTTACCATGTAAATGTTAGTTTCAAGACTATTGTATTAACTGTATTAACTTTACTTACACCAGGAGAGGAACCTGTAATTTTCAGAACATCTTTCCAATTCTTTTGTGTATCACAATAAAATATGTTTTAATCCAGTGGCAGATTTAAGGGGGGGACGCATCTGGCGCGCGCCCTCTAAAATTGTCAAAGTTAGCGTAAAGCATAGTTTCGTCGAGAAAATGTAAAAATGCCTACTCGGTAGATCTCATTAAATATTTTTACCCTACAAAATCTCTAGAATCCAGAAGCTTCCATGGGCTATGCCCCCTGGGCCCCCACCAGGGCTTCTCCCTGGACCTAATGGGGGCCTCAAGGCGGCCCACAGACCCACTGCCCCTAACTTCTATTCCTGGATCCGCGCCTGTTCTAATCATATGATCATATCGACATATAAATGAATAATCAATAAAAATTTCAATACGTGTACATGTTGTTATATAGCCAAGTAATTTTACTTCTGACAATTAAAATGATTTATTAGAAAAACAGTATCTGGTACATCATCAAATATCGTTAAAAAGAATAAAGGACAATCTCTGTTTATAAAAAAAATCTCATAATATCTCCCTCTCGGTGAGAGAGAGAGAGAGAGAGAGAGAGAGAGAGAGAGAGAGAGCGTTATTTACAAATAAAGTCAAATATAAGCATTGTATATATAGTGACAAAATCTGATTAAGTATCCCTAATCCATTGAATAAGTCGTATAAAGAACAACATGGACATGTAACATTACATCTTCAGTTGGTCTGATACGATATAAAACAAGCTTTGTAATGTCTTAACTAGATTGGACTCTGTTCCATACAAAGCTATATACAGTACATATAAGTTACAGGAGACACACCACCATGTCCGTATCTGTAAGTAAATTATTTTTACTAGTACTGTCTAAATAATTTATTTGGATATAACTTACGTGTAATTTTCTTAATAATTTGGACACTTAAAATAACAACTTTTAATTATTTACAAGATTTATAATGATACAATTCCCGCACATTTAAGCATTGAATCATTATTTTTTTTTTTAAAGATGTAGTCTCATAACTGCAACGGTGTGTGCAAACAAATTTTCATAACGCACGTTACTCAGTTTGTTTGCACACACCGTTGCAGTTATGAGACTGCATCTTAAAATAAAAATAATGATTCAATGCTTATATTTACATTTTTTCAACTCTTTACCGTTGACTACAAATGTGATTTGTATATCAAAACCTCAGTATTATCCTTCGGGTCAGTTACAATTAATGGAAGAGCCGTTGCAATTCTGTTCAATGTGAGCGTGAATTTTGATTTTCGCTTATATGTTGCACTTGCACGGCGTTAAAAGTTTGTGAAATCAAAATTAAATGCATACTTTAACCTTTTGACCCCCCCCCTCCCCGGTCCGTGTTATTTCACACACTTTCTAAGCAAAATAAATGTGGAATGTAAATTTATATATGCACTTAGCTACTGCACTGTACATTGAAACATTTCTGCATGGAAACTTCTTTTTCATTAATTGTGACCATGAATTTCCTTATATAGCTCTTGTTTTCTTGGAAACTGCAAGTAAACAAAAGCCATGAAAATATAATTATGAATATACCATAAAAATAAAACCAATTAACTTTGAAAAAAAAAATTAAAGAGAGAGTAAACATTGACATAAAAGCTTTACGGCAAATTTCTACATGGAGTTGAACTAAAGATGGATTAAGAATCTAAATTATAATAAATAGTAATATTCATTTAATTTATGAAGGTAAAAAAACATTCTGAGTTCTTTGTCAATAATTGACATTTGACATGCATATAATGTACATATTGATGTGGCAATCTCGGAATTGTAAATAAACATTTAACGACGCGTGGCTTAGGTTTTGGATTAGTGCTTTATCTGTACATAAATCTCCTTTCTCCAAGTGGCCCCTAATTACTAGCCATTGTTGATAACACGTGAAGTGTACATACGTTAAAAAATATACAGCGTGCTCTACTAACAGTCCTTAATAATCAATTACCAGCAACGTTCACCACAATAAATACATCGGAGGAGTCAAGCGAACTTACAGTGGATAAACAATAAAGTGTTTAGTTTTTAGACGTATTCTCTGCTGAATACACAAAAAATTACAAATGGTGAATAATTGATTTGGGATATACCCATATAAACACTTTTGGGATAAAATAGCTGTGGATATATATATAAACAATGGTAAGTTTAAGAAACTTTTATTATAAACTAAAACCTAGTTGACAAATTAAGCTTTTCTATCTCTTTTTGAGCTACCTTATATGTTTGAGGAGAAAAAGTGAAAAATAAATATATACAATTAAGACAGGTCAATAGAATTGAAGATGCTAAGCGGTTATGTTTGCAATAATTATATATCATATAATAATTCATCGAGGCAGTACAGTGAATTTGCTTAAGCACTACACGACGAACCTCTATAAATCTTTTCGAGAAGATAGAATTGATAAACGAAAACATTAACAGTTGTTAATTCTGCGGGTAGGAGCAGATGGCGGTAATGTGACGAGAGGCATAGACACTTTATATTCGTTAGCCTATATGACGATAAGAATTATATATATATATATATATATATATATATATATATATATATATATATATATATATATATATATATATATATATATATAAAGATTTGTGGTGAAAACGACGATGAACGTTTGAAATTATGGCTTTAAAAAACATTATATACTGGTAATATGATCATTCTGGAAATCCTCTTCACTACAGAAAATGAAAGCACTTCTTTGGATCAATATGCCATACTGCTCTCTGGTCACGGAGCAAATGCAAATAAATTTATAAGAAATTTGAAAAAAGCAGATGCTGGTTAAACTTTGGTCAGATAAACCCACTCGATGCTGTAGGGACCAGGCGAGCTCAATTTGCTAGTATGCGTTAGTACCCTTCCTTTAAAAATACATGTACATATGGTATTTGTAATTCATATCAGAGTATAACTGTTGATATATATGTCTTCAAATACCATGGCGAGATAAAATTGTTTTACGTCTGCTCTGCTATATTTTAAATCTATTTAGATTTAACGTAAAAAGTAAAACCCTAACCAATAGATTCATACATATGTATTTTAATTTTCTTGCTACACAAAGGATATAAAACTGGCACAGTTAATATAAAGCTCAGTCTCGCAGAGGTGTACAGCCATTTTTTGCTATTGTCCTTTTAAATAAAACGATTTCCTCCTTTTAACGCCTTTTCCACAAAAAGACATTCAGAAAATATTCGTGTGAATGAACTAGAATATTTATTAGGTTTTCTATTTATTACGATAAAGCAGGTCTGAATCAGTTTTTCGGTAAACTAACTACATTATAAGCTGACACTCTCTCGATTAACAAAGCTTTGTGATTGAAATAGCATAATACCAAGGTTGATATTCGCATGTAATTTCTATATACTTAGCCTAAAATTGCTTTCTATTTTTACACGAAATAAGGTGATTTTACTTTTTTTCTTGCAGGCTTTGACTTTAGATACCTCCTCTACCATCCCAAAGGTGAGAAATATTGTTACTTAACAATTACTTCGCTGAAATGTTTATTTATTTTATAATATTTATTTACTGAAGAATTTAAGATCTTATTTATTTTTATATTAATATTTAATCAAATTGGTGCTTAATATATTAGAAATACCTAAATACGCTTTTACTTTAAACAAGTGCTAGCAAGTTGATTAAAAATAAATAAATACTCCTATAAATTTCCATAATTAGCGTACCTTTAAAAGCATTCTGGTTTAAACGTTTAGATAAGATATGCTAAAATTACAAGATACTACTATAATATTAAATGATGTACCTAATATATATAAGACCAACTACCTCGTAAACTATGCACTTGAATACTAGTATTCGGAAAACATAGTTACTTCCTTGTGCTTACCAATCAAGCATGAGGGATTCCGATTTAAATTAGCTACAATTATAATGAGATTGCTTAGTATTGCAAAGAAGAAAATAAGTATATTTCAATGTTGTATTATTTTAATGTTGCGTATGTTTATTGGTGAAAGGGTCACTGCTGAAGAATCCGGCATGCACAGGTGTCTTGTTTGGCGGCGTTAAAGTGTCGATCGCAGTTTTCATAATAAATAAAAGAGAAAAGTGGATGCAAATATTAACTATTAACTCCAACGAATAGCGTATATATTTTACTTATATTGTGCAATCCACGTTTAAGTAATTAATGAAAAATACAGTAGAGTGAATTAAATCTCTTAATTCTGTTCAGGGACGTATACTAATATATATGTCCTTGGTTTAATTGACATAACATTGACTTAAATATCCCAGAAGGGAATTTAAGTGAGATTTAAAACTTAATCATGTTAATTACACGTGCGTTTTTTAAATGTTTTTTTTATTTTTAATTTTTTGAAATAAAAAAATAATTTAATTTTATTTACTTATTTATTATTCATTTATTAATTTTGGTACAGGCTTCCGCTTTTCAAAAGGAAACAGGTTGATTGAAAGCAAATATAGAGGGAAAAAATTGTTAAAAACAACACCTGGCAAACTTTTACCGTTAAGAATTTGTTTTCTGATTGAAGGTAATGTTCCATAGAGATAATAGCGAGGAGAAGGATGATGATGTATTCGCGAGCTGGAAACAACGACGTGTGTCTCTAGCGAAGTCCTCTGATGATGGTTCAAAAGCCACGGCCCCTGTAAAAGATGCAAAGGCCCAGGAAAAAACCACCAGGCGAAGATCAACATTTAAAGGGGTGGCCAATTCCATTAATTCCTTCCTCTCAATACGCAGAATGAGCAAATATAGACTAAGTGTTAGCAACCCAGAGGATTTCAAACCGAAAGTAAGATACCAAAATACCTACAAAATGAAACCGGATGAAGATAAAACAGTGAACACTAATAAGATTGAGATTATGGTGAAGGTCATATTAAATCAGTTCTTGGAGAAGGAGACATATTCGGCATCCAACTGTAGCAAGCTTGCGTGTGATCTCTCAATTTTAATAAAGAACAAAGTAAAAGATCTTGGACTCCCACGCTATAAGATTATCTGCAACGTCATCATCAGCCAAAAGGATAGTCAGAGCATGCAGACCGCCAGTAGATGTCTGTGGGATGCCACGACAGATAACTTTAGCCAAGTGACCTACTGCAATGCTTCGCTCTGTGCAGTGGTCACTGTGCACTGTGTGTATTTTGAATGATATATCACTAATGAAATTCATTGTTTTTATTTTAAACTAAAGCAGTTGCAGAATATTCGAGTGAAAAGTTTGTTAATTGCTTCTTGAAAGACAATCTAATTAAAATTTATTTAGATCTTCCATCCGCTCCCCGATTTTTTATACGTCGCGAGGACATATGTTCCTCCACAAATAAAATATCGGGGATCGAATGGAAGATCTAATTTTAATTAGATTGCTTGAAAGAGGACTTAGTATGATGAAATACACAATAATCAATCAATAATTTGTGTGTTCAAGTTAAATATTTGTAATATGTTTCAAGAAATGTATAAGATTAAACTTAAGAAATGAAATTTGTAGGAATTATCTCTTAAACCTATTCTTTTTACAAATTTTATAAAGTGAATGTCCTTGACTTTTATCAAAGCGATAATTCATGATCATTTTATCATGTTGTAAATTTTGAGTTATCATGTTAAAAATTTTGCATTTACCTCCCCCTAGTAAATTCAAAATTTACAACATGACAATTTCCCCCAAGAGAATCGCAAAAAAAAAGAATAATTCACTGAAGTACCTTGCAGAAGTTACCACATATCATATTTATTGCCTTTACATCTACAAGGAGGTTATGACCTTGGGTGATTTTGTTAGTTTGAATTCCTTTGTTGTTCTCTTTTAATTGGTTAATTTATTACATGTACTACATAATGCAACTGTTATGTCAGTCTGCTATGTGTCCATGAGTAAGACTTTCAGAAGTGCTGAGTATATATTTTTTTTATATATGACCATGCAACTTAAACCCATCTTGGGGCCTGAACACTTGACCCAACGTAGATGTAGTTCAACGCCAGCTGCAGCCCAAGCCATTGGCCGGATCAGGGGCCATGGATTTCGCAATGTTGATAGAGAGAAAGTGTATACATGTACTTGCATTTTAGCTTTCAGGCAAATGTCCACAAAAAGAAAACTTTTAAAGATGCTAAGTGTTTTCAATATTTTCCAACAAAGCCCCACCATAAGGCCTAAACCGTAGATTAAAGGGTTAAGAATTTCCACAATTAAGGTGAAAGGTTGTGTACTCATAATAGCTATGCAAACAATTTGTTTGCTATGTCTATCAGTAAAGAAGATTTTATAATATATAATGCACTTTCAGTACATGTCCAAAACAGCCCCACCCTGGAGACTGAACCACAGAACCATAAACTTGTCTGTCTTAAAAGGGTTTTTGAGAGGGATGCAAGGGTAGATTATTATTATTTTTTTTTATCATAGATCAGCTTCCTGTCAGTTTTGTGACACACAAGGACTATATAATTAGAAGGATGCACAGACTAAGATTAATATTTGAGGGATCAGACAGAGATACTAGCAAGGAGATTGCAAAACCAGACTGCCTATATTCAACAATTTAAAAGCAAAGACTAGAAAATACTTGTTTTACTGCTTGAAGTGTGTTTGAAAATAATACATTAATTGAAAAGCAATGAAATAAGATTAGTTAGAATCCTGTGTGATATTTATTTTCCATCATCCGGGATCTTTAAATGTTCCAGGGCTCTGGTGAAATCGGCGGCTAACTGCAGGGCCTCTATCTTGTTTTTAGTTTTTGAAATCTTCATCACATGTTTATAGAAGACCTCTGGGGCCTGTAATAAAGAAATAAGAAAGTACTGCAAATAATATGCTTTTAAATTAGTAATTAAGGCTTTAAGTAGAGTTAATGTAGTTAAGGATTACTTTTGAAAACTTAACGCACCTCTTCCTTCATTTGCGCTAAAAATACAATGTCTTTGGCTCTGTAACTTTCAAACACTTCTCTGAAAGAATATGAAGAAAATGAATGGAAGACAACATTGATATATAGTGTACTAGTAAATGAATTCTTAAAATATTCTGAAGATTAAATTACAAAACACTTAAATACAAACTATAGTGACGAATGTTAAATATAAGCAAGCTATTATACTGTTAGAAATGCGGCAAATAGTAGTTTGCTGTATTCCATGAGAAATGGCTTAGGAACATCGATATTTAGTGGTATAAAAGTATGATTACCTGGGTAAGTGATGCTTTTCCAACCAAGTTATTACTTGTTCTTTGTCTAGTTTAGCAAATTTCTGCAAAGTAGTAAGTCGGTGTACAGTGTCACGAAAAGACAAGTATCAATGATAAACAAAGAAATAAATTTCTGTCGTTTGGTAAGCTTTACCTTCCATCTTTTCCCACTTTTCTTGTTTTGAACTGGATCTCTTTCTTTTATCGGAGGTATACTATATGTTGGTTGTCCGTGGGAAGATGGCCGCGGAAGGCTGTAGCTAGGTTGTCCATGGGAAGAAGCAACTGGCGTTTGTTGGGGAGGTATGTCCTGCTTATTGCTTCCATCTTTTGTATCTCCTTGATCTTTAAAACATTTTCTTTCAAGTTCTCGAATAAGTTCCTCTGTTTTCATTTCAAATGGTTTTTTCACGAAGTCATAATGGTAGTCTCCAGCGGTCATGAGAGCAAGCCAGCCCTCTGCTACGTATTCTGGATCCACCAACAGTGGAATCCGCGCCTTTTTTAACGATGATGCATATGCAGCCTCTGAATAAAAAAGAAAATACAAAATGCACGTTTATACACATTTGCTTCGATTATTTTCTCTATTTACATCATTCTTCATCATGTTTGAGTACTGCTGGACTGCACTTTTGGAAATGAAAATTAAGTTTTTTAAAACCATTTATAATTCATTGGAAGTAAAGTGATAAAAACTGAGAAGAAATCTTTTCCATTCACCTCTTCTACAGTATTCACTTCTTTGGTAACTATAGGACATAGAAATCAAAACAACAGAGGCGTTCTGAATGGCTTCTGCCATTCTATCGTACACATTGTCTCGCATTTGTTCAATGTCCATCCACACAGTAAACCCTGCTTTCGTTATTTCATCTTTTACTCTCAGCAGTAGGGGGCGCTGTTCTCGGGAATAACTGATCATCACGTGACCTTTTGATTTCTTCTGAAAGAACTCACCAGCTGAAAAATTACGCAAAAAATGTTCAATTCAATCAGTATTTCATATAACTTATAAAATTTTCATTTTTTTATATAAAAAGATATCCACTTATATATGTCTGAATGTAAAACGTACTATAATTGAAGAAAATAAATAAATTCAAGAACTAAATGGGAATAAAGAAAACAAAAACTGTTGTAGAATGAAAAACCCTGGTCATACAAGGGGTGCCATATGAATAAATGCGTGTGCATATTTAAGGAGTGACTGTTAACTTTACATAAAATATTCACGACCGAGTGCTGTCATTAATGATATAGAGGATATTCAATGTTTTGTAGATGAATATGGAATTTATTTCACGAGTGAGACAGGATTTTTTGATATTTTCACTCGTGCTTCGCACTCGTGAAAATATCAAAAAATCCTGTCTCACTCGTGAAATAAATTCCATATTCATCTACAAAACATTGAATTTTCTGTTTATTACATTTTTTTTATTTCCCCTTTGCCTCTGTCTTTTCTTAACACAGTGCCATAGGCTTGGCGTCATAGATGAGAGGTTGAGACGTCATAGCTTACCAGCTTTGAGATTGAAAACATTACATAGCATGGATTTTAGCAACATATTTGGGATGAAATTTGCAGTTTTAGCTCTATCAAGATGATTAGTTACTATCTCTATCTTATGACAGGCCAGAAATTATTTTTTACTTACTTTGATATCCTTTCACACTGTGAGAGAATATCATTTTGGTATCCTTTCACACTGTGAGAGAATATCACTTTAATTCAATGAATAGATCACAGTATTTCACTGTTGAAAATGTAATAAAAAACGGTATTCTGTGTAGATCTTAACCTGTCAAAATAGTTGAGTGGATATAGGTACATGTACATGTAAGATATTTAGATAGTTGAGGCTTGCATATAAAAAAAAAATATAAATCATGAATAAAAAGACGAAAAAATGAATAAAGTATGTAGGAGGGTTAAATTTGGTGGTTGCAAGATTTTTTTTTTTTTCGAAATTTTTTGAGTGCGAAGAATGTTTGACTAAAGGTAGAATATACCTATTTCTGCGTATTTCTTTGAGGAATGTAGTTGTTCCGATAAAGTCCATAGCACACCTCTAGCTGATTCACGGACAGAGGGAATTGAGGACGACTTGGCCAGATTAAACAGAGTAGTCACTATGTCTGTCTTTTCATCCGATATAAAAGTTTTCTTGTTGTCATCATCAAACGCAAGATGTGCCAACGTTTTTGTTGCGGCTGTTAACCAGAAATGTAGAAAACATGCATAGCACATGTCTAGTACATTGTGTATGTAGAAAACATGCATAGCACATGTCTAGTACGTTGTTCACATGTAATAAATGACAATTTCTTGAACTCTGAACTGTCAAAATTCATGATTATGATTTTTCAATCAATATTGCAAAATCAATAAAGTTAAAAAATCAAAAGAAAAAGTGAAAAATGTTCAGAAATCCTGAGGAAGTTGAATATTAAGTACTCACTGAGTTGCTCTATTTCCTCTGTTTGTTTCGCTAGTTTGTTGAGCGGTCGTAATACACCGTACTCAACTAAAATTTTCTTGTTGGAATCAAATATTGCAAGATTTCCTATAACTGAAATGAACCAATCCTTTCTTGATTTCAATTTGCCAATTATCTTCACCAAATGACAAAACATCAATAAACATACGTGTGTTGTATTAACATACATGTATGTGTTCGTGGCACTTTGTACATATTTACACTTACTTTTTGCTAGTTCAAATGCAAACCATCCATTGAACTGTCCTGATTTACATTGAATGGATTCCTCTATCCCACACATCATAAATTCTACATCAGCACGACTTCCCGCCATGCTTGCGTCATTTTCATTCATGATGTCACTCGCCGCCGCCAAAAAGGGGACACTCACTGTAAAGTCATTTTTTACGACGTCACTTTCTAGATATTTCAGGTAGATGGGGAGGAAGCCTGCCGCCCGGACACTGGTGGTTGTGACGTCACAGAAGGTGCACATGTTATGAGTTGTAGCACTAATGTAATCTACTGCTGACTTTTGAAAATTCTAGTGTAAAATTAATGAAATTCTGATCAATTTTGTTTTTTATTTCACTGAAATACAGTTTCTGATTTCTTTACCAGTACATAAACTATGTAATAATAGCCTATTAATCTCACACGTTTTTAAATAAATCTGTAACCTAAGATTGCAGATTTTATTTGAAAAATGAAAAATTTGTTCAAGATGTACTCCCATGTGCCGAAAACGTTTACTTTTAATTTCGGTATTATATCAGTAATGCATAAATCATAACTTTTAAATAGGTGAAAAAGTACTAGTATATCAAAGCAGAGAAAAAATCTAGCAGATCACTAGAATCAGGACATAACAGCACTTACATTTAACTTTGAGGTTGTGTACGAATCATATAGAACATCTAAAACATCCTTTGCGTATATAAGAAGGTCCTTGGCAGCTGACAACTTCTTAGAAATATCAGGGGAAAATATAGTTCCGTTCATGAAAAATCCCCACACATTCAACTCTGCTTGTGATATGTTTGGAAGCTTTTTCCGATTTTTGTGACAAAAAGAAATCATGTCGTCTAACAGATTCCCTTCACAGCAGACTTGAGCGCAAAGTTTATTCCCGAGCTGGAATTTTTCTGAAAGTTTCAAACCTACCACCATGATGCATGCTATCCCGTCATTTAGATTCTTTAAAGCTTTTGAGACTTCCGGGCTATCCAGTGTCTTGCCTTTAGATCTACCATGTCGTATTTCTAATAACCATTTGTTGGAGTCTTCAGTTATGCCATTTATCAGTGCCTGTTTCTCAGTGGTGGCATCAGAAGAAGGGCTAGACGGACTCTTCGGTACTTTTGTTGCAAACATATTTTTCTAAGCTATTTTTACCTCCTTAAATTGGTTTATTCATAGCTGAAGAGAGATATAAATTAAAATTCATGGCTGAAAAAAAGATAAAAATTAAAATTTTAATGTATCCATGTAAACATATGTTTTGATATAATATATTATAAAATATCCAAATCATGTATATATAACCCTATCAAAAATTTACTATATTTTTCTAAAGTTTGAATTTAGTAAATTACAGTTTACTAAAAATACATACTTAATTAGTCAACACTTTGCTTTGATATTTTAATATAATTGCAGAAAATATGATGATACTTTGAACTTTAACTGGTTTTAAAATTTGGAGCATAATGATCTCTCAATTTCCACATCAGTGTTGAAATAATATTTGAGTACACAATTAACCATTCCTTTCAATACGAAAAATCTCATATGAGAATTTATATCAATAAATTTTAGTAGATATCTCCACAATTTTCTCTTGAGCAAAATGTTTTCATATAAAGTGGCAGGGATTGGAGGTATCCCTCACTTTCATTCAAACGTTTCTGACCAGATTAGTGTTGTTGCACTGACATTGGTGTTTTCATTGGATGAGTACTTGTAGCGTACATCCAATCTGCCTGTTTGTGCATGTAGGTGATACTAATTTTGCTCAGTATTGATCAAAGCAATTTTTTTTGGCCATTCACAGCCAGGTTAGTTAAAATATTCATTTCAAAAAGATACTTTTAAGTTCTTTTCTATACAAGTATTTATCATTTTATGATATTGTTTGAATTTAAAATTATACCTAATAAAGGTTAAAAAAAATTCTTCACTTCCGGTATAACACTTAAATAAATAGAGATAACTCTTACCAGTTTGACATGAGTTGATCACATCCTGGATGCCGCACGTTAAATTTTGATTCAATTAGTTTATCACTTTAATAAATAAATTATAAACGGATAAGAAGCACGTGTCTTAAACGTTGATATTCCTTTCTGAACATGCTAACGAACGTGTTTTTATTTATTTGTGTTATCATTGCTATGAACGCTATTCCAATAACAGATCGATTGGGACATTTAAAAATGTCTGTCAAATATGCAGCTTCGTCATGAAAGGTTTGTTTATAAGAATTTTCCAAGGTTTACTAATTTTCCTCTTATAAGAGCCCTCTACACACTGCACACTATTTAAAGAGTTCTGAATTTGTGGTATTTTTATGCAGATACAGTAATCTGTTCTTTGATCTGGAATAAAACAAATTGATATGCACGGTTTATTGCTTGATTTTCGAACAAACCAAGTATAAATATACAACATAATAGGCCAAGATAAATAGATTAAATACTTCATTTGCAGGTATAATGCCTACTGTAGTAAACTACAGTAATTTCTCTTCATCAGTACTTCATTGTATTTGAACATTTTTCCTGGGGGTAAATGCAAGGTACCGTAAGTTGAAAATGTAGATAAGCTCAGTATTTACACCTTTACATACTTTAATTTTCTCAAATTACAATGTCCAAAAATCTTTTCCTTTAGTGTGTAGAGGGTCCTTAAAAAGTCACGTCTCGGTTATGATTTTTGAATGGGATATTTCACTTCCAATTACACGTGTAATTTATGTATTTGCTTAATGGATTCCAAATAAATATGTCTGTGATATAATAGCATTCAAGTCATCCGGAACAGGACACATGCATTTGAATTACGTGTGTTTTTAATGTTACACATTTAAAGATAGTAAAGATAAATTTGCTATAACATGTCTTTTTTGTGGGCACAACGACAATAAATAAAAGATTTTTCGTTTGTCTGTTTAACGTCCCTTCGAGAACTCATATTGAGACGCCATCACTTGGGATGAAGGGTTGCAAATTTAAACCGGAATTAGGCACTTATGGTCATTGAGCAGTGAGGGATCTTTTTTCGTGCTAGCAACTACTTCGACACAGGACCTGTGTTTATACGGTCTCATCCCAAGATTTGGTCTCCACGTCACAAAGGGGATTCGAACCCGCGACGTAAGGATCAACTCCTTACTATGGGACTCTAGAGCAAACGCTCTAACCACTACGCCACGCGGGCTACCAATATTCTTCGTGAAATGATATCAAATTAAAAGAAAAGCTTAAGAAATATAATTGATGTCATTGTAAAAAATTATTTAACTAAGTCACTTGAATATAGCATGGCAGGTTTTATGGAAAGTAATGGACCAAGGGGCACATTTTGCAGGTGAGATTGAAACTGACTCAATGTTACAGTTTGGGAATGAACTTTGAGCTAACACTACTTTGCATATGGAAGCGACTTTTGTAGGCGAAATGACTGAATTTTGAGTTCAAATTCAAAGTACATGTAACTTACCCAAAATGAATATAACGGCGTTTACAGATTAAACTAAATACATATGTTAAAAATCTTTCTTTTAAAAAGAAAGAAAGAAAAATAGTAAAGAATGATAGTTGAAAAATCGTAAATGAAATATAAAGAGATATAAGCATAGGCAATTTTTACGTAATATTTCAATCTTTATTTATTATAATTGATCCTTTGACTTTGATCATCTTTCATGAGCTGGGCGTTAATTCTCTGTGTAATTGTTGTAAAAACACTGGCCTGACTGCTTACAAAACAATATACATTTAATGACTGGGTTCGAGGGCAACATGCGTTTTGTCGGACCCAAGAACCAAACTGTTTGTCTGAGGCCGTTAGGCCGAAGGCAAACAGTTTGGTTCGAGGGGTCGACTAAACACATTTTGCCCGAGAACGCAGTCAATAAATGTTTTGTTATACCTTTTATTTATTTATTTTATCATTATTATTTTTTATTTCATTACATGTAAATGAGATTTAGCTGACCCCGCCCATTATGTGACGTAAGCGGTCCAACATCTCATCTACAGGTCCAATATCTCACTCCGCGGTCAAACATCGATTTTTTTATGCCCGCTCAGAAAAACATTTAATTTAGAAATGTTAGACTTTTTTTAGTATTGATTAACATAGGAACAAATTTTTATAGGTATAACAATAAAACATACTGATTTACATTAAAAAATTGTTTACTATTTAAATCTATACTAAAAAGGCTAACATATTTTCAAATGTTATTATGAGCGGTCAAAGAAAAAAAAATAAAAAATAAAATACGATGTAATATAAATTTAACAAAAAATCGATATTGTATTGCTGAGCGAGATATTGGAACTATTGATGAGATATTGGACCGCTTTATATGTCCTTTTTTAACGTCATACTGTAGGTAGGATCAGCTATAATCATAAACAAGCATATGGAATATGCAAGCCAGTGTAACAAATTAAAAAAGGTGGTATAACAAAACATTTATTGACTATATTCTTTGGCAAAATGCGTTTTGTCGACCCCTCGAACCAAATGTTTACCTTCGGTCCGACGGCCTCAGGCAAACAGTTTGTTTCTTGGGTCCGTCAAAACGCATTTTGCACTCGAACACAGTCAATAAATGTATATTAATATTATACACTATGTAGCATTCGCCTTTATTGCTATTGGCATGATAGGCGATATAGCTGAAATCAAGGCAATTCAGATATCCGTATACGCTTTAACTTGACTGGGAACCAAAACGTCTGGATAAGCGAGGCTACACTGTATAATGTAGGGTAAAACTAGTAAGATACATATACTGTTTAGCAAAGAATTATATAATTCAAGAAGTTTAAATATTGAACATAAAAGAGAAAGTTTTCTAAAATTTTCAAAACGTTAAATGTTTGTCTTCAATTTTTTTTTAATATTGCCGAACTTGCCTTATATAATATTAACATGTACAACCTTATGAACTACACAAATTAAAATTTCTATTTTTATACTTGACTAAAGTTTTACAAGTGTTTGTGATTCTGAAAAAAAAATCAAAACAAATCTTTCAAATCTTGCACATATTTTTGAACATGCACAGGACAAATATACACTACTGGGAGAAAAAAATCAATATAGGAAAACAATGTTGCGCAAGCATGAACAAAGCTATTCTTTCCACAGAAATATAAATCATGATAGCACAAATCGAAAATCCTGCAAATGGTAGAGAGAACCATGGGTAATATTTACGACGCTAGGTGTCGTTGTGCAGTTCTGAGCAATCATCTGCAAAATAATAATAATGATAATAAATAAATAAATGAATGAATAAAAATATCCAGGATCTGTAATTTTTTAATATAGAATACCAGAAATATCAACTTGAGGGACTTTTGATTGAGAGACTTTCAAAGAATATTACCGCAAATCCGGCGGTTGTACAATGGAGAAAAATACCGGACATGACATCATGATGACCATGTGCAAAAGTTGACACTGGAGTGTACGATCGATTACTAGCTGAATTTGATTGGCACTCATCAATAACCTAAAAAACATTTCAAATATAGTAGTCAAAGACCTATACTAGATATCAAATCAATCAACTTTTTTTTTACAGAAAGTAATTGCTATATGTATCTACATTGTAATTATAGTCTTTTATTAATTCCCTTGCAACTATTTTCTTCTGATTATTCAAATTCAAAAGAACAAGTCTAAAATCTTTTATTTTTTTTTTGTCGGTGAATCACAATGGAAGATGATACAAATTTTGAAAGAATGTGTTTCAGTGTACTTGTTCTTCTCTATTTATAAAGCTATTTAATTTTCGAATTTGTTTCTTAGTTTGAGAATATTAATGAGAAATATTTTAAAATGTTTAGACTAGCCATCATCATTTAGTAAAGTATGATGATAAGTTGTAAGAGAATCTTACATCTCGATTTGCATTTTTTTTACCAGAAGGATTTACATTAATTCCTAAAATTCCCTATTCCAGTTAAAAAATAAACAAAAAAGTCAATTATAATGAAACTTGTTCCATTTTGTGAATGACCTTACCAAATATGTATCATAATTTTTAAACGAGTATCTTTTGTAGTAAGACTAGAGGTACTGTCAGCATTGAGCTCACAAAATGATACCCCCGTTTCCCGGCAATATGAGTATAATGGCAGAGTCCATTTTTTCTATGGGAAACTTCAAATAGCTGTTCGATCAGAAAGTAAAAAAAAGGAGGCACAAAATGACACTGCGTAATAAAGATTCCGTGAAAAACTCATTAAATTTTATTCAGTGGTATAGGAGGAGTTGCGGATAAGAGATGGGTACCCCTGATATTATAGAAAGAATGACAATGTCCATGTTTTGCTATAGGAAACTCGAAATATGTTTCCTATCAAAACGAAGAAAAAAGGAGGTGTTGAATGGGGTAATGTAATGAAGATTCTGTGAAAGTCTCACTAAATTTTATTCAGTGGTATAAGAGGAGTTGCATATAAGGAATGGTTACCTCCCTAGCCTAACGGACGTATGGACGTATCGTATGACGGACGGCCGTACAGACGGACACCCCATCACAAAAATATCCCTTGGGGGTATAAAAATTATACCACTTCGTTGCAAATATCAATATTTATTTACTCGCCGTGACTTTATTTAACCTCATAATTGCGATGTGATTAAATATAGATGCTATCTGGACATGTCATTTCAAACGAAATTCATTTCACTAATGAGACTTACTAGTATAAATATATGTCTGGTACTTCGCTGACATATAGGACACGATTTACATTTATATACTAAGTCGTGTGTTTTTTTTTAATTCTTAATTAATGACCAGGTTATGATTGTTTTTATTCATACATTCTTTTAACATTGAGAGTTAAGTGGTAAGTTCAAATTAATTAAGTTCTACATCTGGGTATAATTTGGAATTTATGATTTATAACACCTATTTACATTCAACTTCATACGGACATTTTGAAAAATCTTAATGCTCAGAAACTTCACGTGATGTACACTAGAAAGTAAGAGCCAAAGAAGAAGAAGAAAAAAAACCCACAGGAATAGGAATATTCTTACAATTCATTGGTACCAAATGTCCTCGAATTTGTCATTGTTTGTTGATACATAGAAGGGGATAACAACAAGTATACTCATAGAATTTGCCCCTCTTTTATTTGTCTTGAACTATTTGTTCTCAATACTTGAAGACCTCAAAAGCAACGCATATTGATTAATTTTTATCATACATGTATATACATTGCAGCATATAACCCTTAACCCGACCTTTTGTCCCTGTTTCCAGTTGGAAACGAGTGGGATACCACAATATCGAGTAACTAAAGATTCTGGCGATTGGTAAGTGGGGTCTGTGCATGCGCTAGCCGAGGAGTCTCCTACTGGCTTGTTAAGAGCCACTGCTGTGATGACAGAAGTTTTGTTACATGTGACAGGAAGAGGCGGGGCAATCGTTGTTCCAATTGTGGTCGTAACTGCAGTACAGTCAAATAAAAAAAAAATCACTGTAAGACAAATGACGAGTAGCAAGACCGACACCTCATCGCATTAGCACTACTGAATTTTGACAAGCTGAGCTAAAATACGATGATGGTTAGTTACATCGCGATTCAACATCAATATCTTTAGCTACTTAGTCACACTCTAAAACGAAAACTATACTGCTTTTGTAAGCATACTACTGATGCATAGCGAAAAAAATAGATTTTTTTTTTTTACATTTTCCAAAAATACAGAAAGAAATTCAAAGAGAAAGAAATACCTGTTGGACAAGTTATGTTATGATAACAAACAAAATTTTCACAGAAATCTGGTCCATAATTATCGAGGACGTTACAGGAAAAATCTAAAATAAAAATAAAGAATCTCAGTCTCGAATGCTACTTGATTCTTGCAATCATTTTTTTCTCTCAAGTTTTACATTTTTAAAAGCTTTCGGATATATATTGTAAGCAAACTAACATGTAAAATTAAATATAATTTAGTTGAAAATGACTAATCAAGGGTTGGTTTGTATATAAAGGTGATACATGTGACCTGATATTGAATTATGCAATAATTTGCATAGGCAGCGAAGCAAATACGTATATTAATATGTATACAATATACATAATATTCAGTTGCTGAGTTCCATTGCTTGACAGACTATGATAAGGAAAATCTTACCTAATGTGTCACGTGGAAAACAAATGCAACTCGTGCATTCATGACATGCATCAATATCTCGTGCTTCTTTCTCATCAGAAAAGTGTTTAGCTTTAAAATGTACAGATATAGTAAACATAAATTCATTTTATCCTCTCTCTCTCTCGTGAAAATGCATAGGAAAGTTATCGTTGTACACGTTATGCTATTATTATATAGATATACTGATTGGCTGTAATCCCTGAGGTTATATCGACGGAATAATCATCTTCGTAAAAGATTGTCAAAAAATGTATAGAGGTTTTATTTTCAATGGTACAAAATTATTATTATTAACATATATATATATATATATATATATATATATATATATATATATATATATATATATATATATATATATATATATATATATATATATACGAGGGTAGTTCGGAAAGTTCGTGGACTTCTTTCATATCTTTTTTATTTAACGTCATATTATATCCAGATTTGGTAGAAATATTTTAACAATAAATTCAAATGATTTTTATTAAATTTTTTAAGGAATGAATTTGATAGCTACCCATTTTATACGGTATAAACTGGGTTGGGGCAGTTTACGCTTTATAAACCGCGAAGCGGTTTATAAAAAAGCGTGAACTGTTCCAACCCAGTTTATACCGTATTAATTGGGTAACTATTAAATTCATTCCTTATAATTTAATATTCTTTCAGTTGGTGTAAGAAAAAAAGATGATTGTCCTTAAAAAATGACTTCAATTTGTACAAAATTTGAATGTAACGTCAGGCGGATCGATACGTTTTTGACGCGCGTCATTGTGACGTAGGCAACCCATTTTATACGATATAAATTAAATTTTTTATCCAATTAAGTTCAACGTTACAACCAGAATTAAATTATTTTAAAATAACTTGATTTATTTCAAACTTATTAGGAGTTAAAAACTGCAAAAATTGGTTCGGGGAGCAAGTCAAAATTTAGCAATTTACAAACATTACACTAATTAATTTCTGTAGTCATATCCTCTGTAAAATGGCTGAAAACCAAAATAAATCTAAACCATCCAATTAAGAATTGTTAAATCGTTTCCTATTCCAAATTATGACTTAATAGTTTGCTTCATGGAAAAGAAATCAATTTCTGAAGATAGGTAGTTTTCATTGAAAAAGGCCAAAAAGGTGACGTCGTAGAACGTCAAGGAGCAGCAGTTTACGATACAATTTTCTGTTGTACTCTGGAAAACGTTAGAATAAAATCTGAAAATGTTGTAAGAAGCATGAAATATCTCAAAAGCGGGTCATGCATATGTGTGTGTTAATGGCCCAGGCGGTATTTGAATAATAGAGACTCTCTATCAGACGAGGGCGATCTGTGAGAAAACGGATTATCTGTAAAGAATCAACACAAAACGTTCAGTTAGTAACGTTTTGGAAAGAGAAAGGCGTTTCACGGTTGCTGGTCTTGTGAAAGCATAGTTAAGCGGTAAAAAAAGAAAACATCAATCAAAATTATGCTACTAGAACAATTGTTAACAAAATGAATTTCAGTTGATAGAGACATGTTTTAAATGAGCAGATATTGGACCAGACTGTGTGAAATGTATGGGAGGAATATTTTGAGAACCTCATGACGCTATCATTTTGACGTTATAATATTATTTAGTTTGCTCCGGGGTTACCAAACATGTTGATTTTAAAATAAAGTAAATTGATTTCTATTAAATCGAATGGAATGAAACTTCACACATCAACAAAATAGATATTTTTACATGTGATAATGTGCTTATATTAAATTTCTTGAAAGTAGTATAACGAGGATTGACATTGTCCACGAATTTTTCGAACAACCCTCATATATATATATATATATATATATATATATATATATATATATATATATATATATATATATATATATATATATATATATATATATATATCGTAGTTGTTAAGATCTAAAGTATTAAATACTTTGCTACTGGGTGTTTCAAATAGGAGTTTTTGTTTTTCTAATAACACATACATGTTAAATAAATAAATTTGAACAAGTTCAAATTCAAGTTCAATTTATTCACCCAAACTAATCATGTTAGATTTCATGTAATTTTAAATTGGAAAAAGAGATGTATACTTTATGTTAAGGCGTATTTTTCATGATCCAGATAACAGAAGGATATCCTTTTATAAAAATAATACATTAAAAGCTTAAATTTTAACTTTATGATTGTAACAGATTTGCTTGAATTAAAATTCAAACTTTTAAAATAACAAAATAAACACGGAATTTTCTCCATTTGTAGACAGCTAAATCTGTCGTGAACTAATTTCCCCAATAGCGTATGAATGCTTTTCTCACAGCTATTCTTTTTCTGTGTGTGTGAAAACAATTCATATAATTAAATAAATACCTACTGTCAACCAGTGAAGATCTGATGCTAGTTTGCTGAAATTAAAAGGTGTAACATAATTTTATTTTTTTCAATGATTATGCCTGATTTAAAAAGGTGAGGATCAGGCAAACAAATCAATTTTTATTTAGATTAGATCTAAAATTTGATATTTATTACATTTTAAACTGTGAAATACTATGATATATCCAATAAATGATATTTATTGACATTGGTTATCAACAACGTGTTATTTTCACACGTATAAAGAAAAAAAGTGTTATTTTCTTTTTCTTTCATCATTTTGAAAAAAGCAGCCGGAACTACTTCTATAATAATTCATTCGTATAGGACATAGGACATGCATTTGTGAATATATATATATATATATATATATATATATATATATATATATATATATATATATATATATATATATATATATATATATATATATATATATATATATTAGGGATGGCAATCGAATACAGAATTGCTAATCGGTTAACCGCAAGACGTTCCGACCGATTAATCGGTTAATCGTATCAAAATACACATTTTCCTTATATTTTATTTTTCAAGTAAACTCTAGTTATATACACAAGAAAACTGAAAAAGACGTTAGTAATTATTCTGTCAATGCTTGATTAGTACGATATATATTACATTTTATTTCAATTTAGAAAACAAGAAAAGAAATAAGGAAACCATGAAACATCTCTTTGTGTTGTAACAATATCAATTTCTGAAATTGATATTGTTACAACACAAAGTCATTGTGCATTGTCACCATAAAAGAAACTGAGTCTGAAATAATTTACAATGTTTGTTTGAAAATATATTTTGACAGATAACTGCGAAGGATAGACATGGTAAAATACACATTGCAATCATTTAAATCATTTAACAGAAGATTTAATTAATATCATTAAAGAAATTTAGGACGGGCTGGGTAACGACATGGTGACCAATTACCCCAATGAATTCAATCTTGAGAGTCGTAATTAAATTATTTACCTCCAAATCAGCCGAATAAAATTTTGCGTTGTAATTAATCAATATTCAGGGTTTTTTAACATTGTAATTCGTGTTTTAAAGAAATTTACTCTTATTTTAATTTTTTTTCCGACTAACCGATTACAAATTTTCTAACCGATTATCATCGTTCCGACCGAGTAACCGGTTAACCGGTTACAAATTGCCATCTCTAATATATATATAAAATTATATATATATATATATATATATAATCTGTCCCACTCCTGAAATAAATTCCATATTCAACCATTGAATATCCGCTATATATACATACTTTATCTTATAAGAAGATATATATTCAAAACAAATGTATAGCATTAAACACAATTTACTTACCAAAAAGAAAACAGTCAGGAATAAATATAAATATTTCGAAAATGGCTCCATTTTGTTCAGGAAATCTTATCATCTTACGACCTACGTTAAGGATAAACTGTATCAATAATATTTTCTCTTACTCCGTATTAAAGACGTCATATCGTCAATAAAATTTTGGATATCTACAATAGTTGAAACTCTGAAAACTAAACAATATAATAACTTACATGATCAATGGCAGTTTTTCTTAAAATTGACGGAAATGCAAAGCTGTCCAGTAATCCTCTGCTACAAACTGGCAATGACCTGATAAATTGTCCAACATGGTTTGCCTTGACTGATAAATCTAATGTACTAGTTCCAAGTACGATTGTGTGAGTAAAGGAAAACTTCTATAGATAAATTGTAGGAAAAATCACATACATATCATAATCTGAGTGTAATTTTAGCAATAACAATTTGAATATCAAACTTATTTCAAGGAAAATGACATTAATAAAAACGGAATGCTTTGTCTCTCTTTCGATTTCATTAGAGTTATGTTTCATAGCTTTAGATCTTGGTCCCTGATTCGGGTTTCTTATTGACTGTCAGTAGATGATTCCCTTATTTGTTATGATTTTCAGGGACTCTCCCTTTTAACAATGTAAAAATGGTAATCACTTGTGTATTTTTGAAAATTATGTTTAAGATGATTTAGCTTTCCAGATTGTTATAAATTGGCAGTTTCTTATGTTTACGCATCTTTCAACGCATACTCGTGATGTGTGGATGTTTGATGTGTGAAGCGGCATTAAGAGGAAGGTTCTTGATCTCTGTTTAAAAAGATATTTACTAAAAGATACATGAAAACCAACTATCCTTCTGTGTACAATAACTCAGAAGTGAAAAAACAATTAAATAGATTGCACGATCAGTATGTACTGGTCCCTGCTGACTAAGCAGGTAACAACATTGTCTTTGTTTGTAAGGCTCATGATTTAAATTGTATTTTAGAGGAACTGGGATTTAATTCAACAAGTGGTAATCCAACTTATACCCATAGCTCCCTTTCTAAGGAGAAAATTCTTCAAAATCATATGTCAGTTTTGAATATTTTTAATATTCCCAAACAACCAACATGAATTTGAATTACCATATTTATATTGGATTCCGAAACTTCATAAAAATCCTTACAAACAAAGATACATGGCGGGTTCCAGTAAAAGTTCTACCAAGCCCTTTTCTTTACTCCTCACTAAAATATTTAAGCAGTAGTAAATGAGAGACTTCAGGAGTACCGTGCAACAATATATTCGAGAAATGGGGTAAATCAGAAGTGGATACTTAAAAATTCCAAGGAACTTTTGGAAAGTTTGAAATCACAAAATTTTACCAAAATCAACAAGATGAAAACTTACGACTTTTCAACCTTATATACAACCATTCCCCATGATAAATTAAAGTCTAAGCTTTTTGATATCATGGACAGCTGCTTTTTCAATTAAAATGGAATTCGTAAATTAACTTACCTTGTCATTGGCCATTTGCAAAATTATTTTGTTAAAAACATTCTGATCGTACACACAAGTACTCTGAAGTTGATATTAAAAAGATGCTTGAGTTTCTGATTGACAATATCTATGTGGTTTTTGGAGACCAGATCTTCCAACAATCTATTGGAATTTCCATGGGTACCAATTGCGCCCCTTTATTAGTAGACCTATTTTTGTATTCATATGAAGCAGAATTTGCTCAAAATCTTATACTAGGAAAGAAGAAAACACTTGTTGTGGCCTTCAACTCGACATTTAGATACATCGACGACGTATTGGCAATAAACAATGGTTATTTACATTCTTATGTCGATACGATATATCCCAGTGAGCTTGAAATAAAAGATGCCACAGAGTCTGACACATCTGTTTCATATTTGGATATTTTACTAGAATAAGACGTTAATGGTAATCTAACAACCAAGCTTTAATATAAACGTGATGACTTTAACTTTTCAATCATCAACTTCCCTTACTTATGCAGCAATATACCTTCATCACCTGCATACGGGGCCTATATCTCTCAGTTGATTCGATACGCAAGAGCATGCTCTACCTATGAACAATTTCTAAAACGAGGTAGGTTATTGACAAATAAGTTGATGAAGCAAGAATACCAGCAGTCTCATTTAAAGTCGTCATTTCGTAAGTTCTATATTCGATACAATGACCTTGTCAGCAAATATAATTTATCATTAAGTCAAATGCTGACTGACGTTTTTAATACTTATTGTTAGGGCATTATTTACACACTGAATTATCGACGGTTTTTTCCGTTTTTTCCCGATCATGACAAGGAGCACATTGCGGGTGTGACCGGTCGACAGGGGATGCTCGCTCCTCCATGGCACCTGATTCCACCTCTGATGTTGTAGAGGTCCGTGTTTGCTCTGCTCTGAAATTTGTATTGTTTAATGGGCTTTTGAGCTTGAATACTCATTACTTTGAAACGTAACTTAAAGCTTATTGATATTTTCATATTCAAATATTTTTTATAATATAAACGCTGAACTTTTCCAATTAAAGAAAAAAATGGATTCTGCAAACTCTATCATCCTCTTTTGTAAATAGTAAATATGGTAATGGGATGTCAGTTTTAGGTGTGCTTATCGCATAAGGCGACACAGGCAGAATGGAATATTCTATAGTTGATAAGGAAAAGCTAAAATGCAGACTGACGATATATTTTGAAGGGGTCGGGATTCAATGCAGATGGTTATCCCTTTATTAGTATTTTACGGACCTAGATTCGAAACAAAAGAAAGTGGAAATTTAAGAACCCATTTTAAAAAGACCTCGATTTCAACGATTTTGCTTGATACAGCACTAACAAGTACAAAACAGAACATCTAGTGCAGATTATTTTTTCGAGGACTGGTAGAAATCGCGGAATATGAATGTTACAGCATCATTCCGAAATTTTCGAATTACAACTGGATTTGGAATTGGATTGCCTCTTTAGTAAAGCTATTTACTGATAAATCTTCAGGCTGGTAACAATGGTATCACTCATACAAACTATGGTATAATTTCTTGACCTCGCAAGTATCACATATTGGATAACTAATGTATTCTGTATGGATAACTGCAAGCCTAAGAAATTGTACCAGAGCCATTGAGGCAGTGAGGGTTTTTTTTGTCGTGCCATCGACTTCCATAACACAGGATCTCGGTTTTTAAGGTCTCATCCGAAAGACCAGTGACTTTCACTTCTAGTGCCATGCGCTTGGGGAATGGACAGTCACTACCTATGTTTACGTCTTAGGTTTGACGCGGCACGGCGAACGAGAATCGAATCCGGGCCTCCCGATCACGAAGCGAGCAAACACTTAAGAGATGCCCTAAAATAATATATTTTACTGTATCTGCGGGTATTGTAAATGACAAATGACAATCTTGTCTGTTTCGAGCTACGTGACATACTTTAAAAAAATTGCAAGCCGAACACTGATACCCAAGTACACCATGTGACTTTTTACAAAAAAAAGGAACCGAGTTTTTTTTCGATATTCGATGACATTTAATAACTACTATGTAAATATGTTTTCTTCAATCTTGTTTTCTGCTCAGCCATCCCCAAAGTATAATTTCTTGGGTTTGCAGATAATTGATAGGTCAAAAAGTATTGCATGGTTTGAATAAATTATACTATATATATGTATATGATTATCAGGATTTATCTATAACTAGCTCTACAATAGAGATAATGGAAACATCGTAGGTTAATGTTTTTAAAGCTTGTTAGGAAATTTTGAATTGATCTGTTTTCGTTCTGATTGGATACATAAATTCCCTACACCAACCCACCACCCCCATCACACTCCGGAAAAAGAATAATGATCCACTCTTGAGGTGTATCATATGTGACTTCTCATTTCTCATTCAAAAAACCTATTGTCAAATGTTTTCAGTTACGTTTAAGCTATAATCAGACAGCTATTGGTACTTTGCGGAACGGTACGGAACCAATTGTGGGGTATAAATATGAATTTAAAATGTTACTTTAGTATAATATATTTTCAGTTAAAAAGGATCTTAACATCAATTTTCACTTTAATCAATCCATTATGTTAATCAGAGGTCCGTAAAATAAAGCGCCTTTAACTTCTAGTTTATAAGTTCCGCAAAGTACCAATTGCCTAATCAGTCGTAAAGTAATTGGGGAAAATCTGAGAAATTTTGTTTTTGTCCAACTTTGAATTTGTAATTATGAATATAAAAGCTTATGGGAGAAGTAGAAAATTTCATCTTGACATTTGTCAAAGTTTATTGTCCTTAAGTTCAATTGTGTGTTGATTCTTAATATAAATTTGTTTTGCTAGGAATAACAGGTGTGCCTTCTCATTTTGCGTCGACCCTTTAATAATAAACAAGAACGTTAGTGAATAGCAATTATCATCTTAGATAAGGTGGTAGTACAGTAGCTATAACAAAAGCATTGGACAGAGTAAACATTCCTTATTGTTGAATATTGATAAATAAAAAAGTGTTCTCATTTAATGTTCTATGATAACATCACAAAGTTGTATCTTCACTAATTTTCGCTGTAATCTTAAAAACAACTTATTGAGGACAAGTGCAGAAGAGTTTTCCGAATTTGGAAATCCCAGTACAGCTTTAAAATTAAAGTATAGAAAGTCTAATTCAGTAAATTTAATTTTAATTGAAGTGATTTAGACCAGTTATAATGTAAAATCGCGTAAAAAAAATTATCAATCGAATAATATTGAATGCTGCATATTCGCATATACATGTATATCAAGCTTAATGAATTCATAACATTTTAGTGAACTCTTAAAATTAGATATAAAGAAAAACATGAAAATAAAGTTTTCCTTTCAATTTTGTTTCGCTTGATTTTTAAACACAAAATTCTTGAACAAGTTTCATGGCAAAACCACATAGAAAAGCTTAAACTTACAGATATTTGCAAACATCTTGGAATGAAATCAGTACGCTTTTAAGTACTTGACATACATGTAAAGGAGATTTACGTACAAGTTTGTATTCAAATTGTTGATTGGATATGTTAGTATTGAAATAAGCATATTGGTCTGTGGAAAGTTACTGAGATTCTGAAGTTGTATCCTCTTGTTGTCTTTTAACCTCTTGTTGTTCTTTAACTGTTTCACCGTTACGGTAGCTCAGTCGGTAGAGAGCTCGCTCAGTGATCGGAAGGTTTTGTGTTCGAATCACGGGCGCGACTGACCCAAATCGATAAAAAATAGGTAGCAACTGTTCCTTCGAGAAGCGCTCGACACTTTAAAGAGAAAGTTGCGGGTCTTTCGGATGAGACCTTAAAAATTATCACGGTAGGTGTTGGCACGATAAAGAACCTCAATGCTCAATGGTCCTGATTGCCGGGTATAGGTCTAAATTTGAAGTCCTTCACCGGTATATGGTGACGTCTCTATATGAGTGAAAAATTCTCGAAAGGGACGTAAAACAAAACTCATTCAATCAATCAACTGTTTCAGTTGTACGGTTTGTTATTTTTCATGTACATGTAAGATTAGCCCCGGAGAGAAAGAAGGCTAGGTATATACGTCTGTACCAAAACTACATGGTCTTGCACCCAAGATATTTTTAGGAGATCGAGGGAAAGTTAGAGATCAATAAACACTGGCATTTAGATAATGTATTTCAGGCATTTTGTAATCCTTAAACTACAACTTTCACATTTTCTTTCTTTTGTTTAAAATTATTGAATTACACAGAACTTCAGAAAATCTTTAAATCTATATTTTTAGGTTATTGAGGCAAGGGAATTTTATTCAATATATTTAGTTTTGACTCGAATTATTGAGTACAGTGTAAAAAGCAATATATTATGGAACTCATAAAAGGCTTGAAAGTAATAATCAAACAAATATATTCTAATCATCATAGTGAATCAGACTTAAATACTGACATAAAATAATCAAGAAATGTGTAAATGACTATCAAATAAAAAGGGAAAATAATGTGTTTCGCAAAGGTTTTATACTTCACCGTATAATGTCAGGTTATATTTTTTAAACCAACATTTACTCAGAAGAATTGGTTTGATCTTGAAAAAAAATTTAAATTAATTTTCTAATCCATGTTTCATATCTTTTCACAATTTATGATTGGATATTTTCTTCCTTGAAAATTATATTTGAAAAAGGAAACAAGTGCTCTGATTTCAGTTTTGTGACATTCGGAATTATACAATTAGTTGTTTTTTTTTCCAAACTTCATGTATAACATAAAAGGATAACTTTAACTTCTTTAAAAGTGTTGGTACACAATTTGGTATCCGTCAGTTAACCATTTATAGCACTCTGACACAGCTACATGTTTATCACTGAATGTATTTTATAAATATATAAATTATAGTATATATATACAGGCTTTTACTTAAGATGGGTAATTAGTTTATAGTCTCTTACATGTACGTGATGTATAAAACTATTGTCCACGAGAAATCAGTGAAATATGCTTCTTATTATGATTCAGGTAAAGACTGTATTGTATTTCTAATGAAATGAGTTAAGATTTAGATTGGTAATAAACTAGCATTATTAATGATAATAAACGAATGTGAACATCAAACAAATGAAGGGATTCTACATATAACAAAGTGTTTTCTTCATTGAAGAATAAAATTATATAGAACAAAATTTTCTGTTATAAGATTTAGTTTGTTCTCCTGAGAGGTATAGAAAGGTCACTTAAATCCTTCTCTTTTTGTACAGGAAGAAATCTGTAATGTTCATAGACACTCTTACACTCTTTATCAATGAGATGTACATCACTGAACGTCAGTTTTAGGCGCCATTTTTCCACATGTTCAGAAGAGTTAGCACGTTTGCTACAAATCGCACAACTGTGCAGCCCCATACTGGTAATACCAGTTATATAGTTTCGGACAGCGGAGGTAAAGTTCATGCCCGTGAAGTCATAAAGCGATTTAGAAGTTTTTATGGGACTAGACGCTAGGTCCTCATAATAAAGACGCTTTATACGTCCCGGATACCTGGTCCGGTACACCTCCGAGAAATAGTGGTCTCCCTCCATTGCTCTGCACTTTTGTTTTGCGAATCCTACATTGTACCTTGTTGTATTTGACAATGAAACTGAAAAAAAAAATCAATAATAAAAGCTATTCTAATGATTAATATGAAGCTTACAATACATTAAATCCCTGAAAGAATCGTAAACAAATTGTGAATTTTCGGATTTGTATGTACATGTAGTTTGTGGAATCCACACTGCAATGCTTAGGGCAAGTTATTTCATTCCAGGAAGCAAAAAAGATTTTGGGATCTATAATTATAAACTGTGTGATTTGTTCCGGATTGACATACAACATTGGAAAAAAGGAAGCCCAGTCAAAAAAGTCTACAGAAATATTTAACCTTGAAATTTTATCTCGCATAATTTTATCATAGAAAATTACTGCTTTGATTTGTGTTTACTTCTTTATCTATCATTCATCCAGTTGGGTTTTTCTCGGTGATAGTAAACAGAATTGAACATTTAAAAGTTATCCGTTTATGCCAAAAACCTTACGAAAGATGTCATAACTCTACAAAGCTCTAAAAAATTAATTATTTCATACTTAATTATTAAACATTTGAAATCGAAAGAATATCGAATGATCAAAAGGTTAAAGGAAATGTTATAGAATTTAAGATCAAGGCAATTTATTGTCGACATCAGATAAACATACTGATGAATTCATTACGAGACCCTTGTCATTTAAGAAAAACCGAGTAGATCTGTCAAATTTCCTGACACGCTTTTTCTCAGGTCCCAAAAAGCATATGTATCATTGTAGTTTGTCATCAAACACAGGTAAGCCCTATGTTGATTGACCTCTGGCGCTCTTTGCAAAAATAGCGAAAACGTGATTATAAATTGTTTTCAATTATTCACTTATCAAAGAGAACTTTAAAGACAATTGACAGTTTATTTAAAAAGATGAATTACTTTGTAGCGATATTTCCATAGTGACTCTTATTTACAGAGAAATTTGCATTAAAAAAATTCGTATTTAAAATAATCTTCAACAAGCTTTCATAAGGGTTCACATGTACAGTACATGTATCATATCTTTAAGTACTAAATATTTAGCTATAAAAAAATCTTTCTGTGAAATAAGCAATAGTGTTATATGTATTTTAAAACCAGAGTTTATTAAACAAGAAACAAAAGTTAAAACGTTTAATATTGACACAATTTATCGTGTATAATGTAATTTCTTTGCTTACCTATAGAATTCACCTGCGCCCTGGGATCTCTGACGAGATGAATGACTTTCAGACGGGGGTATCTCTTCAGGTAGATCTCTACGTACTGCATAGGTAGTCTTATGGTTTTAATAGTCCGATATTTTGAATTTTGGCACATTTTTTCTAATTCTACGGCACAAAGTTGTGTTGCTAGTTTTTTATTTATGCTCTGTCCTACTTTTCTCACGTAGCACTTAATAAATTTATTGGTTTTATTTCCAAATGTCTGAAATCCGTGAACTAATGTTCCAAAGTCAAGTTTAGAAAAATCACAGTCAAAGTATGAGTTGAAGATCGTAAATGCTCGATTGAAGAATAGTTTCCTTTCAATAGTTCTGTAAAAAATTATAAAAATGTATGCAAGCCAATTGGAGAAAATGGAATTATTAAATGTTTTAAACATAAAGGAAAAATTGCAATGATCAATAAAAGTATAGTAACATAATCGTAGTTAAGAAGAGGATATTAAATGTCATTTAAGCTGCAAAAATGTACAAGGAAAATATCAATATTGTATTTGTGACTGAAAAATAAACGCTAGTTTAGAGTCCAACAGTTTATCTTTTATACCATCAAGAAGAAGGTATGGAAGCTTAAGTTTTGCTAATAAAATATCTAAGAGACATATATGTATGTGTACATATAGCATGAAATAAAGATATGCTAACACAAGGCGTATGTAACCATAAATCAAATAACCCTATCAAAAATACTAATTTTTTACTCTTGTAAATCAAAATATCAAAGTATTTACTATAGTAAACAAAGTATAAACAGTTTTTGCTAAAAGTAACTAACTTAAAAAATATTTTTATTATGAAATTCAAAGTTTAATATTCCATTAATCTCAATTCTCAAATGGAAAAAAAATGGTTTAAAAAGAAAAAAATATTACTTGTATGTTCAAATGTTATTTCTCAATTTAACCTCATTGATATGGAATTTGAGAGATATTTTTGTTGGAAATCTGAACAAAGTTCTAAATTTTCATAGTAAATAAAGGTCCTTGGTAAGTTTCAAATTATCAAAGTATCTCAATTTATTAAAGAATGTTTTTTACTATAGAAAACTTTAGTTAACTATAAGAAATTTTTGTTATGAAGTTTTTTGTTAAATATATTTGAAATGAAAACGTAATAAAAGGGTATCTGAACACAACTCACACAAATTTGCCATTTAAAAGTTGCACGGACTGAAGTTTCTTTCCCATCTTTTCTGTAAAGTGTAGAGGTTCATACACATAAAAAGAATCTGGGTCCTGCTGTAAGATATCACCCGTCATAGACGAACCACTCCGAATATAGGCTATAATTAGTATCTGCGTAACGTTGGAACTGGTAGTCTGTGTTGTGTGTTGTATTTTAGATTTATTTGAAGAGACATCGATTGCAGGAGATGTAAGATTTGGATTTCTTGTTGTTAATTGTTTTTGGTTTAATTTATAAAAGATATTTTTGTCATTGTCCATAGCAACAACTCTTGTAACCTTTGTTGTGACCTTGAGCAAGTTGAACGTCTGCCCAGCCGTTGTTCCTTGTATGACGTAGGAGTCTAGGCGCCGACCTTCTCGTACATATGACCTTTCCTGCACTGAAAACATAATTCATATTTTATCAATACTCCTTACCTAGATATATGAACCCTGTAATATATTTGGTGCTCATGATAACTGTGCAATTAGATATCACTTAACATGGGACTAACTGAAAAAAAAGCTACATATAGCATCATACAAGTTGAACCTGTTTACGTACTTTTGCTTAATTAATGTCATTGAATATTATTTATCTTTCCTGAATCTTTTTGATGACCAGGACATATTGCCAGTAAGTTAGCTGTTGAGTTTAACCCGTTACATTACTAAGGCTTCCTTACATAGCGTTGACTTCTCACCTGCAAAAAGTGTTAAATACAGGTGTGCAGTGGCGATAATTAGGCCTAATGTGAGGACGACACGCTTCCATCGCTTCTTTATCATCTGTAAGACATAGTGATGAATGTGGTCACTCTCAGAAACATTTATTAAAAGTATAATAAATTGACTAAGGGTTAATGGTCTCCTTCAGTAACGCCAAATATCCAGAATACATAATTAAAAATAAAATCTGAATAACAAAAGATGCAAAGGAGTTCTGATTGAGAGAAATTTGTGTCTTGATTATTTTGACATTTATTTTTATTTAAGTCTATCAATAAATATAACCGAATGTTAAATTCTTTGTCATCTCTCTCTCTTGCCTTTTGGGATTTGAATAACGAAGAGGATGAATTTATGTATTATTAAAGTTATTTGTATAAACACTTTCGATACCTTTTTCTTCAACAAATGTGGATTTTCAAATTTACATAACAGATATTGCTCTGTTTAAATATCTATTATTAACTCATTTACCACGTCAAACTATGAGTTTCATACAAATGAATATAATGAATTTAACATAAGAGAAAGAAAAATCACGCATACATGTATGTAATAAGTATGTACATGTATATTGCAAAATGATTTATATGTCCGATGGAACGGGTGTTGTGCATATTGGGTTTATTTTTCTAATAAATATAAAATTAATGATAAACACTGTAATAAACTCACTTACCTACCAACTAACTTACTAGTGTACTTACTTATTTACAAACATACCTGATCTATAAGAAAATCTAATATAGTTAGAAAAAAGATAAGGAAATTAGTAAATAAGATACAGTTTTTAGCGTATTGCATATTACAGTACCAGTAAACGTACAATCAGGAAAAAATGTCGAAGTGGGTTAAGAGAAGTATATCATATAAATTAATATAAAAACATTGTGGAAGTCTGAAGCAAAAGCTTAAGGCTGTACTTAAGAACCGACAACACAATTCATTAAAATTCAAATTACTTGATATGATATATGCTCCATTTTACAATAAACAGAAATTTACATATTTTATCAGCGCCATATTTTTTTTTTTGTTTTGAAATGTTTCTGAATTGAAAGATAGTTGACCTTTTCAGTAGTCTCGTTTGATGTGTGTTTTTTGAAGTAGAGATGTTTGAACGAAAATCTCATAATGATAGAGCCTTTATAGCCTTTTTTGACGTTGTACATTTTGAATAGTTAGAAATGTGAAGTGTATTCCTTACACAGTGCATGTGATTTGATTTAGACAAATCAGACTTAGGGAATCATGAGTAAAATCAAATGAAATGTCAACTTATAATTTATTTCACATGCGTATTTTTTTTTAATTTTTTACAAAAGCACACACAGGTGTTATTAACTGTGCAACAAGGTGCATATATCAATATTTTAATTCTGGTTGCAGCGTTTCCTTTGATTTGATCGACAAAAGGTTTACAAGTACGTACATGTAGTATATCGTATAACCTTTGTTGCCTATGTCAAAATACGACTTATGTCAAAAAAAAATATAAATTCACTTGAGTTTACACTTCAATTACAACTTGAAGTTGTTTTTTTTACACTTCATGTTGGAAAATAAAATTATAAGGAATAAACTTAAAAGATACCCAAGTTATACTTGTATAACCTGAGTAGGAACAGTAACGCTTTTTTTAATATACCGTGGTTTAAAGGAAGAGTGAACTGCCCCAACTCAGATTATACAGTATAACTTTGGTAGCTTTAAATGAGTTATAACACACACAAATCACTCATGGTAAATACATTTGTCAGTCTATCTCATCGTTTGCAAAGATGTAGGTATTTATTTTTTATATACATCATAGCAGTATTAAATGATTCAGAAATAAATGTTTTAGAGGCAATAACCTTTTAAGTACGGATTGCATTATTTTTATTCACAATTTTCACCAAAATCCATTCTAATTGTACGTACCGATATGTCAATCATGATTATGTATTTTCATTCTCGATCATATAACAGCTTTCTTTTAAAAGGAACAACCGATGAAAAAATCACCATAGCTCAATCACAACTCTTTTTAATTCCAAAATCACAATTATCGGTTATTGAGCTCCAATGCACAATATTCCAAAACAAAGACATCCGACTTTCTTCAAACCACCACTATTTAGTAAAATAATTTTCCCATCGTAAATGTCTGATTTACACATAAACAGGATATAAAAGGCATCACTCACAGTACAGGAGCATCAGACCACTGACAGTGTTCTAGTCCCCTTCACAAGACGAGGTTTCACGGGCCTACTTAATTCTCATGACCCGCGAAATGACAAGCGTAAAAGGACTTCTCACTTTAAGACAAAAGTTTAAGCCCTGCATAAATCATACACACCCAACCGTAGTAATGATGGATTAACAGTTTTTAATTTGATGCAGGCTAATTGGATGCAAAGCTTGACAAATTGATCAAATAATGAACTATGATTAAGAGTGTGGTACTAGTTTTAAACAAAAAATAACTTTTTGATAGTGAAATAGTAACATGTTCAATTCCTGTTACTTCAATCAAAGCTATATATTGGTATATGAGGTGTCGCTGTAAAATTTATACGTCACTGTATATAAAATATAGACTAAATTTCGATACAAAAATCAAAGAAACATGACGAAAAGTGAATAACGATAAAGAAACCAAGGATAAACGATACCAAACATTGAAAATAATAAACCTATAATTTTTTTTTTCAGATTGTTTCTTTTTTTATATTAGTTCTATAGTATTTATAACACTAAGTAATATTTTCTTATATAAATTAAAGTTTTACATTCTAAGATAAAGTGAAACTCATCAGCAATATGAGTATAATTACACAATGCACAAAGTCTTTTGCAAAGAGATATCCCATATCGTCTCCATGCAATAATCTAATGGTAAACGATGGATTGCGAAGAGAAATTTTAAAAGATTTTTTCCTCTTAATTTCGGAGATATTTTTTTGACATAATTTTCACATTATAATTTAATGTTTTGCTTTAAATATTCTGTACACTTAATAAAGCCTTGTCGATCATAGGTGTTCATAGGTGTTCCTTTTTAACTAAAAGAAGACAAAAAATTAACATTCTTTCTTTCCAGTATTCGAAATTGAGAGTAGCAATGATCAGATTGAATCAACAACTAAAGGTTGAATAGGAGACGGCCATTTTGATAATTTGTTTTTTACTACGGATTTTTACGCATACCTGTTCAATACAGAGGGTCTGGGTGGTTTTGACTGGTTATAGGGGATACTTACTCTTTAAAGGCACCTAATCCATATTTTTGCCCTATTCACAATTTGTATTGTTATCGGATCTATAAGACTGAACACTATTCGAAATCTTTATCTTTTTCATTTATTAAATACAGAAAAGTCTGGGCCTAAAATCAACAAATCTTCCTCATCAGAATATCATTCACATAAATGTATATAGATGCCCCAAGACAAATTTATACGACTAAATCCTATAGATGAAACAAATTTTAAAATATATAGTTTTGTTTTTTACGAATTTTTAAAAGCTGTTATTTTTTTTCCAGAATTCATTATTTGAAATTGAGTTAGATGGTGTATCGTTATAAATACCGGTAATATTTTGAAATTAAATCTGTCTCTAGATTAATAGGAATCAAACAAAAGCAGCATATTGTGTTATTCTGTCATACTTTGAAAGACATACACTGTAACATGCAACCTATTGCTAAAGTGTAGGGAGGTACCAAGAAAAAGAAAGAAAAAAAAGTTAAAATATCATTTAGCATGTTCTGTTCAAGTACATAGACTAAGAAATGTTAGCACAAATGCTGGCTATGCTGCATGTCGATATTTTATTACGATATCAAGAGATCAATACAAAATTCCTCTGTGTCATCCGTAATTTCAACAAAGCGATAATTATGTTACACTAGGGAGGCTAATGAAGGAGTATTAGTTTTATAGCCAGGCTTTCATAAAAGTTTAATCACTTTTACATTCTCTCATGTTCTAGATTATCAATTTTGCTGTCTTATGAAATTGGTCAATTTGATATCAGCAAACGAATATCCGCATAATTTTATTACTAGGACATTTCATTTGAAAAAGGCATTGAGTTTGATTGAGCATGATTGATAAGAGATAAGAATGTCTTTTTAACACATGTATATGATGCATTCCTCTCCAGTATTTAATTTAAAAAGGTTGTGTAAGGAGCTTGTCTGTTTTTATCACTTTATATATCAACTGCAGTTTCATTTGCATTTTCCATTTTTATTTAAAATCTAAATTAATGACAATAATGAATTTAATATGAGTTCAGGGAAAACTTTCAACAAAAATAAGAGTAATTGCATACCTAATATACTAAAATATGGTGTGGTCATTAAATCGTCAATTTTACAGAGATTTGTCAGAAGTCAACGATCATCATAAACATTTCAGATAGACATCAGCATGATTTTCATAATTAGGAAATTTGAAAATGTCAAACAGGTGTTTCCTCTTTGAAATTTGGTAAAAACAAATATGTCAAACTTTTTTTTCAAAATGAAGAGACTAAATTTTGCATTTTTTCTGTGTTGATCCTCTCATTCAATACATTCATTTAAAACTTTAACGAATGATAAACCTTGCATTTTAATCGAAACTGCTCCATTTGCTAGCAAAAAAAAAAACAAAACAAAAACAAAAAAAAAAAAAAAACAAAAAAAAAAAAAAAAAAAAAATACAAAATCAAGTTTAAAATTAATATCCTTTCAGTATAAACAGTCGAATGTGGTAAAATATAAGTGCACTAATTTTATAAATTCCCTCCCAACCCCCAACCACCACCCCTACCCTTCCCACAAAAAAATGGGAAAACATACTAGAAAAATATAACTTACCTTGTTATATGGCTTATAAGAAGGGAAAGATGGAACATCTACAGCAATTCATCTAAAATGGAAGGATATGCAACTACATTGTAATCTGATATCAACGTCTAACCCATTGGCTATAAGCCATAAGAGCTTCCAATGGATCCTGTTTTTATGACTATGTAGCAGACTGTATTTCAGTCCCAGGGTATACACACATGGCAAGAAGCGTGAAATTTTCTATATAAGTAATCATCCTCTCATCTCTATATGTTTAATGGTTCGCTGCAGCAAGGAACGATGGAGCAGTAACCGTTAGACGAATCAATAGTAATGAAAAGCTCACCACATTCTCCACTTGTTTTATTCCGATTACTAATTGATAGAATTTGTAAATAAAATATAAATTACAAATTAAAAAATTCTTTCATAAGTGTTTGTAAAATACATCTCGTACTTTTGCTTGGAAGTGCAGTTTCAGTTTTGTGTGTGTATATGCTAATTTACAAATTCAAATTTTGTTAAAATTCAAATTTTGTTTAAAAAGCTTTATGTCCTATGCCTTCCCGAACAAATCTAAAACAAATTCGCTGCCAAGGTCCTAAATGATGAACTATATACTGAATGGTTCCATTTTATATACAGTTTTACGGGAGACATTTTCTTGGAATTTCTATAGTGAGAAATAGAGCTAAAAATTGACCTAACATACTTTTGTGAACAATTAAATGTGCATTTTATATGTTACTACTGAACAAAGATGAATATAAAAGATATGAATTTTGCAATTGTATGGTATTTTAAGTATTATTCATGATTGAGACTTTACTTTCTAGATCTTAATCTTGTAGCTTTAATGGGGTCAGGTATACTAGGGAGAGGGCTAAAATAGCCCAATCCCTTTCACTTTTTGTGAATAAAATTATGTATAAGTAAAATGAAAATACTCTGAGAATATATTTCAAAGAACTTTTTTCTGGATGGAGCCCCATTCCCACTGGAGTTCCTTGTACATATCTTTTTAAACTGGCATAATTTGAGACGTGATATTCTTTTAACGACTCCTAATGCTTTCAGTTGGGTTTCAATCAGTTCTGTTTTCCGACCACGGATGTGTAACAACAGCATTGCCTTTTTTAGAAACTCCGTAGTGTTTTTCTTAGTTACGACACGTGCTTATTGATACAAATAGTAAGATCAAATTTGCTTATATGAGTGAATATATACGTATTGTTTTCTCGGAAATACTAAACAAGCATACATATACCTAACATTCATCGACATTCCTTTAGCACAACATACTCAAACTCAATGCAGTTTCTACACTTCAGCCACAGAGAAACACTACCGATTTAAATCCATCTGAAAACACTTTGGATCGAAGAAAGAAGACACTTGGTCAAATTTTTACAACCACTTAATAAATGTGTGGAAAATACTCTCGTGGGAATGGTACTTAATTCCGGAAGCATTCTCTGAAAACTCAGTTCATTGCATTTTATTAATTAGTTGAAGTAAGATTAAGATTTGAGATGTTATTCGTACATGCAAAAAGGGATCAAATACACAATGGAAGGAGAAATTTCAATCGGGAATGAAAAAAAACATATAAAATTGCAAAATTCATTATATCTGTTATATTCGTTTTTGTTTAGTAGTTATACATGTATTTTCAAAATGTACGTTTAATTTCTTCACAAAAGCATGTATGCTAAAAGGTTTTTTTGAGTTGTGTATGAGATATAAACGTTAGACCAAAGAAATGCTGAAGTCAACGAAGAAACATGGTGTGGTGATATACAAACTTTGTAAATATTCTGAGACACTTCAAAAGACAAATGTAATTAAAAAACAATTTCAATTATTTCTGCTATATATCATTTCTATACTCTTCTTTATTCATCTTCGCACCATTTAAAATGATATATTGGCCAATCATACAGTGTTTTTACCAAAGGGTCTACTTTGTGTGTAATTTGTAGAGAAGGAAATAAAGATTCGAAAACCTGTCTCATTTAATTACGATGAAAAAATGGGTTATGTAGGCCGACAGCATAAAGAAACATTTGAATATTCAATAATTCTATCACAGTTTAACATGTTTAAGAGGCAACACTATTGGCATTACTTTTTGAAAGTTCAATTTAGAACTCAGTAGTTATTTTACATAAACCAAGGTCACGTGAACTATTCAAACCAGGAATGCTATCGTTTTCGTAATAGTATAAAAATGCACTTCAAATTTTGATCTTTTTAGTCTGATGATGTCAAGAGACGTAAATGATATACACAATACATCGTTTTGACCGAGTAAAGTGCAATAAAATGCAAGCTAGTGTTACAAATTTGTTAATCGATTAGACCTATGACTTAACATGACTTATCAAATAGTTATGTAGAGATCCAGTGCAGCAGTTCCTAAAGTGTTTTTTTAAAAGATACAAGTCATATACGATAACAAATATGAAATGATTCTGTAAGCGACATACTTGTCAAATTTATAATCGATTATTCGATTCAAACATCAGATCGAAACAGATGTTGTACCTAAGA